TCTCGCGCTCCGCACCAGAGCAGGCACGCTTCTGCATGAGTGACAGTTTGAGACGCTGAAATTTGTACTACCCAAAACAAGTCCTAACAAGTCCCATTCGCAGCACCCTCTGGGCAGCGCAGGAGGCCCATGGTTTCTTTTTCGACGGCATAAAACACCGACGCCAAAGTTCCCTCCCTCTAGTGCGCGCAACGAAAAAAAAAACAATCATAAAAATACGCCGCGACGCAGTCAGTTATCGAACAGTTCGCGACAAAATCGCGTAGAATTTTGCTTTAGACTTTTCAGGATTGGTGAAAAGTACTATATCTCCCACGTCCTACACATTTTTAGTAATCTAGTCATAAAATATTTTAGAGCGCAGCTCTTAGGGGCCCGTTCCCGGCTTGAGCGGCGTCGGCGTAACCAAGGTCACCCCAAGGTCACGCGACCCCCAAGGTCATTCCAAGGTCACGTGGCCCCCAAGGTCACGTGACCTCCAGAGGTCACGTGACCCCTCCCCCAGGGTCACGTGACCTCTGGAGGAGGGATGACGTCACTGATGACGTCATCGTCATCAGTGACGATGACTTCACCGGCATCCGCATCGTCATCATCACTGATGACGTCATCAGTGACGTCACTGACGACCTCACCGGCATCCGCATCGTCATCATCACTGATGACGTCATCAGTGACGTCACTGATGACGTCATCAGTGACGTCACTGATGACGTCACCGGCATCCGCATCGTCATCATCATAGATTACGTCATCAGTGACGTCACCGGCATCCGCATCGTCATCATCGCTGATGACGTCATCGGAGTCCGCATCGTCATCGTCAATGATGACGTCATCAGTGACGTCACTGATGACCTCACCGGCATCCGCATCGTCATCATCACTGATGACGTCATCAGTGACGTCACTGATGACGTCACCGGCATCGTCATCATCACGGATGACGTCATCAGTGACGGCACTGATGACATCATCGGCATCGTCACGTGACCCCCCCCAGGTCACTTCACCCCCAGTACCCTTCCCTCCTCCTCCTCAAGAGCTGCGCTCTAATTCGGTGTTACAGGGAGTTGTAAACGGCTTTCACTTTTTACTACCACATAACATATCCATTAGTTTGTATAATGTTTGCTGAGCATGACATAGTGCGTGCGTGTTATCTTGTTGTTTCTATTACATGTTTCTATCAAGCGCCAGAAAGTAAGATTATCAACTGTACATTTGGATGCTCAAAAAAAAAAAGGCATGTCATAGCGTTTATCTTCAATAATTACTAAATATTGTAACCTGCTGTTTCTCGTATTTTTAATCTGCGGTATATTATCGTGCTTTTAAGCGTTGCTATTACGTTGTGTATTGGGTGGCGTTTTTCGTCCTCTGCATGAACGTTGCAGACGCCATATGACAGCTTTCGCCATGCGTAGGTGCACCCATGCGTTTGCCCTGTATGTATACTTATTTTCCATACTAGCAGAGTCACGTTGAGGCAATATTTTTAAATATTATGAGCTGTTAAAGATGGCATATGTGTCGTATCTTAATCCCTGGTTTAGAAAGAATAAAAATTCTTTGTAAGCGCGTTGTGTCACTGACGCCTTAGCTGCGCAAGGACTGGCTTTCTTTGCGGACGTTTCACAAGAAAGTGAAACCTACTGCTTAATAATATTTTGTATACGTTACAATTCAATATTGTTGAAATAAACGTTTCATAACCATATCTCGTCTCAGCACTACAATATGAGCGGAAGGACATCAGTGGGAGTGCGTTGATAGAAAAAAAGGGGGGGGGGGGGGGTGGCGGCGGGGGCGCTTTGGGGAAATCTCGCCCCCCCTAATGACAAATCCTGCGCACGCCTATGAGCGTATTAATGTGAGCTCGTTCTGAGCATGCGCTTTAAACAGCGCCCTCAACTATGGCGTCCAGTGAATACCCCCTATACTTGAGAATAACGAAGAAATAATAATGGAGCCATTTTTGCGAAGTTCCCACCATGATTGGAACTATTCCGATAAACTATTGCGATTCAAGAGCAACTCCGGTAAAGAGGCCGATCTCAACAGCAAGACGACGTTACGCAGCCGCTGCCGACATGAAGCGTGAGAACTGTAGTCTTTCTGCACTCGCGGAAACCCCACTGCAGGTCTGCACGAACGGAGCACGAGCTGACTCGTGCTCTTTACTCTTCCCGGTATGCCATTTATTGTTTTGTAGCGTGAGCTACACTGGCCGAGGTTGAGCAGTTTCGCGTGGCTCGCATAATGAACCGTGCTGCGCAAGTGCGAGGAGTAGTGACGTCACACGTCGCACAGCTGGCGCGCCGGAGCAAAGGCGTTGGCCGGAGCCGCCGCGGCCTCCGCCGCCACCGCGCGCGCCTCGCCGGTCTGAGCAAGCGCGAGCGGTGGCGTCGCACGGCGCACAGCTGGCGCGCCGGAGCCGTCGCCGCCGCGAGCTCCGCCGCCACCGCGCACGCCTCGCCGGTCTGAGCATTCCAGAGGGACGTCATAGCCGCGGAAGACGCACTGGCGCCGCCGCGTGCCCAGCTGTGCGCCTACGTTGCGCAGTAGCCGCTTGATAGCGCCTCTTATTTTGTGCGCATAAGCTCACGCTACGTATATCCTGGCATAGCCGAGCCACCGCAATTTTTAAATTTGAAATAGGTATTGAGAAAACGTCAAATGAACGAGTTATGCAACACAAGCATTCAAATTTTCCCGTGCTCTCAAGGGTCACGTGCACTGGCAGTCGAGCAAGACGTGAGCAAGGGCCCTATTCTGGGCCCTAATCTGGACACTTGGCGAAAAAGTAGGAGAGAAATCTGGCGGCTCTGATTGGCCGACGCCGCACTTGACCTTGGCGCCGGCCAATCATAGCCGTCAGATTTCTCGCCGTCTTTCTCGCCAAGTGTCCAGATTAGGAGGCCTGGACAGTTGGCGAGAAATCTGGCGGCCGCGATTGGCACTTGACCTTGGCGCCGGCCAATCATAGCCGCCGGATTTCTCGCCAACTTTCTCGCCAAGTGTCCAGATTAGGTAGGGCCCCAGGACAGTATTTGACACGTTTCGATTTGCTGGCGTCAGCTTCCACAGCATTCATTTTACACCATCACACTCGTAACTAGGGGTGTCGCGAACCGGCAGATTTTCGAGTTCGACCAGGTTCGACTTTTGCGAACTTTTAGTGGAAATTTCGACGAATCTTGTATTGAGGTTTGACTCATGTGCGCATACGCGACAGGCTGGCTAGTTGGCTTTGGATTGGATGGTGACGGCTAAGGGATGAATTAAGAGCGCCGCTGAATGGGTATTTCAGTTAATGCAGTACAAAAAATTAAGTTATTAACTTCTTCAGTGATTAGAATTGGTTTCTTTTAATTGCAAGTGTTCATAAAAGAAAATAACCCTTTGCACAAAAAACAAATTCTCCAAACCTAGACATGCTTGTACCAAGGCCTGGCCAAACTGTCCACAAAGTCGAACCGGTTGAATCTGGTGAAAAGTTTCGAAGGCTCGAACCCCGAAAGTTCGACCTAAAAATCCGGTTCGACAAAAGTTCGCGACACCCCTACTCGTAACCTGTAGGAAACAACTACAAGCTGTTCAGCCCCCATGTTAAATTGGTTGGATGGATAGGTGCTGGATGGATCAGAGCGGTGTAGAGTTTGGTCAATGGGAGGCGCAAGCAGAGCCAGGGCGTGCACCAGACGCAAAAAGAGGGCTTGACATGTTCTCTTGGCCAACCAGAAGCCAAAACAAAGCCCCTAGCAGTAGTAGCGAGAAACTGTTTAAATCATAGGTATATGGTTTTAATAAGCAGGTAAGAGTGAAGTGTAGTAACCCTTCATGGTCACAAATAGGGTGCACGTGATGTTTCGATCATGGTCATGCAGAAAGATGCAAGAAACGAATGTGCCGCTCAACTCGGTTTTGCTCGGACAGAGTGACCGCTCGGATGGCAGATTCCCGGCCCTCGGCGCTTGGCGTTCAAATTATGTCGACCGTTCCGCTAGTCGCGCTCTTCCACGATTCTGAATGACCGTGATTGAAACATCATGTGCACCATATTTTCAGACAAGGGAAACTAAACCCGAGTACAGGTCACGTGATCTGATGCGATTGCTGCGCAGTTTGGTGAAGCGAGCACATCACTGAAATCTCGAAAACTAGTGTTGCCGGCTGGATAAATGGATGCTAATGGTTGTACCCTTTACAACGGCAGGTAGCTTGCGCTACCTAGGCAGTAGATGGGAGCCCGGTGTTGCCACAAAGAAAACGGAACCTAGGACCAAGTTTGGCATGTTCTTCCTTTCTGCGACAAAACCGGGTTCCTCCAGTAGCATGCAACGAATATGAAGCCTTGAAGGAGTCTCCAAAAATTTGGGGGTTTTACGTGCCAAACCTACAACGGGCATCTGGCACGCCCCTGCGGAGGACTGAGGATTAATTTGGACCACCTGGGGATCTTTTGACGTGCAACCGAAAGCTCGGTTCCACGGCGCCTTTTCCGCAATAAGCCTCCGTCATATTGCGGGCACCTCGGTCGGGATTCGAACCCGCCATCTGGGGATCCGTAGGCCGGCGCTCTCACCTCGGAGCCACCGAGGCGGCTGAAGGAGTCTCCAAACGGTGCATTTACCATGCCTCCATTTTGTTCTCGATTCCTGCCTGGTAATGGCACAACAAAGGGACGCTGCAGTTCGCCATGATCCCGGCAGGGGCGCAGCCCTGGAGGCAAACATGGCAGACAGCACTTTGCTGTGTAGCCAGATGCCAGCAGCCCATATGCTATGGATTGGCTGTTGCAATGCGACCAACTCCTGCATCAACTCTTCTTCGCCAGCGTATTTTGTTGATGCTTTGATGCACAGGTGGCACAGGGTGGTTACCCAAAACAGCATTCTGGTTCCAGCATGCCATCTGCAAATGGCATGTTCAATGTTCCACCCATGCATTTTCATGTAAACCAAAGCAATCGAAAGCACACAGAACACGACACTTTGTAGAAGTAGGCAAGCCCTTTATGAACAGTCTCCCACCAAATCTACACAATCAGGAAAGACACACTGAGCTAAAAACACACGCAAAAAAAAAAAGACCTCATTTTATAAATATATAAAGCTCAATATGTACAACAGCAGCCCGAAAAAGTTTAGCTGCTTAAAACTAAACAAAGATTGGACAAACAGATCCGATGCACTAGCTACAAACTATTTTTTTCAAGATCAAGCAGGAAAGCACATGAACGCAATGTGGTAATACAATAAAATCCTGCGGCAGTCCACAAGAAATGTGGCAGCACAATGCTCTGCGTGGAATGACGCTCGTGAGATGAAGGCTACTCTAAAAAGAATGGACCCTTTATAAAAAAGAGCGCTTGTCAAAAGTGACACAGCGTGTAAACGTTTCTTTCTCACTGGTACTTTGTTGAGGTGGTCGTGAATGCAATGGATGGAACGTGAACCCCGGGGGGTCCCTGGACGGATGGGCATGGCACTGATGCAGTTAATGCAAAAGACGGTAGCTAAGGTACGCTGGAAAAACTCTGTCACAGATGCATTTCACGTATTCTCCCCAAGAGTAGGACGACGCAAGGAGGCAAAGACTGAGCAAGTGACAGGGCACGCAATGCACAAATTTGCAACATAAGTTTCTGCAGAAACCTTCTGTTGAAAAAAAATATCAATTTTTGGAAAGGCTGCATTAAAATATGAACCTCGTCAGTGCTTAAAATGCCTGCATCAATGTAAGAAGCTTGCCACAACTTTTCTTTACAGTCAAGTTTTGGGGCAAGCTTAATACACCAATACTAAACGGGGATGCAGTGACGATATGTCGTCGTTTCATTAAAAAGGTCTTTCGTTGTGAGAAAACTTTTCGCAAAAGCCAAACAATGCAAAAAGAACGAGCAACTTTACAAATGAAGCTGTCTCCAGTGAAGAGCATTTTCATGGCATAGGAAACCAAATTCCTCGCTGTCACATCCTTTGCGTCCACACAGATCATCCTGACACATGGCAGTGAACGTTCGATAAGGACTCTCCACAACAAATGTTAAGTTCCTGCACTAGCCGAATGCAATCTCGGATGATACCCCGTGTAAGGCATGGGCCCAACTTCATCCTTTATCTTTGGTGTGACCTGTAACATTTTTAGAATTCCGATTATAGAAGCGGGTGGTTCAATGGTGCCGGCTATTGTTCTCGCTAGCTCTACTTAGCTTGCACTTTCGCTCCTAAGGATAGTAGCCGACAACCCAACCGGACCGTTGGGCTTAAAATCCTAAAAGATTAATCACAGAGACCATTAGGGACAACTCCTACTTTCTATGGGCAAAATGCCATTGATTACAAACAGAGCTGCACTTTGAAGCGGTTAACGCACATGAGGTCGACAGATTGCACATTTCTACAACTCTGGAACTTGCAGAGTCGCACCTTGCTGCCCATTTTATGCTTTTCTCCAGTCAGGGTTGTGAACCGTGTCTCTGATAAGCTGCACTTCGAAACGATCGCCGTGGCTTAACAGTGTGGACGACAGTAGTGAGCACAATATAGTAAGCCAAAACGAGCGATCGCGTGTCTTTGCAAGTTTTCTCACACGGCTAAGAACCAGCCGTCAATACTTTGGGTCAATGGAATGTGCGTACATAAGGCACAAATTTACGGGCTCGAATTTGTCGTTGCCACTAACCTTTGCACGTCAGATGCAGCAGAAGATCGAAGTCGCATTCGGGCTAACTATGCTGCACTGCGTACAAGCCGTCAAACATACGCCTGTCGTGCACGCCGACGGATATACGCTGCAACAATCACCGTCGCACAAGTGTGCAACACACACGTATGCACACAGCAGTGACCCTACGTCGCAACTACCTCTCTACGCCGCTCGACAGTACGTAAAAGGCAGCATGTCGCTAGCGAAATTCCCCGCTACGGATGCAAAGGTTCGTTCCTTTCTGCAACTTCTGGCTGAAACCAAAGCAGCAACAGCACGCTTTGATGCGACAATATTGGACCCGTCCGTCACAAGCACGGCAGTGATTGCACACAGGAGCCGTAACTCTACGTCGTTCGACGGCTCAAAAAAAGGCAGGATGCTGCCAACGAAACTCCATCACGCACGCCGCGACGGTTCCTTTCCATAACTGCCGGCCGAAACCAAAACTGCAACGGCGTGCTGCAGCAACAACAACGTTGAACACACTCGATCCGCAATGCTAAGATCCGCAATCCTACCCTACTGACAATGAGTGATGGAGTCAAAAACTTTTCGCCCCAAATGGCACGCGGTCCGACGTAAAGAAAGTCCCCACGAAATCTGCCGACGGTTTCGAGGGAGAAAAATGAGGTGAACGAAACGGTTACGGGGTCGACGACCCCCGTGCTAACTTTGGCAGGTAAGTGCGCCGAGCGGTCTCAGACGAAAGACGAGAAGCCGGGCAGGGGAGCCCGGGATCCGGCCATGTTGTGCAGCACGACGCGTCCCCCATTGAGACACATGGCCGTGGCGCTGTCCTGCTCCGAGTCCGTGTAGCTGGGCGGCTTGGCGACACGCTGGCGCTTCCACGACTGCCGGAGCGTGTCGTTGACGTTGGCGTAGTGGTTCACGAACGAGTGCGGATCTCCCTTGGTGTCGCTCTCGCTCTCGGACCCCTGCAACGGGGCGACGCCGGGTAGGTGAGAATCGAGGAAGCAGGTCTGAAGCAAGTTTCTTTGCCTTCAGAGTTAACCTTCAGACACCTCATATACAAGTTCTAAGGCAATAGGTTTATATGGAAATCCTCTGCTGACCCTTTCTGGTAGCTGGCACTTATCTAACCGTAGCAAGCAAGGCCAGGAAGAGCGTGTCGGTAGCAGATGATAGCACGATTGCCGACACCCTCTTCCACGGTCCGACGCCGCAGTGCGCGCGACCGATGGTTTGTACCACCTTTCGGTGCTTAGGAACCTGGGAACAGCATGTTAGTAGAATAATCTAGTAGGTACGGGGTCATTTCACAGTTGGATTGTACGCAACGGAAGTTTACAGAATGTGACGACAATGCACGGCCGGACTGGAAGCGCGCGCTCTCTTTCTCTTCTTACGGCCTTTGCAATCGCCCGGGAGTCAATGGTATTTTTTCTCCGTATGTAGTTCACTTGCTTGCCGCCAGGGGCGCAACCACCTCACCCCACTTCACCCCACTCGGAGGGTCCTTTAGAGCTTCGTGGGTTGTTGTTTTGGCACCCGTTTATTGAACTTCGCTTCGATTTAAGTCACTCTACCAACAGGCAGTGTCGTCAGCAAACTGCGTTCCCCTGTGACGAAAAATCAGCTGGATATGCGCACAAGCCCTCGAGGAAGCACTTTAGGCTGTAATACGCACTATGCGACAATTGTATAGACTACTACACCCTCCTCTAGAGCAGCTGACCGACTTCATGTGCGGCCTATGAAACAATGATGAAGACCACGGCGATAGATTGGGCCTGCTTCTTACATTTCACGAGAGTGTACGAATTATTTATTATTTAAAGATCCTCCACGTAGAAGGGGTCCGTCTCCTCCTGTTCTTGATTTGCAACAGAAGTCCTGGAGGTAAAGACGAGTATAGTTTTATTTCACCGTTTTGGGCTCATCAGAAGCGCATTAGAGAGGGGCTGAGGGTCTAAACGTAAGGATCAGGTGTCAAAGGCTATAAAAATCTCGGCCGTAAGTTGCGACAGCGCTGAAATACACTGTCAGCCGCGCTCCGTGCAAACGGCAAAGGGTAGCCCAGGAGTGAGGTGACAGCGCCCCCCGCGAATTGCGGCGGGAGGTGGCGATTGCCCCAATTGCAAAGGCCGTAAGAAGAGAAAGAGAGCGCTCTTCCAGTCCGGCCGTGCGACAATGTGACACGTGTGGTTGCAATGTGTGACATGTGTCACATGCAACCGTGGCAACGACGAACGGTGTTTTTGTTGAAAGTCGCGGCGCGGGTCTCGGTAGACAAATGACAGCACCGAGATTGCTAGCTCAAAAACGTGAATTCTGTAGAATGATTTTGTGAGGTGTGACCAAAGTACTGCCAATTTCTTAGAATCACACCTTTATTCAAAGTTCTGCACACTCCAAATGTTCCGAACTGGATAGCCTCGAACAAATCTTTGACAGGCGTGTCTAGCACCCCACACTGCCCACACGACAAAGTGGTCCAAAAGTGGCAAACATTACGTCCTGATCCTGGCAATCAGTTGAAGTCCTGGCAAAAACTTTGCGCGGATGATTGGGCAACGCAATGCGAATGGACGGCGTCAGCTGGTGCGACATTTCGACGATACTGCGTCATGGTTGACTAAAAATTCTGGTGGCATGTTGCGTTGCGCGGTGTAGCGCGTAAAGCACAACCTGTTGCACACAAAACGGCTAGCACCAACGACGTTCTTGCAGATGCGGTGCACAAAGTGCTCGGTCGCACCGGCGTGTCCATTCTTCGCTCGGCAACGTTCCCTTCCACAGGCGCTTCACGTTCGCGTGCAGATTGATCTCGAATTCGAATGCATTTCATCCTAACACCCGTGGTGAGGTTGTCGGCGTCCACAAGTCGACGAAGTTCCCTCTCGCAGGCGCATTTACGCTGCCTGCTCCGGTGTACGCTTCGGCCGCCCCATTCTTGAGCACAGAAGTTTAGAGCGCCGAGAAAGAACGGGTGGCAACGAGAGCGATCACACGACCCCCGGCGCAATTGCGATGAACGTGCCGCACCTCAGCCATGACCATTATCGGCAAAAGGGTAAGGACATCCCTGGTCTCCCGGCACCAAAGCCACCCGCGATCAATGTGCACATTCTCCGTTCCTTCTCAACAACATGACGCTCGCCCAGTACACCCGATGCCGTAATAGACGAGCGAGCGAGCGCAAGTGTCGCTGTCATTGCGCAGCCCCATTGCCTAGCTTCTGTAAACCGTCAAGTGAGAGAGCGACCCAGGGCAGAACGAAGGTGTCCGCCGCATCTACCTTCGCTGCCGTGCCGCCACCAGGATAGCAGCAGGCAACTATGTGACACGAGCGTGACGCGGCAACGCATATTGAGGGACCATATTTGGGGATGCGGTTAACGCGCCAGCTGGGGACGCATTCGAGGCACCGCAACATGGCGGGGCGAAATCGGCGGGCGACAGCTCGACGCGGGAGCGGCGTTGCCGGGTGGGCATCGAGAGACTGGAAATGAGGACGCGGCGAAGGGACGGACGCGTTCCCGGCACCACAACGAAACGGGGGTCGCGGCGGCACCCACCTGGGAGTCCGAAGAACTCATCTCGGAGGGCTTCTCGGTGAGGCTGCTGGAGTCGCAGTGGTCGTCGTAGCCCTTGGTGTCGTCCTCGTCCGAGTAGGTCACGCTGGCCGGGGATGGCCGGGGAGGGGACCGCAGGGGCTTGCGCAGGGATGCCCGCGTCAGGCTGCGCTTGGCTCCCACGCTGGGCTCGGGGCTGCCGAAGCCCGCGTCCTCGAGGCTCAGGTGGTCCTCGCTCTGCAGGCTCTGCTGCATCTCCTGGGGAGCAGGGGGGGTACGGAACGTGAAACTGTCACCGGAGTGAGCCTTCTTTATAAAAAAAAAAAACTGGCATCCGCACAAAGTGGCCTTTACTCGACGTCAGGGGGTTCTTAAGAACGAACGGCCTATCGGCATCTCCCAGGAAGAGGGGTACGCGCAGCACGCAGCTGGAGTACCACGCTGTCAGCGACCGTATGGTGACAAGCTAGTCCGGGAGTTCTCAAGCTTTCCCAACACCTATGAGCCTTGGCATTGATGCAACAAAGCAGTGCAGGAGCCTAAAAAGGCCTTGTAAACAGTAATGCACACTCGCAAATGTTTGGCTCATAGTTGTGCATCAATGTTTGGCTCAGGCCTGCGAAAGCTTAGGGGCAGGGATGGTTGAGAAAATCTGGGGGAACCCCATTGTGTTCTGCAGAACCCAGTTTGAGAACCCATGATTTATTAGCATTTATTATAAAAATTTCTTAATTCAAAGATTTTTACGGCAGTAGCTGTTCGTGCGTGTTCCCGGCAAAATGAATGCTCATGTACAAATGCACAACCCCCCCCAACACCAGGGGCACTGCTCTCCCTTTCCCAGTCGTTCCTCACACACCACAATGCTCTTTTCTCGCTTCTTTTTCTCTTCCCCCATCTTGCTCCGGCAACGCTCTTCCTTTCTCCCCCACAACCTCGCCGGTAGCTGCTGTTGCGAAATACCCACAAGGTCGCGCCGCGCTGACACGCCCCCTCACCCCCTCGCCTCCACACAGCCACCACCCAGGTTTCGTTCCCGTGTTCTCCGCACCTCTACAAAACAGCTCGCATACAGTAAAACCTCGCTATAACAAAATGGGATATCACAAACTAATGGATATAACAAAGCAATCATAATTCCCCTTGCTTGCTAATAGGGAAGAAATGGACATTGGCTATAACAAACTAATGGTTATAACGAAATAATTATGATCGCTCCTTCAACTTTGTTATAACGAGGTTTTACTGTACATACTTTCGCTTCTTCCACCACAGGCGCAGTCATGGACGCCCCAAGGGTGTTTCAGCCAAAAAGATAAAGCACGTCTCTGTGTCCTTCTCCAACATTATTCAACATCTCGCACAATCATTCCACCAAAGCGCACATATCCTCACAGATGTCTTCTATGCCAAGTCCACCGAAAGCAAAGAACCCATTGCACACATTGTACAACACACCTAAACCCACATGGCAAAGCAAAAAAAAACTCCTAGTGTCGGCTAAGAACAATGGAACTCTGTGCGCACCTGCTTGTAGCGGTGTGTCTTGCTCTTGACGCATAGCACGGCCACCACCAGGATGATGGCAACCATGGAGCCTGCCGCCAGCACCACCAGGAACCACGGCTCCCGGTAGAAGGGCATCCGCTGCTTGTACTCCAGGAACAGTTTGCCTGCGTAGGCCGCGACAGACGCTCTCAGCAAGTGCATTCACAGAAACAAACTTTACATGGCGTCAACATTTTTGTGCAACGTTCCCAAGGATGGCATAGTTTCAGCAGCACTCCAACGTCGTGCAGGCTAGTTGCGTGAGCGCATGACTTCATATGGCATCGCTTTAGTGCGAGAATGCGTGCGAATGTAGCTTAAGATGAAACCACCAGAAAACCTCCCACCCAAATATCTTTAAATTTTTGGCGAAAAAAGTGCCTTCTGCGAGTAAATGCGGTAAAACATTAATGACAACTACTTCTACAATATCAATTACTACAACTATAACATCAACTACAACATCAAAACGGACGTCATTTCCAATGGGGGAAGAGCCCCATAACAACTATCGCTGTAAAACAAAATTTTTTAGGCTTAAATATTTTCCCTTGAAACTCACATTCATGAAATTTGGATATAAGAAATGCACCACTCTAAAGACATCTTTGTGGGAGGTTTTAATTCTTCATTGGTTAATTTATAATATTTTTTATGCCTAAATAATGTAGAGAAACACCCTGCAGAAGTGGGCCCCCCACATGAAACGCTGACCCGCATGTAAGCGATTTAGCGAGCGACGAGACGAGCAACGGAGATTTCTTACCGTCGCTCGTCGCGTTGCTCGGTTTTTGGATTTCTAGAAAACGTCGCTCGTCGCCTTGGTCGCTTGCTCCCGTCGCTTTCATGCAGTCTGCGCCGTCACTTGTCTCGTCTCTTGCCAAATCGCTTACGTGCGGTTTATACTTACCGTAAAATACCGGGCAAGCGCCCACTCAAACTTTGGAGATAATCGCAAAAAAATGGGGAAAGGGCGCTTGTCCGGTCATCAATTTTACATGTAAATTTACTGCGCTTATTTTCTCAGATCTTACAAATTTGGGAATGGGTGCTTAATGTGGAATGGGTGGATGCACGGTATTCTACGGTAACTCTTTCCGTAACACGGGAAAATGTGGCAATTTTCTGAAGAGAAATTTTTTTTTTTTTTTTCAGAACTATTTAGCATATGGCTAAACACAAAACATAAAAATGTAGGCGATAAGCCACTCATTAGAAGAAAAAAGGTTTTATTAATGTCCAAATAAAGTTCCATCAAATTTAAAAGCTAAACTTGAAATTATTACAGAAAGTCGCAACATTGGTGGCTATATTTAATAAGTATGATATTTAAAAGTTCTAAATATACAAAGTGTGCCCCGTACACACCACTATCACTTCTGTAAGTTAGAGAAGTCTAGCTGATACTGTCTTTTTTTTTAATCCGTTGGAAAGAGCTCCCGCGGCATCGTACCATTCAGAGAAGCCCTTGCCCGAGGGGGTGCATGTTCTCAGGAAGGCTTTTTTTTTTCTTGCACAAAACATTTTTCTGTCATTGCACTGCTCTAACTTCTACTCTGCTGGTGCTTTTATTGCTCGCGACACATATGAAATGTGTGCCGCAGCTCACAACAGCCTAGAAAGCTAGAACGACACTCTCCGCCGAGTGCTTATCGACATTCTGCACCTCGGAGATTAAGGGAGGAGGTGGGGAATAAATATGAACTTTCTTATTTCTAGAGATATCTGAACGAAATTTACAGGGTGTGTTTATAGCACAGACATAAGAGTAACTGCAAAGTTTCATGGAGCTGTGCATATTATTTCTCAAGTTACAAATATTTATCAAAATCGTCCATATGCATTCCTTATCCCAGGTCTGGAGAATTTGAAAAAGGTAGTAGCGGCGTAAAATTTGTTATGATTACCCCTGGATACATTCCTCAGGGCATAACAGAGCCCTTTTATTAAATTTCTTTGTTGAAAAATTTTAACGCAACTTTGAATTTTTGTGTAGTCATGAAACCCACATTCACCAAATTTAATTTTTTTATTATAAATTTTTAGCGCAGTTTTCTAAAAAAAGGGCTCTGTTATGCCCTCACAAAGTTATTAGAGAACAGAATAAAAAAGACAGCACAAAAATCCATTCATCAGTTCCTGAGATATCGCTGGGACAAGCAGCCACGACAGTGAAAAAATCCATTCTGAGAAAACAGCACTTGAAGGTTGCACCCAGATTTTCAGCTTTAGAATGACCCTGCAGAATAGTCAGAAGTGTTCTTGTGCACTTTCTTCTTGTTCCGCCTTTCCAAATTCTCTTGATGTCGTTTGCTGGCCTTGTGCAGACGTAGGGCATCTTTCCCGGCAGCTCGTTGGAGGGCTAGATGGGTCGGCTGAAGTCCCACTGCAACCGATATTTCTGCAGTTGCCTTGTAGCAGCCGGCGTTGAACCTAAACACCGCTTCATGCAGTGCAATTTGCTGGCATAGCTCCAAGTTCGGCTTGAGCAATATCACAATGTCTAGCTTCTGCTTCGATCTCCTCACGTGTCAGGAAATGCGTCCGCAGATGGGTGCTAGAAGACGCGCTCCTACTTGTCGCGGCAGGCGGAAGACGGGCGCTGGGACCCGCGATCTCGGGAGGAACCACAACGGTCGGCATGCTCGGCACTCCAGGCGTGAGCGGGGCGATGCGTTCTTCCTCGACGACAGCCGATGGCACAGAAAATCCATCACTGGAGGTGTTGACGCGATCATCATTGACGGCACGCCGTGCAGAAACTTCCTAGTTCGCCATCCGCACTAACTTCATGGACCGCTTCCGCGCGCCAAACGCGCGCACCGTCTTGTACTTCGAACCCCGCATCGTGTGCGACCACGAAACAGACGGGCACGCTACACGAAACTACTCAAAGAAAGTTCGGAAAACGATCGTAAAGATGGCGAAAAACGAAGTGGAACTGACTAAAAGAGCGCGTGCAAGCAGACCACTACCAAAAGCAGACGACGCGAGCGGCAACAGCAGGAGAAACGGAGGAGGAGAGCGCTCCGCGCGCGGAGAAATCGCGTCCCAGCCAATAGCAGTCGCGCGCTCCCCCGCACGCTCCTCGAGCGCGCGCTCTGTCCAATCGCGTTCTTGCGATTGCGACATGGAAGAACGGCGACAGTGCCGTAACCACGCGGCCGACGCCATTTTGGGAGCTGGCAAAAAAAAGAGAAAGAATTCACGTTCAAAACAAGACTAAGATGGCGGCCGTCGGTCCAACGCTTTGAAAATGGCGAGCGCGCGAAGTTGGGGTTGATTTTGACGTTTGACCGTCACTTGGATGCTATTCAGGCCTCGTAAATAATTGTTTTTAAATATTTCCCCATTGTATTTGGTGCTGATAATTACAGAGAAGGTAGTTTATGAGATATACAACCGAAAAATAAGGTTTTCTAAAAATCGACTTTTTCGCGATTTTCCGGTTTTCAAAGCCCGCGTCCCCCCTTAAAACGTCGCCGTAAGAGCTCAAGTCAAATGATCCAATGACATCCACAGCCCTCACCACAGCTGTCCTTCGAAAAACAAGCAGCAAAAGCGGTTAAATCGTGCGACCGAAGCTATCTTTGTGGCGGCACCCAATGTCGGCCGGACGCCATGTTTGACAAGTGCCCTCCTCGCGCAGAGATTTATTTTCGATAGCTCACAAGCTCCGAAAAAGGACAAAACGGAATCGAAAGTAGCGTTTCTCGGCTATTCACGAGCTTTTGTAAAACGTTCCTCCGCATCAAATTAACATTTTGGCCGTGCGTAGAATCCGTTGATCACGGACGATCAAAGGCCAATGGCCGCAGTACGGAAAGAGTTAAAACGCGAGCCGAGGAAAACTTTCGGGCGAGACAAACGCAACGATGACTGCAGAATGGGTTCCTGCTCCACCCGGGCGCACAAGAAAGTTCGACAGTCACTCACTGGGTGTCAGGACGTGTTCTGGCGCGTAGGCGGGTGGACTGATGCCCAGCCGGTTGCGTGCGAGCAGGCGCAGCACGTAATCCGTCGACGGCAGCAGGTTCTGGAAGCTCACGGTGTAGGAGGTGCGGGGCCCGCCTTCCAGCTCCGCAATCGTCTGCCACTCTTTGTCCTCGTCTGCGGGAAGGAAGCAACAACCGGCTCCAGGGGAGCTGCGACAGACGCTCTCTGCCAGCGTGCTGGCCTACACTTCATCTCCATATAGACCCTTTTCAAAATTTAGCGCCATCTGGGGGACTCGAAGAGCAGCTTCACCTCTGAAAAACCAATAGCAGTCGTGAAACTTCATTTCGTCGGGCGCCTTCGCTTTCGCGCGTCAGGGGCAGAATTGGTTCTATAGATCGCCTCGTAATTCTGTCTTGGTTTTTTTTCAGTTTCGATGGTGAGAACGTAAGAACTGATCAGAACGAGGCGGCGACCCTTAAAAGGCTCGATTAAATTTCCGCCGTCAAAAGGTGTTAGAATTAAACTTGGGCCAAAAGATTGATTGGACATGCAGCCGTCATACATAATTCATGCATCGTGTTATACTGACGTCTCAAAAATACAAACCTCGTCAGTCGAACCTCCTTATAACAAACGGGTACGTTAGGCATCGATGTTTTGACATCCTGTGCTCATCATTTGTGCTCGTTTTGATGTTTTTTTGTTTTTTTTCTTTGTCAAATTTGAAACTAAAAAAAACAGTATTGTCGAGACCGGTTATAACGAAATCAACAAAAATCGGAAATCACTTCGCTATATCCGCTATTTCATTATAACGAACTTCAGTTAACGAAGTGCAAAAGGGAATGGGAAATCGTGATCGCTTCGCTGTAGCCGCTACTTCGTTATAACCCACTTCGTTAGAACCAGTCTCGACATATTTGCATGTAGCAAGCAGATCTATCAATCTCCTCCACTGACATAGCACGACAACTCTATTATATCCGAATATCAGTTATAACAAAATCTGTAGTAAGCAAAGTTGGCTCAACGGCCTAAATAGGAAGATCAGCCAAAACTTCACAAATCGGTATGTTATAACTGAATGTGTGCTATAACGAGGTTATACTGTATTCTCTTCAAACACAAACTTCATAACAATTTAGTCACGAGTGACTCGTGAGCCATAGTGGTTGTGTAAGACAGCAAGTTTTGGCTCGATACATTTTTCTCAAAAGACCTTTCGAATGCGTTTCTAGTTTGAAAGTGTCAGTTTCTGACGATATGTCAGTCAACACCACTTACCTACCGCAAAGTTCCAAAAGAATGCCCGCCCAAAATGAAGAGATAAATGGTGAAAAACATGGGGTGGGCTATCTTTGGGGATGCCACAGCAAAACTTTACAAAAAATTAATGATAAACACTGGGGCACCCACTACAAACCACGTGACGAGGGAACTGATACTCCAGATCGCGGACACCGCAAATTCGCGTCTCACGACGAGATGAACACGCGGGAATTCGCTACGAATTCCTGTGTCACCGGAAAGGATACTGAAGTTTGCCGACGCAGCAGATTCGCGTTTTACCGCGCGACGAACCCGCGGAAACCCGCCGAGAACTTGGGTCTTACGAGAATGAATACCGCAAATCACAAACTCAGCAGACTCAAGTTTCGCGGTGCAAAATACACGCGGGAATCCGCTACAGACACGTATGTCACGGTCAGGCCTCTATCCGGCTAGGTCTAACCAGATGCGGTTAGGCCTACGAGCTAGGCCTAATTACGTTCAGTCAGCCGTCTGCTGGGCCATTGACCGGTACAGTCGGTGGCTCCGAGCACATACCCGAGTGGGAGGGCCGTGCCTCCAGCAAGTAGCCCGTGATGGGGGCCGACCCCTGGGGCCCTTCCTTCCAGGAGAGGGTGGCGCCGCCGGCGTTGCGCTGCAGCGCCAGTTCCAGCGGGGCCAGGGGCGAGCCCTCCTGGGGCCCCGTGGTCACGTTGCGCTGGCTCTCCGGGCCGTAGCCCTGGGATGTCTCGGCTTGCACGCTGAACCGGTACGTGGTCATCTCGCACAGTGCTCGCACCGCCAGGAATGTGTGCGACACCTTCTGGCGCACCTGCCTGCCAGACTCTGCGGAAAATGGCGTCGTCCCTTCGAATGAATGGATGCACACTGCCAAACCCTTAAAAACAATTTTAACAAAAATTTGCAACTCATACCTTTTATACCGTTTATCTTGGCACAAGAGAAAGAAAACATGCCACTTTCCCTCGAAATACTGCTATTTTGCTGCGTAATTGCAAAAGAGAAAACATTTTTTCCCCGATTTGCAGCCATGTGTGGCGATCATCGGAGTAGGCATGGCCACATGACAGCAGAGCGCAACCGTTCAAAGACCACCATGTAATTTCAGCTCCTGCTTTCCTGCGTGCTGACGAATTCGACCCGTGGAACGAGTTATTGTCTCTTCGTGGGCCTTACACCGCAGAAGAACGCGTCAACAGTGTTACCAGGCACGTCCCTCGACAACAGCTCAATGGCTCCAGGACACGCCGACCCCATGGATTAGCCCTTTTTCGTCGATGCCTATAACTCGTCAACCTCATCGACTCTGCCTCACCCTGGTGGCCACTTGGGCTGTATTTATACGGCGCTACAGAAATTTTTTGCCAGTAGGCATGGCTGCACGACAGCAGAGCGCAGCCGTTCAGTGGCCACTATGCATTTTCAGGTAGGTGCCAATGCATCATACTGCTGCAACAATCGATTAATATTGTGCCTTACAGGAATTTTGAACGATATTATTTAGAAATTTGAAATACAGTAAATGGAATGCAAATCAACAATTCAAATCGAACCACAAACCGAATCAAATACCAAATACTATTCGACTGGTACTTGAAATCTAAAATATCTGCACATGACAACGAGGACAACGAGGCAAAAAAGGCACATGAAAATGAGGACCAGACGTATCCTGGTCACAAAAATCCTTTCTCACCGATGTCCAGGTCGGCGGTCTCGTAGTTCACCAGGTAGCCCGTGATGACTCCGTTGGGCTCTTCTGGAGGACTCCAGCTCACGTTGAGCGAGTTCATCGTGATGTCCGAGAAGTCCAGAGGTCCGGGCACGCCGGGCCCTGGAAGCGCACCGGTCGTCTCCATTTCGTGCGCTCTACAGAAACCAGCTATCGAGCAAGCTCGCTTTTATCGAACCTCCCATTTTTTTTGACAGACTACCGGAATTCTGTGTCCAAAGCAGAGTTCTAGGAATGGTATGAACATCTTCAAAATGAAGTGTTATGCAGCCCGGTTGTTGCGCATTACGTTTCTTTTTCTGACACCTAAACACGAGCTTCGTGGCAGTAAACCTCATTACAATAGAGCTTCGGAGTTGCTCAAAATTAAAGCTTCTAGGTACCCAGTCAATAAAAAGTAATGGAGAAGTTTGCATTGAAAAACTTCTGGTGAATCAAACAAGTTACTTTGCCCTCTATTCTCAAACAAAGTGCAGAAAAAAATGCCTTTTGAAGTTAACTTTGACTCAAATGCAACAGATACCAATGTTACCACAAAACAAAAACCACTATGTGACTGCAACAAAGCTCACAAGAGCAGATAACATGGCTTCAACAGACTGTCAAAAAATCTTTAAAAAAAAAAACAACAAAACTTAATACAGCGAACAAGTCAACAAAACCATGTCTCTATGCTTGAGAAAGAAGGTGCAAAAAGGTGTGATCACGGGTGCGACAAGCCCCTACCACCACCTATAATATTCCCTGCAGCAGGTAGGAAACGTCTCGACAGCGACTTCTTTAATCACTGAAGCTTGTCCAGCGGCCACCATTACGACTAGCAGACGACGCTATGTTTATGTACTCTTCGTATGCTTTGATCGGAGCTCGGCACCCCAATCGCTGTACCCTCTGCACAAGGAGCAAACGGACTTGCTCGGCACAACAATGAAAAAGAAAGCCTCGATGCCGATGCAAATAAGATTGCGCGCCACTCACGGTCTGCCAGGGTCTGCACTTGCAAAACCTGCGAGCGTGGGCCGTCGCCGGCCGGATTGAAGGCCAGCAGCTGCACGGAGTAGCGGGTGAAGCGACGCAGGTCTGTCAGCGTGTACGCGGCCGGCGTGGCCGGAACCGCCTCCATCGCTTCCTCCGTGTCTCCTTCCGCCTTGTAGAAGATCTGCACCACGAGGGCAGCATTTAAAGACACAGACAGAGGGGCGGGAAGAACGGACAATTAATAAAATGAAGCTAAAAAATGAAAGCCGCTTACAACTCCCTGTAACGCCGAATTGGTGCGCAGCTCTTGAGGAGGAGAAGGGAAGGGCACTGGGGGGGGGGGGGTTAAACTAACCAGGGGGGGTCACGTGACCCCCAATGCCGATGATGTCATCACTGACGTCACTGATGACGTCATCAGTGACGATGACGATGCGGGTACCGATGACGTCATTAGTGACGTCACTGATGACTTCACCAGTGATGATGACGATGACGATGCGATTGTCGGTGACGTCATCAGTGATGATGACGATGACGATGACGATGCGGATGTCGGTAACGTCATCAGTGATGATGACGATGACGATGCGGATGCCGGTGACGTCATTAGTGATGATGACGATGACGATGTGGATGCCGGTGACGTCATCAGTGATGATGACGATGACGATGTGGATGCTGGTGACGTCATCAGTGATGATGACGATGACGATGTGGATGCCTCTGACGTTATCAGTGATGATGACGATGACGATGTGGATGCCGATGACGTCATCAGTGATGATGACGATGACAATATGGATGCCGGTGACGTCATCAGTGATGATGACGATGACGATGTGGATGCCGGTGACGTCATCAATGATGATGACGATGACGATGTGGATGCCGGTGACGTCATCAGTGATGATGACGATGACGATGTGGATGCCGGTGACGTCATCAGTGATGATGGCGATGACGATGCGGATGCCGGTGACGTCATCAGTGATGATGACGATGACGATGTGGATACCGGTGACGTCATCAGTGATGATGACGATGACGATGTGGATGCCGATGACGACATCAGTGATGATGACGATGACGATGTGGATGCCGATGACGTCATCAGTGACGATGACGATGTGGATGCCGGTGACGTCATCAGTGACGATGACGTCATCGGGGGGTCACGCGACATCGGCGGGGGTCACGGGACCTCGAGGAGGGGGTCACGTGACCTCAGGGGAGTCACGTGACTTCGGGGGGTCACGTGACCCCCCACGAGGTCACGTGACCCCGGTGGGGGGCTCGCGCGGTGCATTATGGGACATTTCCCATGATGCACCGCGCGGTTACGCCGACGGCGACGGCGACGGCGACGCCGCTCAAGCCGGAAACGGGCCCCTAAGAGCTGCGCTCTAAAAAAAATGAAAGCCGTTTACAATTCCCTGTAACGCCGGTTAGAGCGTAGCTCTTGAGGAGGAAGATGGAAGCGTACTGAGGGATAGGTGACTCCTTGAGGTCACGTGACCTCAAGGGGATCACGTGACCTCAGGGGGTCACGTGACCTCAAGGGGGTCACGTGACCTCGGGGGGTCACGTGACCTCAAGGGGGTCACGTAACTTCAGGGGGTCACGTGACTTCTGGGGGTCACGTGACTTCTGGGGGTCACGTGACCTCAGGGGGTCACGTGACTTCTGGGGGTCACGTGACCTCAAAGGGTCACGTGACCTCGGGGGTCACGTGACCTGAAAGGGTCACATCACCTTAGGGGGGTCACGTGACTTCTGGGGGTCACGTGACCTTAGGGGGTCACGAGACCTCAAGGGGGTCACGTGACTTCTGGGGGTCACGTGACCTCAGGGGGTCACGTGACCTCGAGGTTACGCCAACGCCGACGGCGACGCCGCTCAGGCTGGAAACGGGCCCCTAAGAGCTGCGCTCTAAAAAAAAAGCAGGCAATCGTTTGATCTGTTGTCTAAACAAGCCATACGCAGAATGCGTGAGCAAAATGTACGCAGATGCGGGTAGTGTGATGACGCGGTACGACGTTGCATCTTGTGACGCAATGTCACGATATAACGTTGCAGCACGACTTGATACTGAATGTTACTCGACCTAATGATACCGATGACGGCAATACCTCAGCTTCGCACCCCGAGTCACATGATGCCGCGACATCACCTGACTAGCCGTGGACCGACCCATGTCGCGGGCCCACATGACACGCAGCAGTACCGGCCATGAGACCATGCGACTCATAATGGCATCCTGCCCAATTTGGCAACTCGCTAGCCCATTAAATTTAGCCGAATACAACACAGAACAGCCATGGCTATGGCTACAACCTCGCTACTGCTGAAACCCCTTCTGCATTAAAAAGAAGCGCAAAAGAAGGCCCACCTTGTAGCCCAGCAGCTCGCCGTTGCGCTCATCCTCGGGCGGGGGCGCCCAAGACACGGCCACTTCCGTCGGACTCGGGGCGTCAAGGCGGACTTGGCGCGGATATCCCGTCGGAACTGCAGTGCAAGACGTTTGTGACCTCGTGCGCCCGGTACAAAACAGAGCCAATGGCAACACATTGCAGAAAAGCTGCCTTGCGCCCTCTTTGCTGTATTACTACGGCCTTTGGGCGTACATACAGTGTAGACCGCATATAACGTATGTCGCGGGAGTCGCGAAAATCCGCACTATAAGCGGTACCGCGTTATAACCAAAACATAAATTTTTCAGGCCAAAATACATGCCATGAGACAACTTACCTTTGTAAAACAATTTATTTTATGTGAGATGGAAAATAAAGCTTAGTTTGAGGAAAGTCTTTATTTCACCAGACTAGTGCACTTCTCTCTCAAGTGTGTCACACATTTTGAAAGAAATGAGCGGCTTTTGCCTGGCGCAGCCTTTTAGCGGCGTCGCGGGTTGCGGACGGACGTTGCGAGCGTTCAGGATTGCTAACCCTAATCACTTTTCTCCGGAGATGAAAACGCGTGAAAATTCGCATCCTTCATACGGTACGCGCCAGTAATACCTTGAACTTGAGCGCACGCATGAAACGCGCCAAATAAGAAATCCGGGCGATGTTCGAGCACACAAATGCTTAGAAATCATCACTGTAGTCGAAGTAAACAAACACGACGACACGGGCGTTTCTGCCGTCTTGAGAGCGCCGCCACGACATCGCCGCTCGAGTAGGTGGATCTTCCTTTCTAGTACGTGCTGGATTATCATAGCGAGACACAGCGAAAATTCACAGTAAAGGATAGCGCTTTTACGCGGAACGATGAGATAAACGCCGTCTAAGACGACGATCACAACGTTGATCACAACCGATGCCATGTTTGCGGAGAAGCAGCCGGCCCGCGACCGGCATGCGACGCGCGCGAACACTTCTCGACCTTCGATTGGTCTGTCGTTGCGGTTGTTTCGGATGTTTTCAAGGAAGCCTCTCTCTTCGCTTCTCCCGCTTCTTCGAGCAACCTCCTTGCCCCCCGAGTGCCGCTTGTGCAACGCTTGCGGCTCGCGCCGTCAGCGCCGTTATGTAGTGTCGCACAGGGAAGCGTGCTCGCTGCTCCGGTCGTCAGCGCGGTCGGCGGGCTGTGCCAGAAACCGCACTATAACCGGTATTGCCCTTCGCGCGCCTGCATTTTAAGCGGTATGTAATTACATGGAGTTCTATGGGAGGCGAACCGGTGGTTTAAAAAAACCGCGTTATACCCGGTCCTGCACTATAAGCGGTTACGTTGCAAGTGGTCTATACTGTATACGACACTCAACCTGCACAATGAAACAATGGCAAGAAACGACCACATATCTATGCAAAAGCATACACCGCACGTACGAGGAAACGTGTGTCAACAATTCACCTACATCAAGCTATAGAGAAACTCAAACATCCAATGTCGTGCTAGCCAAATTAAAATACCATCGCAACCACAACTGAATCTGCACACATGTGGCTTAGTTGGGATGTCACAAAGTTCCGTGTTCTACATGCTAGCGACGGTCGGTTCAGACAACTTTGCCGGTCCTGCACTCGACAGACCCACTGATCTGCCGTGACGTCCCTCCGTGAGTCCCCCCTTTTTTTTTTCCTGCTCCCGCTCACTTCCCGCATGCACTGTGGCGCCGCCCGGCGAGGATGCATGCACCTAGCGCATGCACTTGGTGCACGCGTCATTAAACAAATGAAAACTGTCCACGAGCAATCAAGTTATAAACGCTGCAATCCCTGCACACACGCCAACGAGCTTCACAAACTCTCAGCCGTCAATTAACGCCGCGATTTGCCACCAAGTCTAGCGGGCCACACCATGCGCACACCGGACACGCTGCGAAACGCTGCCAACGACGGATTTCGCCATGAAACGAGAAAAAGAAGAGAAAGCGCACTGACCGGCCTCCCCGACGTAGACGGACACCGGGCGGCTGGTGGGGCCGTCCCCCTGCCCGTTGGTGGCCACCACGCGCACCTCGTAGATGCGGTCCCTCTGCAGGCCCTCCAGGGTCAGGGGCCCCCCGCCGGCACCCTCCAGGGAGCGGCTGCGGCACTCCTGGGGTCCTGCCCCCACGGGGCAAGCCTCCACCCGGTAGCTCGGGTGGGCCAGGTCTCCGTTCCAAGCCTCCTCCGCAATGCCCTGCGAGAGAGGGCAGTGCTCGGTAGGTTCTTCAACGTGGGCCGCTTCGACGCCATACTACTGTAATGTCCCGGGAGAAAGCCTACCTAAAACCATGAGCTAATCGGGCAAAAATAAAGAGCGAACTTTCAGTGTGCAATTGAGATAAGTTTAAAAAATTATATTTCTAGGTCGTGCGTCCTTTACCAGAGGGGCAACGAAGCAAAGACGACCGTAGTTCTCAGATGGCAATGTTCAGTTATGTCCCGCCATAGCTAACTAACCCAGTTTGCGTCGAGGCTGTCGTTGATCCAAATGCTAAAATTAATAGGGGTGGGCCATCTTTCGGTGTTCAAGAAGAAATAGCAAATCATGCTAAACATAGAGGGCGAATTATTGTTCGAGGGTGAGACGTCCCTCGGGATATTACGGTGAACGTATTCCAGGAACTTTTCTTGTGCGTGACCAAAAACACTACGCTTGGACAGCCACAGGCACTGCATACGCATGCCTTCCCCGTATAAAAGATTCGAAGTAAGTAACCAAAATAAAGCGTTGACGAACGCCCATGCAACATGCCATTTGTTTAAGGCTTTTGCTTCAGAGCAGTTACTGCTCCAGATGCCGGCACGTGCGGCGCGTGGAACACCATTTCCTGCATTGTCCTTGATGCTTGGGTAATATAGCAATAGGTCTATTTCACTTCTCTTCTCTCGTCGTAGTGGAGAGACCGCGTATAGTCCGGACTCCCGAAGAGCAACGTGCCTACGAAGAGCACAGCGGGAACGGCACCGAGACTGTCAGCGGCGGAGGTGGGCGGCAAACACCACCGACGAAGATCGTGCACAAAACGCCAAGCGCATACGGCAAACCAGACAAGACGACGAACGTCGCGGGGCGGAGAACGCATCCAATAAATGTGTGTGCGTATCCTTTCGCCACGATGGCCATTGATCAAGACAATAAATGTGTTTGTACCTTTGCTCAAAATTTTGTGTCACGTCTGTCGTGTGCTAAACAGCTTCGCTGGTCATACACCTTCACAGAGTAAAATGGCTCATGATTTTTTGCTCAGTGTGGATGTGCCTCAACTGCAAACAGCCGAGAACGCCGGCGAAGAGTGCCGAGGTTCTCGCCCAAGCCGCCAGAGTTTCAATCGAGATGTGTAAAGTATGTACCATATTTACCCGAAAATAGGTCGACCACGAAAATAGGTCGACCCCTATTTATTGAGCCCACCGAGAATAAAAAAAAAAAAAATTCAAATATAGGTTGACCTTTTTTTCTTTTTAAGGAACAGGGGAAAGTAAGGGCAAAAGAAACAAACCTTTATTTACAGCACTCTCAGCTAAATCACAGGGCGATGTCAAAAAAGCTTCGTCAGCTTGGTAGACATCCTCGCAAATTGGCAACAATACTTCACTGACAGCGTTGTAAAAGGAATGACGACAAGAAGAAACGAAAGGTGGAGATGGGCGAGCGACGAAAGATCAAACACAAAGACGCGAGCAACGCTGCCAGCCTCGTGAGCAACACGCGACCCCCCGAAAAAAAAAAACTAAAAAACCTCCAATTTTTTTTTTTTTTTTTTTGTTTGCGCGTTTGCAAGGGAGAGAGGAATGGAGCGCATAGGAGGGCAAAGTGCAAAGTGCATGGCGCATCGCGTTCCTCTCCCTCGCCTCCCCCTTGCTCAGCGAGGGGAACGCTACAGGCGTGATGGCGAAACTCGACGCCCGAGGTATGTGCGCGAGAGCCGTAGTCGGCGGCCACGGCCTGTCAGCTGCTGCTGTTCGGTTGTTTTTGTGCATCAAAAGCTTTTTGAAACAAGAAGCCGCGCGGCTCTACCGGGACGCCGGCTAGGTGATTGATAGCTCCATACCCTCGGTAGGGTTTCAAATTTTGGTTGTGAGTTAGGTCGAAATTCTTTGGTCACGATTATAGGTCGACCCTTAATTTTTGACAACATTTCCGGAAAAAAAAGGTCGACCTATATTCGAATAAATACGGTACTTGGAATTCTTTGCTCTTATTTCATGCGAAATATACTCTGACTAATCGAATATTGAGCTAAGACAGTAAAACTGCACTGTGTGTTTTGTAATTCCAATCAAAATGCCCTTGTGCACTCAGACGGCTCTCGGAAGTTGCAGAGAACAATAGAGACAGCGGCAGCGTTATCAAGAAGCAGACCGCTCCGCAAGAGCGCCGTGTTGTATGCTTTTGAGGACGGCCGCACCGAATAAGCGAGAGCTCCGCATACGCGAGTGCAACGTTGATTACCAAGAAACGTATACGTCATTCGATTGACATTCGGCAGAATGTTGAGCATACTTTCCGGGAAATTCTGTTATCCGGGAATGTATGAACCGAAAACAAAACAGCGCAACTCCATAAAATGTTTCCCGTGCTCTCACTCGTGAACGTATGAACCGGGAGCATATCAACGAGATTTTACTGTACATTGGAATCTCGTTGATTTGTACTTCAGGGGGACCAAAAATTTGTTTGAATAAAGCAAAGTTTGAATTACCGGGAGTTTCCTCCCATAGAGTCCCATAGGATGGGACCTGCATGTTAGTTTGAACTAAGAAAGTTTGAAATAACGAAATTCAACTGCATTGGGTTGCTTCGCCACCTCATAATAAGACGTCTCCGGTGCTCTAGGGCAGCGAGAGGTGACGAACACTCACCTTCCAGACGACAGTGATGGACGTGGTGGTGTACGGAGTCACCACGACACCGGTCGGTGCTACTTCGGGAGCTGCGAGAAAAAAGAACCCATCCGGGACATTCGCAAACTCCAAGCGGGACCCCAAAAAGCTGTCCTTCCTCTTACAAATTTAGAAGCTCCGCACGGTACAACAGTTAACACAGTTGGCACCGATGCGGCACAAATGCTTTTTTCAAAGTTTATCGATCCAGGTTAGTGATGAACACAAAGCTTTACAACCACATTTGGTCTTGGACACGAGCGTAGTCCGTTGGTCTGGTGGTTGCGACACTACCCGTAACAAAAACATGAGAGATTGACGACTGCACGTTTGGACTATGTTGGATTCTGTACACTGGGCCCTTCGATCCCAAGAAAAAAGAAAACCGGCAATTGCTTGTTCCCGTCAACTGTGTCGCACTCGGGACACAATGCAACAGCTTGGCCGATTACAACCACGCTTCACCGGCCCGACTTAGAGCGAGGTGCGAGCAAATTTTAGTCAGTCATAGGCACGCCAGCAGCCTATGACTGACTATAATTTGCTCGCTTTTCTGTCACTCCGTGCCTGCGCTCCTACCGTGCCAAGGGACCGGTCGGGTCGCCGAGGGCAGGAATCTTAAAGGGGCACAAAGGTGGATCTTAAGGCGAGACGCGGGTCTTAAAATGGTAAAAAATCGCGAAATTTGGGGTTTTTCAAAAATCACATGTTTGGATAGAATATAGTCTGAAGTACCTGCCTGCGAAGTTTCAATGTCCTATTCGACGTCTAAGTATAAAAAAAACGATAAATACGATGCCTCCGCGACGCTCAAATCGCGAATCCAACGCAAAAAAATAGTCAAACTGCGCGCCCGCGTCGCTTCACGACCGATCGTCGGATCGCGGCCATCTTGGTCTTGTTGGGGAGCTGGTTCTCTTCCCTACGTCCTCATCCCACTCACTATCGCGACAACCTTGGAGAGCGTCCGCATTCCGCGGGTTTTCACGACCGGAATAACGATTGCTCATTGGCCCGCGCGCGTACGTCACGGGTATGTCGTGCCGCGCGCGCCTGTCATAGGCCAAGACGCGCCCCTTTCCACTTTTGCTCCTTTCCTCCTCTTGGCGCGCGCGCGCCTCCAGCAGCGCAAGGGGAGCGTGGAGAAGCGTCGTCTGCTTCGTTTTGCCCCGTCGCTTTGTTCGTTCCGCGGCTGAGTGCACGTTGTTTCGAAATCGTTTACGTTCGCGCGTTCGCGTCGGACATCGTTGGTTTCTCGCTACGAAGTTGCGGGAGTTTTATTTCGAGCGATCGAGATGCCGGGGGACTCTCGATTGAAGGAGAGTACGCGGCGGACGTTCGGGAGGAAGACGCGACGTGCGTGGAACAAGCGGAAGACATCACCTGCAAGTGCGCCGCTACGATCTGCGCCACTGCCGAACGCATTGGATCTGCCGGGACCATCGGCTAGCCTTCCCGTTGACGATGCTGCGGCCTCAAGCTCTGGTCCGGATGGCTCAAGTTTTGCCGGCACCACTCGCGTCGACTCTACCTACTACTCTACGGCCGAGCAAGCGCAGCGCGCCGAGCGATCGGAGCAAAGCAAGCGCGTTTTATCGGAGAAGTCGGCGACCCAGCGGAAGTTCGATCTGCTTGAAGTCAACGGATCATGCCAAACAAGCGATGCCGGGACCCAGTTTGTCATCGTCGACATGAAAGTCCTCATTGACCTCTTCGCGCACGCGAGGTGTGGAAGCTGCGGTGTGGGATCTCTCACGCTCAGCAAGGCCGCGGACAAGGAGTACGGCTTGGCCGTCAAGCTTGTGCTCGTCTGCAGCACTTGCGACTTCCAGAAGAAGCAGTTCTCCTCTCCCAGGGTTGCTGGAGCAGCAAAGATCACTCCCTTTGAAGTGAACATGAGGGCCATGAAGGGGATCCAATCCATTGGCAAAGGAGTGACAGCCTTGGCAGACTTCTGTGCCTCCATGAACATTTCTCATCGGGGCCTGCACCACAAGACGTACCAGGGACACCTGAAAACGCTTGTGCGGGCATGTGAGAATGCAGCAACCGACAGTGAAGCCGCCAGTGTTGCTGTCGTCAAGGGGCTCTACACAGGCTTTATGAACCCCATTGGCAACATCGATGTCATCTTCGACGGATCATGGATGACCCGAGGACGCAGCTCCCACATTGGTGTAGGCTGCATTGTGGAGTTGTACTCTGAACTCGTCATCGACCATGTTGTGTACTCCAACTTCTGCCTTGGATGTGCCTTGGGACCGGAGCCCGAGGACGATGGCTACAGCGACTGGTACGCAACCCACGACTGCCAGAGGAACATTGACTGCAATGCTGGCCGTATGGAGGTGGAGGCTGCGCTCACAATGTTCCAGAGGTCTCTGACCAAGCATGGTCTCCGCTACACCACCGTCCTTTCGGATGGGGACAGCCGGACATTCCATGCCTTGTCTGAAGCGAAGGTTTACGGCTTCATCAAGATAGAGAAGAAGGACTGCGTGAACCACGTCCACAGGCGGATGGGAGCTGCCTTGCGCAACGTTGTTGAGAAGAAGAAGGCACAAGGCGAGTCACTTGGTGGAAGAGGAAAGCTGACACAGGAAAAGATCAAGAAGATCACTAACTATTACGGCTATGCTCTCAGGAGCAACAGCCATGACGTTCCAGGGATGAAGAGGGCGGTGGAAGCCACACTCCTGCACATGACCTCCACAGACGGCGCCCCAGACCACAGCAAGTGCCCCGAGGGAGCGGAGTCCTGGTGCAAGTACAACAGGGCCTTGGCAAACAGTGAGCCTCCGCCGCCGCACAAGAATCCTCTTCCGGATTGTGTTCGGGCTGCACTGGAGCCAGTGTTTGAAAGGCTCAGCAATGAAGACCTGTTGGCACGGTGTAGTGAGGGGAAGACGCAGAATGCCAGTGAGAGCCTGCATTCGGTGATCTGGACGCAGACTTCAAAGAATGCGAATGCCTCCCTGGACAGCGTGAAGAGGGCTGCGGCTGAAGCTGTTGCTGTCTACAACCAGGGAAGGAGAGCGACCAACGAGTCCATTGCTGCAGGCCTGGGCTACGCCACCGGTGACTGCCTTGTCCGCCGAAGCATCGAAAAGGACAGCCTCCGTTTACGTAAAGCAAACGCGGTGCACCAGAGCAGCAGTAGCGTCAAGGAAAGGTTCTCCAAGCGACACCAGGCAGGAGCATCACGAGATTACAGCCCAGGACAGCTGTAATGGCTTTTTCCAGTGCCATGTGGAACAAAGGCCCTTTTCAGGGCCAAACAAAATTACGTTTGGAGCTTGAAGCTCTTGCTCGCCTCTCCCGTTGTCCAAAGTTGTCGGCTCATCACTTGAGAAGCAATTTTTAGCCTGTATCAGTAATTTTTCACCATTTTTGCAATTTTCTCAAAAACAAATTATTGCAATTTTTAAAATGATTTGTTCAGAATGCACTACACTACATCTTGATAACTATTATTGCATAAGGGTTTTCACATAATTTATTGTAGTCAGCGTCGAAACAGGAAAATGTGATTTTATCAACATTTCACTCGTTCTTTACTTCTTTCATATTTTTTTCCTAATGTTCCCATAAATGGATTACATCATCTTTTATGTCAAGTTGTTCATGAAGACTTACACTACACCTTGGTGGCAATTATTATTTATCATTGTTCACACAATTTTCTATGTTCAATGTCAAAACTTTAACTTTGATTTTCTCATCTTCATGTTTTTTGGCAACGTGCTTAGCCTTACGGGGGTTTTCATGAGGTTTTTATCGTAGCATTTTGAAACTTTTTATACCGTTTTATGCAGAAAGGACTGGACTGTGGAGTAAAGCTATTTTTTTGCAGTTTATAATGACAACGAAAATTTTATGATAAATAATGCGACCTCATTAGTGTCATAATTAGCATAATTAGTACATTTTTGTATTATAATGTAATTTTGTGAAAATATAAATAGCTTTATAATGCATGGCAGACCTTTAGCTATGCATCTACATCAATAAAAAAAAATATTTTTGTTCGAAATGGCCTTAACGACCCGTAAGAAATTAACCAAATTAGGCAACACTATTTTTTTAACTTGAAAACTAATTGAGATATTTTGAAACTGATTTCATATTTGAATTGAGGAAGACGGAACACATATGCACAGTGATTTTCATTAGTATAGCTGCAAAAATAAAATAGTCCATTTTAGAACCAGTGTCTCGCCTTAAGACTGCGTTTCTATGGCGCGAACTCGATTCATGCACCCTAATAATCCCGTAAATCCCGAAATTACAATTGCGCGTGGCCTTTTTCGCTCCTAAATACGCAACCCAATACAGCGGCACGTCCCTTTTCCTGAGACATCTAAAAAAAAGGAATGTGTCACAGCGTTCGCTGGTTCACGCAACTTTGACTGCTTACGACCATGCGCCCTAAGACCTCTTACAAGGAAGTACGCTGGCACCATCTATTGGGTGGCCATGGAACACTCTCAGTTTTAGAATATTTCCCATTTTTCGCGAGCATCCTCTATCGTTTCTCGGCTCAAAACATTCTAGTCAAGGTCATAAACTACCATTTCTCGTAGATAGTATGCACATTCGATCTCAAAAATACCCCATAGATGGCGCCAGCGTATTTTCTCGCCATAAAAGATCAGGAGAACTTGGTCGTAAGCAGACGCAAGCGGGCCTTCGGGCGAGCGCAAGAGTGGATGCAGACTGACCGGCGGGCAGGGTCCAGGTTTCGTTGGACTCCTCGCTCCAGGGGCTGAACCCCAGGTCGTTGACCGCCCTCAGGCGGAACAGGTAGCGCGTGGCGGGCCTCAAGTCGGCAACCGTGTACGTCGTGGCGCCGGGGTCAATCTTTTGTGGAAGCTCCTTCCACGGTCCCCCGGCCTCGATCTGCACGGCCAAAAAAGGCCCACCATTTTAATTGCACGACGTATTAGAACAGACGCAGACAGGATTTGCATAGCCGTCGTGTTGCCGGAAGTGATGCGAAAGTGACAAATTTAGCGGGCTAACGTTCTGCTGAATTTCGTGGGACTCCACTTTGGGTCCAGGGTTACGTGGCCGTGTGACCCCGGGACGCAAGTCCCGCCATGCCGGGTCATGTGACGACGCCAGCATCATGCAACTCACGGCAGGGTGCAAAGTTGTAGTGTTACGTGATGTTGGTGTCAACAACATTAACAGATCCAGTAAAGTTGGGTGTCAAGTCAAGGAACCATATTGTCGCAGATGGGAAAGGATCGACGAGTGTAAAACTGAAAATACGGCTTTAATCAGCGAACTTGTGCCAGACACAAGAGAAAAAACAAGCGTCGAGGTGTGTCGGTAAGGCCCATGCTGGGCTCCTCATCTAGTACACTCGCTATCTCAAACATTTGGCCTACAAAGTTCGAGTGTTGAACTTTTGGGGCAAGGGTAAATGCTGCGAGGTCAGGGAGTCATGTGACATAACGTGACTTTGTGACGTCACACGACGTTGTGCACAAACACGTCATGTGCCCAGCTCATTCGTAACATGTCCTGTGTCTCTCCTAGTTTATCAGATATTAACGGGACACGTTAATGCCCATCCCTTTGATATTGGCCAAACTCACTAGTTTCTTCCATAGCCATCGGCAACACTGCCTCTGCGCTCCCCGACAAACTTATAGGAGGAGAGTGTACAGGGACACGCTATTATGTGCATGCGACAGTCTTGAAGCGGGCCAGACTCTATCCAACGTCTTGACTCTCTGGTTACGGAAAAGCTTCTGCAACTGCACAGGGGCTGGCTGGGCATCTTACCAGGCCGGCCCACGAGAAATCCCAGAACCAGTCAACAGGACGAGAGTGTTGAGTTGGTAATAGTTTAATGCGTCGGGAAAACGAGGAAACTGAAAGGAACACTTGCGACGGGACAACGGCTGTTGTGTCCCGTCGCAAGTGTTCCCTTCGCTGTCCTTGTGTTTCTGTAGCCGTCATCCCTGTCCAGCAAAGAGGAGGACCCGAACCTGACACGCACCTTCTGGAGCAGGTAGCAGCGCAGGGGTGCAAAGCCGTCCCTCCCGGGGGTCCAGCTGAGGGTGAGGTGCCGTGCCTGGACCTGGGACGGGCTCACCAGGGGCCGGGAGGGGGCCTGGGGCTTCTCCCGGCTGGCCGTGGTCAGCACCAGGGCACGGGCCTCCAGGCCCCAGCCTTCCTTGGTGCGCGCACTCACCGCAAACGCATAGTAGGACTGGGGCTGCGAGAGAAGGCACAGGGGCGTCAAGACTGGAGTGGTTTCGGCGTGCAGTTCGGTGTGAGGCAGTGGTTCCCAACCACTGATGTTTTGGGAACTGCTTTTCTGGATCGGGGAGGGGAGGGAGGGATTGAGCGATTTCAATGACAAAAGGGCAACATTTCGATTTTGTATGAATTCCTCAAGTGTGCCTCGTTTGATGATGGTGCTATCGACGCTATGCTCTGGCAGCGCGAGAATTAGGGTGACCAGACATACCGTTTTTGAGGTCCGCTTCTGCCGTCCCGTCTTTTTCTCCCAATAAAGAATCATGTCCCGTTTTCGCAAGAGTGCATGGTTTCGAAATTTGCCTAAAGCGAGTTGAAGTAGACCGAAACTATGCCTACTCGTTACAAGCATATTTTACAAAAATAACCGTAGGTACCTTAACTTTAAAATATTTACCCAGAGTAAAATTTAGAGAGCTGCCCACAAACACTTTTTCTATCGCGTGTGTAGAAATATTTTTTTTTTTTTTAGTTACTGAACATAGCACTCATGTAGTTTGTTCATGTTTTAAAATAGCAGTTATTGCATTAAATTTTTTTCTCCCTCCCAATCTCAATCTTTACGATGCCCCCACCCCTTAGGCTAGGACGTCCCGTTTTCTACCTTGACGAATATGGTCACCCTAGCGAGAATAAAAGAAGTGTCTGGCATCTCGGCCGGCACGTACTACGCGCTTGGAACGATGCTGATCTTTTTTTTCCTACGCCCAATTTACTCAAGATAATTCGTAACACCTTGAGCGCATCATGTTTGTATTTGACATCTTCTGTATAATCCCATACCACCCCCCCACCCAGGTATAATGCCCTTAACAAGCCCTTAAGATGAAATAAACGAATGAAATGAATGAATAAATAAAGAAAACAAAATGTGTGTAAACTGATTTTGAAGCTCAACAACGAAGAACGGTCGACCCAACTCGCTCGGAGCACATGGTATGGTCTCAAGGACTCTTCGGAACAGCCAGCATTAGTAAAAGGAAGTTTTATTCCTCGGCTTGACCAATGGTCAAGAGCTTCGGCACCGCAAGACAGCCTCCAGGACCCCAAAGGGCCTGCAGACCCCTATTTGAGAACCACTGGTGTAATGAGCCAGAACAAAAACCAATTTACCCAAATGTGACCCTTCCGCAAAGACTACTGTAAAATACCGCAACAGCACCCACTTCGTTCAAGCACCCATTGTTAGCATTTCCCAAACTTTAAAATCCTGCGAGTTATACGTTACGCGCCCAATTAGACTCGACAAGTGCCTGCGTCTAAATTAACCCAGTTTTCAGTGAGAGTGAGGTAAGCACTCTCCCGGTATCTTACGGTGAGTGCAAGAAGGACGAGTCAAATGACTGAGGCAAAGGCCGCAAAAAGTCTCAAAGTATCTGGTGCTATGCAGAACCACGAGTACATGACGCCAAATAGCGCCTACCGCCCATAAAAGCATGCCAGGTTGCGACTACAAGGTATCGTATGTCGCTCTGCACTTTTCTCTACAAACTTATCGATAAAAAACGCCCCCGAGGATTTTAAAAAACTATTAGGGATCTTTAAAACCTAGAGGGGAGTAAAAGCTTAAAATTTTAGAATTTCTAAAAGCCCTAAACCTAAAAGTTTACGGCTTTACAGAGGGGAGTAAACTACAGAATGACATCGGCTCTGAAATCCGTTTAGAACGAATCCACGTACAGCGAATTATTGTCAATATCGAACTCACAAAAAATTTAAATAAAAATGCATGTAAAAAGTAGTTTTTATAATGAACAACATATTGGCTACATCAAACTCTCCCTCCCCTCCCCTCCCCCGGAAGGCTTCCAAAAATGCACAAACAAACGTCTTTTAGCCTGTCCCCCCCCCCCCCCCTTCCAAAAAAAAAAAAAAAAAAGAGGTGGAAAGAAAAAAATTTTTGAAAGCTCAAGCTGCAAACAAAATTGGCAAAGAGAAGCAATTCAGAAGGGAAGCAAGCTAAAAAAAAAAAACACTGCATGCACGCACAGAAAAGAGAAACTTCATCCCAAAGTGCTTGCCCACGAAGAGAAGTGATTCAAAAAGGCAGATAAGCTAAAAAAACAAACTCTGCATGCATGAAAAAAAAAAAAAAAAACCTTTTCACCATTTTGTTACAAGGTCATGGAAACGAAGCGAAGAGAGAGAAAGAGAAGCACTCGCCTTACAACAAACGCATCGTGGATGTTTGTTCTAAATGGTTTTTGCTATATCGAACTACTTGCTATATCGAACCGATCGTACAGTTTCCTGCTGTTCGTTACAACCACTGAAAGAATGAAAACAGCAGAGCGGTTCTTTTGACACCAAGCCTCCAGCACGCACTCCACGCTTTCCGCCGTGCTTTGGCCGTGCGCAAGCGCTCGAGATGCACGAGACGTTAAAGTGCCGGGGTCGGGACGGCCAAAGCCCCTCCCCACTGTTCTACACCTTGCCTGTGACTAAAGCCGAAACCTTCACATCCTACGCTTCACAAAGGTCACACACATGCAAAGCCTTTGCAAAGAGTGGGATCTACTTCCCGAAACGTGAAGTTACGCGACGCAAAACAAGTCGTTGCGCAACCCTGCTCCGAATCGAAGCTCGAAGGACCACGAGTCACTTGCAACAATCCCCGCAAGGCGGGCTTCCCCTCCCGGACACGCGGCGGTGCGGCCTCACCTCCAGGTCGAAGGCCTTGAGGGTGCGGTCCGTGGCGGGAACCTCCCGGGAGACGCGCGCCTCGCCCTCGCTGCTGCCGCCGCCGCTGTGGTGCAGCCAGAAGGCGATGCGGTAGCCCAGGATCTCCCCGTTGGGCTCGCGGGGCACGTCCCAGATGATGCGGGCCGTCGTCGTCGTCACGTCCGGGAAGGACACGTTGGACGGCGGTCCGGGCACTGCGCACGGGTTTCCACGCCGGCTATCAAGACTGGCCATACTCGGCTCTCCGCACCTAGACGGCGAGGCTGCGGCGCTGAATTCTCTACGTGACGAGTTCACAAACGGTGTTCCTAGGAGCCGGGGGGTTCCCATAAAAAGTTTCCTCGTGGGCTGCCCCGAGCTTCCGAATTTCCTTGCTCTCCACCGTCCTTAAACAGGGCTTCAAGACTCCCCATCAGTGCGTAATATGAGTCAAACCCTCCATAGTATGCGCATCATTGTTTACAAGGTCAGAAGGCTTCTCGACCGCTTTAACGCATTGGTGCCGATGGACATCGCCCGATAAAGACGGGCGTTCCCTGATATCAGAAAGTTTCAGAAGTCTCGCCCCACACCACATACCAGAGGCCAATGTGGGGTGATAATGGGACACGAGTAGTTATGTAGTTATGTGCGAATAGTAGATTTTGAGTCATAAGTGCATTCAAAGAGAACAGTGGTTTTGGTTGAATATTTTCTAATCGAATACTGAATAGTTTCTTAAAAGTCTTTGACTATTGTGCACCATGCTTAAACGAAAATTCATCTGAACTCGTGGTATGGATGTGGTTCTTTCCACGAGTAATACAAATGGCTGTAACCAAGGGCATCAAGATACTCTGACAGGCAGAGTGCTGAAGAGGGGTGAAACAAATTACAGGAAGGTTCATCCGTGGATTTTAAGGGAATCCGTTAGCATGACCCTTGGGAAAAGCTAACACTGACCCCGTAACGAGGCCAAAAAGAGGCAGCAAAAGATAGAGGAACCAAAAGAGAAAGCCAAAAGAGAAAAGTGAAGGGGTCAGCATTAGCATTTCCCAAAGGGGGACATGTGTAGCCTTTCAAAGGGTCATGCTAAGGCATTCCCTAAGAATCCACCAATGGATCTTCCTGTATTTTTTTTCTCACAACATTTTCAGGGGCATTTGGGCCTGAAGTTGACGAGTTCAATGTAAAGCCAGTGGCTCTGTTTCAGAATACAGTAATGATCACACGATAGTTTAAAACAAACCAGAGATAAAGCATGGAATGCAAGCAAAGAGTTGGTGGACAGCTGCAATGCGTGCCCTTTCTATGAAGGAGGGATCAGACTCACCGTCTTCGAAGGTGGTGACGGTCACAGGGGGCAGGCTCAGGGCACCATCTCCAACTCGAGTCAGTGCCAGCACCTGTGCCAAAGACGTGCCCCGCCATGAACCGTTGGCCAGACCAAAACAGGTAACTCAGCAGCATTGGTGTACATCGATTCCCAATCAGTAGCTAAGGGCTACTGTGAAATAAACTTCTCTTATTGACATACAGGCGAGAAAACTAGCCCGTAAATCAAAAAATTCCTTCTCGATTGGAAGAAAAGACAACTTTTATTGCCGGGCTTGACTGATGAGGCGGGTGTAGCCCGAAACAACCCATTCCCGTTTGAACCCGTCCCGTTTTGACCCATTCCCGAAACGACCTTCCCGTTTCAACCCGTCCCGTTTCGACCCATTCCCGGAACAACCTTCCCGTTTGAACCTGTCCCGTTTCAACCCGTTCCCGAAACGCCCTTCATATTTGAACCCGTAGCCAAGACATATTTTACGTTTGAATTCGTCCCGTTTGAACCCGTTAATTGGTATAAAACCCCGCGCATCTCAACCTCTTCGCAAAAAGTGTCCAACGTTCTAATCCTGGTTGGCGCAGTTTTTCTGCTTAAGAATATGTCCCGAAAACATGTCAATGCAATTAATACAAAGGTGCAGGCGAGCGATTCAGTTATGTTGTGAAATATTTTTGCTTGTAAACGTATTATTAAAATATGCCATACTTTCAGACAAGCTTCGAGGAAATATATTTCTATTTGAGCCACTTAAAATGTTTCTTTCAAGATGGTCCCCAAAATGTGTAATTACGAAATGGACTATGTACACTGCGCGACTACGTTACCACGAGCACGAATTGGCGATTTTTCGAATTTTACTTCGAAATGGTATTACAAGGTATCACATTTTACCGCTTAGGTTAGTGGCCCAGATAAGCACTTTCAAGCACACTAGTAATATTGATGGCAGTCTTCTGATTTTTTTTTTGTAAACAAACAGCTAAAACCAACAATCACTTGTTCGCTCTAACGGTTTCGCGCTCTGTACAAAACAGGGAGCTTTCGTAGACCATTTTCGAAGTCACGCGACGCTCCTTCGCAACCCGCTACGATACCCAGAACTCTACAGTCAAGGCCACCGGCGCGCAGGCGCAGTAGCGGCTTCTTCGTTGCGGAGGGCTTAGCGAAAAAGGAAACGCGGTCTACGAAAGCACCTAATGAAGTCTTAGAGTAACGCAGGCAAGCACTTTGAGTAAGCAAAAATTAGCGTTGCCTAAGCTTTTTATATCGCGACGCTACTTTTAGGTTACCCAATGCGCTTACGTACGTTATTCTAAAACTTCTTTATAGTGAACGGGATACTTTTTAAAAGTGATAACTCAGACAGGCTGACGGGCATACGATTGCGACTTATTTTTTTTACAAGTTCAAACACAGAACCGTCGCGTACACAGCCAAAAATCATAAACAAAAAAATGCTGTCGCCTTGGTTGAGGAAGTCGAGAAGGAAAATCGCGCCATCAGAAAGGCGGCACTCCAATTGTGATAGTTCGCGGCGGTCACCTGGCCCGCACCGCACCACCATTTGCAAGCTGCTGCAGCTATGTCCTTCTCAAGGGTCATCCCGTTTGCAGGTCGATGAAGTTGAAAAATGGTCGGGTGAGCCCTCCCTGACATAGCGTTTATCTTACGGTGCCATGTCTCTGAGGTTGTTTCGGGAGAGGGAGAAGTGATGTGAGCAAGGAGAACAGACACTGGACACTTGAACCTAATCAACTGTTAACGAACAATACAAACTAACCGAACGATGGCCGAAGCGGGAAGGTTGTTTCGGGAAAGGGCAAAATGGGAAAGGTTGAAACGGGAAGGTCGTTTTGAGACGGGTCGAAACGGGAAAGGATGAAACGGGAAGGTCGTTTCGAGACGGGTCAAAACGGGAAGGTACAAACGGGAAGGTTGTTTTGGGAATGGGTCGAAACGGGAACCACCCGATGAGGCAAGGCTTCGCGGACCCCCAGAATGCTTTCGCGGACCCTTTAGAGTCCGCGGACCCCCATGTGAGAACCACTGCTCTAAACAAAAGTTTGTCCCCCCTTCCCCCCGCGGCTCTTGAAAGTTTCGTGGTTTTGTTTGCGGCTCTTAGGCCTCGTCAGCCTGGCCCCCCCCTGGAATAGCGTATTATTCTAAATTGCTACTAAAAAATTTGAATATTCGCACAATACTACCAATTAGCGTTCTTTTACCGGACGATCAAAATTTCAGACTGTGTACGATCTCACTTCGCCACGGCGCTCGGTTCATAGCAGACGATCAATGCTTTCCCTGGTCTATTAGCAGACACTATGCAGTGGTTTTTCATCTTACGCATCTGAAAATAACACTTCATAGCAGCCAAACTGCGTTCTTTGGTCACGTTAGCGGATGAACCGTCTAGGAATGCCACCCTCGCTCCTTCCGTGAGAGGCAATGGACCTTTTCCACATACCGACGGCACCAGGCGGTGGCTGCACAAACTAAAAATCGAGGGAGTGACCTACCTGCGCTACCAATCGATAATGAGAGCTACGCTACCAGTTGCTTCGCTCTCTGAGCAGCGTCGCGTGCCCAACGCGACTTTAAAGAGGGAAATCCGTAGCGTCCACCCAAACGTCGTGTTTTTCTTTCCGTCCACTTTCTTTTTTTGTGTAACACAATTATATATATGCTGCAATTACGTGTTCTACTCGTCGATTTACAGCCTCATTCCGAATTTCCTCGATTCTTTCGTGCCGATTTCCACCGCTTGGCATCGGGCGCTCGCGCGTGCGCAGAACGCTTCTCGGAAAAGGTCCATTCGCATCTCGTGGCGACCAAAGTCGAACTGCCGACATACGCCCGGGGCCCACTTTCCGCAGCTTCCCTCACCTGCACGGTGTAGGAGGTGTGCTTCCGGAGCTCAGTGAGCGTCGTGGTGAAGGTGGCGTTGCTCTCGATGTGCTTGCGGGTGGGCTCAGCCTCCTTGGCTGCCCGGTACACCACCCGGTAGCCCTCCAGGATGCCGCCGCGGTGCGCACGCGGCACGGGGCCCCACGTCACCACCACCGTCGTGGAGGACGTCGCCTTGGCGGACACCTGACGGGACGCAACAAAAGGCACGGTCATACCACTAATGCATCGTACAAAACGGCGGTCCGCAGACACTGTTCAAGGCGTGTTTTTACTTTGGCGTTTTTCCTTGGCACGCGCAAATGAATGAGCAAGAGACAAATATACTCGCTTCGGGCGACCCAAAAGCAATTTTCGGCTCTCCAATTAGAGCAAGATACAGTGAGCTTTCGGAGGGGCCGCGGAGGCCCTTGCTGTGTTGAGAACATGGAAAGGCTGTGTATGCAGTGGAGCAACACTACCTAAAAGACGAGGCTTGCGCATGATGCGTCGTCTTCGGCGGATCCAGCTCGACGAGTGTGCTGCCTTGCGGCAGACGAGTGTTTACGCCGCACTTGTCGCAAGACGTAGACGAGGGCTACACGGCGCTACGTGGATTCATTAGTGACAACGTCAGAGGGGGAAGGTCAGGGGCCTCATCTCCTAGGCAGTGTTAAAAGGTCTTGTCTGGGGAACCAACCTGGGAGGGGCCGGCACTGGGCACGGCTTCCCTGGTGCGCTCCTTAGAGGTGTCGCTGGGGCCGCTGGTGCCCACGTCGTTGAAGGCCTGCATGAAGACCTCGTAGGGGGTGAAGGCCTGCAGGTCGTCCAGCACCAGGCTGTTGGCGTTGTGGTCCTCCACCACCGTCCACCGGAAGTCCCCTTCGTCTGCAGAGGCGCATGTTTGTTTTATTTTATTAATTTCAGGTGGGCACGCGTGAATGGCAGATTTTGAGTTTTAAGTACATTCCAAACAAAGAGTGTTTTTGGCCGAATATTCTCGAATCGAATAGATTGTCCGAGCAGTGATGGAAGCGGCATTTGACCTCTTGTGGCAGGTTTTGCAGTGGGCAAAACATTGATTTGGAGCAGTCACCGATCCTTTCGGAGCAGATGCCAACATCTGTTAGCACATCACTTGAAAATGAAAGAGTGATTGCATCGCTAAATGAGTTCATCTTTGATAATGACTGGGGGTTAGTTTTTCATACTGGAGCACACTACTTATTACCTTTTGAAATAAGACTAGATAGTGCACCGAAAGAACACAGAGCATTCCTTTTAGAAATAAGGCTCTAGTCAGAGAAGGTTCCATTTATAATGGGCACCAAAAACTGATGAAAAATGAATCATAGAGCAACACTTCAGTTAGGATAAAGCTTCTCTCCTATCACACTTTTACAGCAGGTAATGTATTTCACCTGTATATATTAGTCCTGTAAAACGCCCGCAAAAACCAGCCCGTCTATCAACAAAAATGCGTCCCCCGAGTTTTGTGAACCCGCCAAACTCAAGACTAACACTATAGACTTCCAAAACAACCACCCCCAAATATTATGAACCCCTACACTCGTACAAGTGACACTGCTCCTCAGCGGCGTTGGGAACCAGAGCGAAGTCAAAGTTCGCTGCTCTTTCGATTGACAGCTGCACGGGAACAACCCTGACTACCATTTATTCAAACATAAACCTGCAGTCTTCTTATTGGCACAGATCTTTAAATAAAATCAGAGATCAAACTACCACCAAGACAAAAAATAAATAAAGTAGACCTGGAATAGTACTGTGCATGATTACTCAGCCTATCGCGCTAACAAAGGCGCTCATCCACGTCAGCCGCTGCACCTAGCACCCCGGTGCAAAACGGTGAAAGTCGACACGCGCCCGCTGGTGAGAGACAGTACGGAGGCATGGGGCCAACGTGATAATTAAGTGATCTCGTCGGAGCAGAAGGCCCTGGGGTTTCTTCTTATCACAGTAGTCATTATCCTGCAATTTGGCAATGTTTTCTCACAACTATTGACTCCTCACGTCGCCGGCATCGCCTGGAAATTTAAAGGATATCGGCGATCAATTTGCCAGCGTGGTTGACGAGCAATCTCAACGCTTCGTTTCACCTTAATTCAAAGCGCAGCCGCAGCTACGAGCCAATGGGACCAAGCAACGTCTAAGCGCGACATCGTGGCATTCGCCCATATTCCTGTGCGTGGTCTTTCGCCGACTAAACAAATGAAGTGCAGCGAATGTAACGTGACTTGCACTTTTAATATGTGTTTGTGGTCGTATCTGTTCGAGCCTTTGGCTGTACTTTCACCTAAGATCCAACAAACTACACATTGAGTAGAGACTGTGAAATACAAATTTATACCATTTTTCTTTCCCCCTACTTCTCCAATATGTCCAATAACAATTTTTTTTTGCCCATTTAGGTGCAGATGACACAATTGTTAGCAAAAATGCCACTTTGGCGCAAGATGTAGCAGGCTTCCGTTCATGGCACAATTTGGCGCAGCACTTCCATCGCTGCTCCGAGTCTTTCACTACCGTGCACCACGCTTAAACGAAAATTCAGTTGAACTCATCAAGGTTGTTTCCAACCCTCCACATGTTCACTTCTGAGCTCAGATAATATTAATATAAATTTACTTATGAACCGTGACATCTGAACGAATATTTGTCACAGCTGTCCCAATCGAGTGTATCTATAAATCTGCTAGCTACGTGCAACTATTCTTTCTACTATTTCAAATTTGACAGCAAAGAAAACAAGACCAAACAAAACAAGCACGTTAATGATTGCCTGCTGTCAAGATATCGCAATCAAGATATTCTGGGTAGTGTCCCCCTTTGACATTTTTTTGCATATTCGCAGTGCTTAAAGGCCGACGACCAGACTGAAGATTCTGCAAGGCAAAAAATCCTCCTCGCCATGGGAGAGGAAGAAACAGGCAACGGTGGACAGGGTAGAGGGAAGGACAGGAGTAAGCGAAGGAAAAGTGCAACACGCAAACTCGTCGTCGGCCTTTAAACCCCGTTGAGTGTGCTGCTCACCGAGCACCTGTGCACAGTGGGGAAGCAATACCCACGCCTGTGCACTTGTGAAGTGCGGTTATTGCTTACCCGCAGTGCACAGGTGCTCGGTGAAAAGCACACTCAACAGGGCTAACATCTCGAAAAGTTTGAATATAGCAGTTCACCTCAAAGAGAATATCGAATAGCATATTATTCGAAACTACTATTCCAAAAGTCGAATATTCGCACAACACTATTAATCTGCTTTTTTTCGGGCCCAGAAACAACCGTAGCTTAGATGCAGGTACACAAAAACAGATTGGCCTTGCTACAATTCGAACAACTTTAAAATATCCGCAGTCGTAAGCAGTTACAAGGGAACCCAATGCAATCGAGCTCACTAGCTCAAATGCAAACGTACGAACCAGCCTCAGGAGCTGGCCCCACAAACGCCACGAATTTAGAAAGGAGAGGTCTGATGCTGCACCCACCGGAGGTCCTGAAGGAGACGTTGTAGCCCCTGGGCACCCCATACCAGTCGACCTGGGGCAGGGGCGTCCAGCGCACCCTCAGGGCATGGGCGTTCACCGCCCGCACTGTCACATTGCGGGGCGGGTGGGCGGGGGGCGCCTGGATGGTCTGGAACCACTGGGAGGGCTCGCTCGGGGGGCTGGGTCCCACTACGTTGGTCGCCAGAAGGCGCAGCCGGTACTCCGTGAAGGGCACCAGGGGGGACACCGACAGGGTGCGGGCGTCCGGTGCGCTCGTCTGTGGGAGGGGGGGTCATTTAAAGGGATGCTGAACCGAAATCTGGATTCCCCAAAACATGCGGCAAAAGCGTGCAACGGGATGCTACGAACACCAAAACATCAGTCATACTGCGATATCTCGAACGGATGACCGTATTTATAAAAAAAAAAGAGGCGCATTTGGCAGGAATGTTGACGTCATGTTTCTCCGAGAAAAAGAGGGAACGGCCTCGCATCTTCTCCGCCTCGAAGCCTTGAGGGAGCGAAGCCAAGAGAGGAGGAAACTAGGTATTTTGACGTCACGCGCCTCGTCAGCCTGGTTCAATCTCGACTTCTTTTTCCAAAAATACGGCCGTCCAATCGAGATATCGCCTTACTAGTAGTGTTGTAGGGATTATAGTCTCGCCTACATCTCCAGCATTGTTTTTTCAAAATCGAAATATCGGTTCACCATCCTTTTAAGGGGGGACACTACCCAAAACAGTAAATTTTTTAACCACTTGTCGGATTTAAATTATATTTACACTGCATGTTTCTGTTGATGTTGAGAACATTTCTGCCAATTTTTGTTAACTTGGGTGAAGTACAAAAAAAATTGCAAACGTTCAAAGACGAAAGTGGGCGTGTCTGCTTAGGAAAACTATCGTTTTGAAATTACTTATAAATTTGTTCTTTTCATGTGTTACATTGCATTAGGACAGTTCAAAGTAGATAACTATGGAGCTATATTTCTATGTTATACCATCTTTCATGACAAAAAAGCCACGTAAACACAAGTACAGTTTTTTAGCTTTCCATCCTTTGTCCAAACTTTTAGTTCTTGAGCATGAAAAATGACAAAAATAAAAAATACAAGCTTATAGTTATCTTCCCCTTAAAATTTCACCCCAGAAAAACTCATAAAAATGATTCCAAGTTGTGTAATAACAAAAAGATAGTTTTCCTAAAGTGAAATTTATGCCAAAAAGTGGAATGGAGAAAATTGCGTTCAAAGTGCTCCAACCTCTACCTTTTCTTTAGCATCGGAGGACCGAAAATAATTTATAAAAAATTAACTACGCAGTGTAAACTAATGAAACTTTCTAGGAATATTCTCTAGATGTTGGTGGATGTAAATATGACATTTTTCAAAATCAACTTTTTTTTGCAGAAATTGTTTTTTCTGGGTAGTGTCCCCCCTTAAGGACACTACCCAAAAGGGTCAGCTTTTGAACCTTTGGTTTAATAGGAATGAAATCTACAGTACCTGCAGTTGCGAGGCAGAGTGTAGTGCAAAGTTTCCTCTGTGTACACGAATTGTGAAAGAAATTATAATCGTTTTTATCAGGAACACACTGACATTGTTTAGGAAGACTATCGTTAGAGAAGTAATGGAATATCCCACATTTTTCTTCACTAGATACGCAGCAGAATACCTGGAGAGTGCAACTGTGAAAACGGAAATTTCCAAAAAGTAATTTAATTTATGCTAAGATCGCGCTGAGAAATCAAATAAATTTTTTTGTCTTTTATATTGTTGACAAAATTTTTGAAAAAACACTGAGAGGTAAAAATCAGTTTTTTTTTTTTTAATGGTCCAAAAGGATTGAAAACGATGCCTGGACATTACCCCCAAAATTCAAAGCTTGGGAACTCAGTATTTGTGAAGTAAAAAAACAATTTCAAAAGCCGATTTTAAAGTTCCCACACGATCCGCGCCAGTGCAATGGCGTCAAAGATTGAGTCGCCCTGTAACTTGAGTTTCTCTCTTGTCCCACAACCGGAAGTGTCGTGTTCACCCGCGATCAACCGCGCTTCTCCGTGCCTGCCGCGTATCACTGTAAGCAGACAACACTTCACTTTCGAGTTTGAAGTTCTTTTAGGGCCCTTGCAGCGATTTCAAATTCTTTGAAATGGTGCAATGTCGAACAGGACGTGCAGTTAAATTTTTGTGAGTAACGTGAGGTGCTATGTCGCACCAGTGCTGCGTGTAAGACTACCCCGCGGCAGAGTAACCAACAGAAATGTACTGCACAAGTTCCCGAAGGATCGGTCAGAGAAGGCGGCCTGGCTGGCTGCAATTCCTGAAGGACTACTCGAGGGTTTCGGATGGAAGTCCTTTATTTGTTCTCGACACTTTGTCGACGAGGATTCTGATGTCAGCCCAAACGTCTCTAGAGCGTTGGGGGTTCAAACGGTACCTCGGTAGAGCTGTGCTGTCATTCCGACGAACTTGCCGCATCAGGTCACATCACACGAAGCAAAATGTCCAATGCTAAATGTAAGTCTACCAAGCATAGAGAACCTGGTCCAATTTCTCAATTCCCTGATCATCCTCACTGCTACAGGTGCTGAGCGCTGCCACTTTTTACGAGCAAGGATAAAAAGTCAGGAGGTGACAGAAGTTCCGGACTTTGATTTTTACTATTTCAAAAGAATGGGCATGCTGTCGAGACCGGTTATAACGAAGTCGGTTATAACGAAATAGCGGCTACAGCGAAGCGATCACGAGTTCCCACTCCCTTTTGCACTTCGTTAACAGAAGTCAGTTATAACGAAATAGCGGATATAGCGAAGTGATTTCCAATTCTTGTTGACTTCGTTATAACTTGTCTTGACAGTAGTGCGTTCAGTCGTATTTAAAAACAAGTTTTACGAATGCCGTTATTACATATTATAGAAATGTCGCTTACAAAGCTTCTAAATTTCATAATCCATTACGTCACAAATAAAAGGAAGCGAGGAGGTAAGAAGAGGGAGAGAGCGCCAAAAAAAAAAAAACACACAAATGTGTGATAAAGTTTTTTTTTTTTTTTTTTTTTGCACTGTGGCATTTTTTTGTGTGGCCATGGCTACAAATTGCATCGTTTTAGACAACAGAAAAAAGACAACCTTTGAGGTGTCAGTGCCCCCTTGACATATTTTATAAAAGACATTTACAAAGTGAAAAGAGAATACCATAGTTACATTGCCCATTCAATTCCAATTAAGAAAACAATAAATGAGCCTTTCCTTTTGTCCCGTTACTAAACGATAGTTTTCCTTAGATTACGCCAGAAAGGTGGAATGGAGAAAATTGCATTCAAACTGCTCGAACCTCTACCCTTTCTGAACCGAAAATAATTTACACAAAAATAACTACGTAGTATAAATAAATTAAACTTTCTGGGAATACTCTTTAAACGTCGGTTGATGTAAATATGGCATTTCCAAAAATCAATGTTTTTTGCAGAAATATATATATATTTTTCTTTTGTTAGCATTTTCTTTAAGTTTGGAAGGTAGAACATGTCACGAACCAGCAAACCCCCTCTTAAAAAAAAAGAAATAAAATATTTTTTTTGCTTTATTACGCTGACAAAGACCAGAGTGCACAAAATGTCTCCTGCATGCCTGTGCTCGATCCATACGCTGCATAGACCAACAAAGGACCACGTGCCTCGTAGACGGGGATCCAGTTTTCCGAGCGCCGCGTCTGGGCCTCCACGGTCCAGCGGGTGATGGAGGTGTTGCCGTCAAAGCCAGGAGTGAACTGGAGCACCACCGAGAAAGGGCCGATGTTGGACACCGCCAGACGCCGGGGCTGGCTGGGCAACACTGGGAAGACATTTCAAAGGAAGTCAACACCTTTCACTTGTCGAACTGTCGGCTGAAGCGCTTGCTCAAGCAGGTACGGCAAGGCTGTAGCAACTTGTGGCACTAGGCGCTTACGACAGCTGGCTGACAAAGAAGCGACGAAGTGGGCAGAGGACTTCTATCTCGGAAAAACCCTGAGACAAGAGACAGAAACGGACAAACCATGAACTACGAAGAAAAATGACCACGTGAGAAAGCACCGTAAAATCCTGAGAAAGCGCCCACTCAAAATATGAAGATAATCGCGCAAAACTGGGGGATGGGTTCTCCTTAGGTCAACAATATGTGAAGACGTGTCCTTTGTGCATTTTCCGAAGGTTACAAAATTGAGGGGAGAGCGCTTATCGTGGAACCAGGAGATGCTCAGTATCTTAAGGTAGGTAGTAGCTTCACTCGAGTTACTTACTTCCCCTGATTACCGAATTGATTCAAAAATGAGCCGACCTTTTTTTTTTTTTTCTGGAAATGTCAAAACAGAGATGGGCACGAATGGGCATCCACGGCCGCCGTTCGTGCCCATCTCTCAGGCGTCGGGGTTCGCGCCTGTCCGCAACCAGCGTCGCTCAACGCCACGCACCTTGCCCCCTCCACTCCAACCTTCTCTCCCTCGCGGACGCACAGCTAAACTAAATACGGAGGTTACTTTCGTCGCTGCTTGTTGCTCACAGCGGCTTGTGGCATTGCTTGCGGCATTGCTTGCATTTCTGTATTTGGTCTTCCGTCGCTTCACCTTCTTTTGTTTCTTGTGGCCACCATTTTGTAATGCTGTCAGTGAGGCATTGTTGAGAATTTATGCGGATGTCGACAAAGCTGACAAAGCTTCCAACGACGATGACATGTAGTTGTGACGATTAGCCTTTTGGCATTGCACTGCGATTCAACTGAGAGCACTGTAAATAGAGGTTTGTTTCTTTCATTTGCTCAAACTTTCCCCTGTTCTTTAAAAAAATAAAAAAAAAGATGATTAAGAATTTAAATTTTTTTTATTTTTTATTCTAGCAGGGGTGGAACTCATGAAATGTACTTGGGAGCAGCCACGGGAGCAGCTGAAACAGCTGTTTCGGAGATGTTGGGAGCAGCTAAAACTACATTCTGGAGCAGGCTAGGAACAGCTCAGATAAGATTTCATTGCACTTCAGCCTGCGTCATAGACAAGCACGAGAGCAATTTCAACTGTGCTTAGCAGCACGGATGAGCACGAGTGGTTAGGAACCTATGTAGATGGGATAACAGTGTAACAGATGCGAAAACTTGGCCTTAGTGAGAACCAAAAAGCAAGTACCATATGTTTCGGAAGATAGTGTCCTTGATATTTTCTGAGTGGCTTTCAGCTGGCTCAAAATGCAAACCAGCACTGCTTATAGCACAACCCCAACATGCTCGACATAGTGTATATATGTGCGAACCACGTGACTTGCGTAAGCAACGTAAGTGCAGTTGCACGGAGGAACAGGGCAACAAATTTTGAGTTTATCCAATTGTACAACTCAATATCGAAGCAGACTACGATTAGTGGAGTTATCGTATTAGAAGCGATGAGCCAGAGCAAGATTAAAGTATGCCGAGCAGATCTATCGCTCGGGTGAGAGCTGCTGGCCGGCAAGGTTTCGAATCGGGCCGCGTTTCAGTTCAATCGAATCACGATTTATCCTGCAGGAATGCGGTTCCAACTTGTAACGATGAAGCACTAAAAGGAATCTTTTGCTAATGTGTTTTTGACTGGTTGACGTCCGCAACCTGGGCCGCAGAGCCTCAGGCAATCTGACGCTTAACGACTCGACCTCATCTCAGCCGACTTGCTGAACCGCTTATGATAGAAGAATAAGAATCCAGTCGCAGGTGATGCAGCGCTTGAAATCCGACTCCCGAGTTTTTCGCGCGCTTGCGACTCGGTGTACACAGGGAAAATAAACGAAACAAAAAATTGCAAGGCCGACCAAGCTAAACGCGCTCATTGTTGCCAATAGTCGATAAAAACCGAAACCAAGACAAAATATAATTTATTTGGCGCACGTTGTGCGATTTGGAGCACAATGACGCGAGGTATTGGCTGTGGCGCAGTTTTCGCAAAATGGCGCAGGATGGCGCAGACAAATGCTTCTGGAGCAAAATGGCGCAAATGGCGCAGCCGTTCCACCCCTGTTCTAGGCAAGTTTAATATAAAGGTATCAACCTATATTCGTGGTCAAATTATGTTCGAGTAAATACAGCAATTCCTAATCCACTAATTCACCTAAACCTAACTTAAAGGGAAGCTACGGAGCTTCTTGGAAAAAATTAGAAGTGAATTCTAGTGTATTTTTACCCCGTGAACCCGAATACCCAAACCATTTGCTGCGTAAGTATTTGTAAACGCAAGAAAAACGCGAAAGACGGTCGCTGTCCGTGACGTCATCGACGGCTCTTTTGGCTGCCCAAGGCTAGGGAGGCGGGGCTTCAGTCCTATTTTGAAATTGCTTGTATGGCTCTCCGGCGCATCACATTGAAATACAATTTTGATATCTGTTAATCTAAAGGCCAAATGAACGCAATTCAAGCGTTTTTTCTCAAATGTAGAAGTGCCCTATCTTCCCTTTAAAAAAAAAACCTGTCACAATCCTAGACCTCCAACCTACATAAAAAAAAGAGACCTAGGCCAACCTAATCCACCTAATGAAAAAAGAGACCTACGGCAATTCCAATTCACCTACCCACCTAATTAAAAAGAAGCCCATGACAATCCTTTAATACCCCAATCCACCTATGAGAATGTTTACAGGCCAATTTCAATAAACTGCCGCTTTCCTACAAGTACTTGAACCCAAACTTCAATCCGGATTATGCTGTCTTAAGATTAGTACAACACCAAAGAAGAAACAACAAATGATTAGATAACTGCTGTAATCACAAACGAATCCGTTATCAGTGGACTACTCGTTATCTATGAGATTCGACCCCCATGTGAAGCCGACGCATTGCGAGATTTGGACCGGAGCTCGGCCTTGCGGGGAAGCGTCAGAGGCTCACCGGGCGGGATACCCGACTTGATGGTGGCTTCCGTGCTGGCACCGGCACCGACCACCGTCCAGGAAAACACCTCAAAGGTGTACCAGGTGACCGGGCGTAGCCCCTTCACCAAGGTTTCCGTCACGTCGGCGGTGAGGTTGCGGAGGAGGGCCGACGCCGGGTCTTCCTTGGTCCAGTACCGCAGAGTGTACCCTGGAACACGAGTCGGTCAGTCACTCAATCGATCGATTTAATCCAAAATAAACACAAAACACTCTGCACAAATGCACCCGGACCTGTAAACTTTTTGGCTAGTCTGGGATTCATTACAAATGTACAAAAATAAATAATGCGGCAGTTACCCGGGGCCCATGCCCGTGCCGTACAAAAAATATTTCTTACCCAAATATTCTTTCCACGTAAAACTTTTAAAGTGTAGTTTGAAACCTTCCGCTCTCTTTTATTGGCAGGCTTACAGGGGCACAGAAACGAAAATCAAAATCTACGGAAGCCTTTCCGAAATGGGTGAAATATGACCTATGATATCCGTAAATGACAATCGCACGTCCGTATTTTGAGCGGATGGCTATATTTTTCGCTTCAAGCATCCGATTCTAGCGAGTACTTTGAAATCGGCCATTGAAGCCTGGTGTCCGTTGTGGGAACTTCGTCGCAATCGCGACGTCAGGTTCCTCAGCGCAGCCACAAGCTGGCGCTGGGCTGGCGTGACTATGAGCGCCGCCACGCAGTGACTTTTGCGTGATACAATCTCGCATTTCGAGGTGGTGGAGGACTGCACAGCTGCACGACGGCTGTCGTGACGTATTCATTTCAACCCCTGTAGTCTGCGGTGCATTCCACCATGTTCTATGAACTCGGACTACCAAGGGGACTCGCGAGATGTCAGTAATGACGAGTATTCCCTCTCACACATGGTGACGGACAGGCGATTCGGGCTAGAACCGTACAAACCATCTAAGAGACCGACCGTCCGCCAAACAAAATCTGAAGGGGGTCGGGGTCGTCGAGAAATGCCTCGCATTTAAAAATGAATGGCCAGCTTGGAGGTATGTGGTATTAGGTGTTTTATTACCAGCATGCTTTCTGGGGGCGTGGTATGAAACTAAAATGTTTCGTACGTATGGTAGTTGTCTGGCAACCTTGAGAGGGATGTAGTTTCTGCCATCCTTTTCCCATTCTTTTGGTTGCTTCAAGTTTCTTCACCCAGTCTCGAGCATTCTAAGAAAACGGTAAAGAAAAGAGGTCGCCTTACCCAGGAGGATCCCGTTGGTGTCCTCGGGAGGTGTCCACAGGACTTTCACAGAGACGTCCAGGATGTCATCAAACTTCAGGGAACCAACGGGGCCAGGAACTGCACCGGAGGGTGTAATGTTACGCGTTAGCGGCCTAGACAAGTATAACCCGAACTCTAATGAAAGGACAAATGCATCCTCTTAAACATAGCTAACCAAAGCTAAACACATTCACACACTTCCTCGTTTTCAGTTCTATACTGTGTATGTCACTAATTGAATTTCCCGAACCCATGACCTCTTTACATTTGTGGCAAAGAGACGGCAGTCTACCACAAACGAAAACGGAGGTACAACTTCAACTTGCAACAATGGACATCTGAACGGACTACCCAAGTGCAGCCTTAGAACTCTCATCAAAGACGTCAAGGTCACGACGTATCATCCACGACGCATTTACAAGACGAGATGACTGTGGGGACGGTTCAACAATGAGAAGCTAACAATTGAAATGTGTAACACATACTTGAGAGGACGATATGTACAAAAGAGAGGTAAATCGAGAAGAAAGAATGAAATGCTAAACGCGTCCTGACGGTGATCGAACCCACGACCCCACAATTACGGTGTTCTAAAAGTGCAAATGTGGCGTGCTGCTCTCTGCAAGGCCTTTGAAGTGGATGCCACCGTGTGGCGCTGGCATAGTTTCCTTGAGCGGCAGCGCTAGCAAGATGGGGTGTCGGGTACTTGCTCCTAGTCCTATATTGTGGTGTTTTTTATGACAGCACACCATTTTATCAGCTTTGTGTTCGTCAGATTAGACGAAAGAGTGTTTCAGGTGCTTGGAAGGTGTCAGGCGGTGGCAATCTGTTCCTTGGTGTTCAACACGACATGAGTGGCAAGCTTGAAACACTACGCGGCTATGCCACTAAAACAAACATAAACTACATGTAGGCAAATGCTCAGTCTTCCCCCAAATGTAGCTCTAGCGGTTCAGATCAGATGCCAAAACACTTTGTTATCGGCTATTTTTATTGCATTTTCCAGAGAGTGTGTGCAGTGGGTGCTGGGTACTGCACAAACCCAAGTATAAAGGGAGTTGCTAACACTGTGGCATAGCTCTGTGGTAACTCCTTAGCTTCGCATGCAGTGAACCCATGGTTGATTCCCGCGAGGCGGCAGGCGATAGTTTTCGAGAATTTGGCAACACTGACGACGGACACCCTACACCATAAACAACGACTACAGTGGACTCCTCTTAAACGGAACTCGAAGGGACAGAAAAATTTGTTCCGTTTATCAGAAGTTTCATTAAAGCAAAGCACATAAAATGAGTGAAATATGACTTTATTTCACAAGCATGATGTCCAGCTAATGTAGCTGACTAGAAAAAAGAGGTAATGGTAGTTTGTTTTGCATTTTGTAATCGCTTTTTGACGAAGTAGGTGTGCATGCCTTGGAGGTTGCGCAGAAATTCCGCACAGCCTTCAGATTCAAAGTAGCGCTGCAAGAGAGCAACAGCCTCCCTCGCTGTGCAGTCTGGCACTGCAGCAGGACCGGGGTCATTGCATTCCACGTCATCTTCACTGGAGCTTGAGGCCTCCTCACCTTGAACTTCAGCTACCAGCTCTTCAATGCTCTCTTCACGACACGTGGTGACGTTTGCATCTAACGTTTCATAATCTTGTCGTGTGAAAGAAGTGGAAGATACCAGCTGACCGAAAAGGATGTCAGCATCAGCCGCATCAGCATCAGCAGTATCCCCTTCCTCCTCTGGAATGACTTCTTGTCTTGCGAAGCCAGCGTGGTGAAAGCATCTTTGCACGGTTGAGACTTTAACTTGCTCCCAGGCATAGGTCAGCATGTGAAGTGCGGAAAGCAAGTTCACACTATAATCTTTCCCACTGTCTGCACAAAGAAGCATTCGGTGGAGTAGCTGGCGGCGGTAGTAGACTTTCAGGTTCTGAATAACGCCTCGGTCCATTGGCTGGATTACTGCAGTTGCGTTCGGTGGCATGAACTCAAGGATGATGGACTTAAGCCCATCCACTTCACCATGGGCGGGGCAGTTGTCTACAATAAAGACGACTTTCCTGCCCTCACGGGTAAATCTCGCATCCTGTTCTCGCAGCCAGGTTTCGAAAATCGTTTGCGTCATCCACGCTTTTCTGTTTGCATAATAAGTGACGGGCAGCTCCCGGATGCCTTTACTACACACAGAGGAGTGGCGCCCACTGGATACGTTGTCCTGCTGCTGCTTTTGTCCTCGTAGTTTTCCACGCTCTGCTTTTCTTTGCTGCTTTCTTCGACTTTGCAGTACCACACCCTTGAAACAACGAGGGTTTTGCGCTTTTCCCACTACCACCAGCCTCAACTTATCACTGCCGTCCATATTGGCACCAACCAGCACTGTGATGCGCTCTTTACTCCGCTTACCCCCAGTACAAGTTTCCCCTTTGAAGGTGAGAGTCTTGGTCGGGAGCGCCGTGTAGAACAGTCCCAGCTCGTCGGCGTTGTACACATCTCGTGCTTCAAAGGTTTGCAGAATTTCCTGCAACCGCCCCTGCTGCCAGTTGCTACAAAGGTTTCTGTTGACTGCTGCACCTTCCCCAGAAATAGTCTTAAAGACTAGGCCGTGGCGCTTTTTAAAACGGCTGAGCCAACCGTCGCTCATTTTGAAGTTATCTATTCCCAACTGAGAAGCAATCTCTCCAGCCTTTTCTTCGAGGATGGGGCCGCTGATCGGGAAATTAGCACTTCGCGCGCGCTTAAACCAGAGAAAAAGGACGTTCTCTATTTCCTCAAAAGGCGTCTTTCGCATCCTCCTTCGGTCGGTGGCAAAGCTTCCGCGCTTTACAGCGTCTTGAATCTTTTCTTTGTCCTTTGATATCCTTGAGAGTGTAGACTTCGGGATATCGAACTTCCTTGCGATCTCCGTCTTCGAGAGGTCACCACGATCCAGCTCTTGAAGGATCTTCATTTTCGTAGCAAGCGAGATCGCTTGGTGCGGCCGCTTTTTTACCGCTTCCATCACAACACGGCAAGCGGACGCTGGTTTGCGTACTCGATGGTAAACGTGACGCGCAACAGACGAGGCGCTAACCCTAATGGCGGTAGAAAGACTGGATTGGATTGCCTTAATATAATGGCTTGGATGGATGGATGAATGGCTGTACCGTACCCTTTGTAACGAGCGGCACCTCGCGTCACCTAGCCTAACAACTTTTTTTTTTTTATAATAATATTTGTATAAATTTTGTTCTAACACAACCCCTTTCCCTTTAAAGTGTCCTCAGTCTTGGCTATTGCGTACTCCATGGTTGTGAGACTGCTGTAGCTATTTCCGATGTCCGCGGTCACCATGGGTAGTTTCGGTTTCGGTCCCGTTTAACCGAAGTAAGCAAAAAGGGGGGTTCCGATTACCCGAAGAATTTATCATTAAATACATAGGAAACCAACCGAAACAACCTTTAGAGTTCCGTTTATCCGAATTTTCCGTTTAAGCGAGTTTCGTTTAATGGGAGTCCACTGTACTACTGAAACTGCTACTACAACGTCAACAAGTTTAATATCAACAATGGACGTCATTTCCAGCAGTGGGAAAAGCCCGTAACAGCTATTGTTGTAATAGCAAACTATAAGAAACAAAAAAAAATTTAAAAAAATACGACAAACGATTAGCACTGTCCACCATAAGCTATGAGGAATGCCTCACCGTCCTGCTTGGTGGTGACCAGCACGGGGGCACTGCGGGGGCCGTTTCCCGGGCTGGTGAAGCAGAGCACCGTCAGGTTGTAGGAATGGTACTTGCGCAGCCCGGCGACCACCGCGGCGTGCTCCTGCAGGGGGGCTCCCCCCAGCGGTGCCACCACCAGAGAGGCCTCGGGGGAGCCCACCCCCACGGCGCTGCCCCGGGGCCAGGCCTCCACCCGGTAACCTTGGTTCAGCCCATTCACCAGCTGCGGGTCCGGGGGACGCCAGCGCACTTGCACCGCCGTCGAGTTGAGCGCATCCGCACGCAGTCCCGAGGGGGCCGCCTGGGGCACTGCGGGGAAGGCAGACCTCCAGGGTTAGATGGTGCTGCTCTGTACCCAGAGGGGGGGTTCCGTGTTTTCAGTACTGTCGAGACCGGTTATAACGAAGTCGGTTATAACGAAATAGCGGCTACAGTGAAGCGATCACGATTTCCCATTACCTTTTGCACTTCGTTATAACCGAAGTCGGTTATAACGAAATAGCGAATATAGCGAAGTGATTTCCGATTCCCGTTGACTTCGTTATAACCGGTCTCAACAGTATGTACCGAAGACAAAGAACAGAAATCATGAAAAACCTTCCCCCCCCCCCCCCCCCCCCTTCCCAAAAAAAAAAAAAAAGAAAACCCGAATTTGAGCAACCTCTGAATATGGAGAGTCTAAGCTTAACGGAAATAACTCTCCTAATCTCGCGTGCCACTTGTAAGGAATCTCTGCCATAGGAAAAGCTACCCGTAGGGAATCCTTGCTCTCGAAAATACAGTTGAACCTCGATTTAATGAAGTCACCGGGACCCGCTAATTATTTCGTTAAATCGGGAATTTCATAAAATCGAGGAAGGGAGACCTGGAACATAGGTTGTGCAGGATATTTGAATTTGTTTGTTAAATCGCGTTTCGTTAAATCAGGGTTCAACTGTACCACCGGTAGTAGGAAACCCCTGCCATAGGGGATGCCACCAGTAGGGAACCCCTGCACTGAAAAAGCACCCCAATAAGTAGAATCTCAGCCATAAGGAATGCCACCCATAGGAATCTCCTATAGAGAATCTCTGTCAAAGAAAATGCCCCCCCTTCCCCCCCCCAAAGGAAATTCCTGCCATACGAAATGTCCTCCTGTAGGAAATCCCTGCGGTACAACAGAGAATTCCTGCAGCAAGGAATGCCACCCATAAGGAGCCCTTGTCAGAGGAAATTCCCCCCTAAGGAATCCGTTCCGTAGAAAAAGCCCCCTATAGAGAATCCCTCCCATAGGGAATCCCTATCATAGGGAATGCCAACCTTAGGGAACTCCTGCCAGATAAAACACCACCCACAGAGAACCCCTCCCACAGGAAATCCTTGCCAAACGAAACGGTGGCACAACAATCCCTCGAAGTCGCCGGTGCCTCTCGGCCCACGTCGCCACCCACCTCCCTCCCGGGTGCGCACGTGGATCGGTTCCGAGAACACCCCCAGCCCCTTCTCGTTGAAGGCAGCCACCCGCAGGGCGTACGTCTGCCACACTATCAGGTCCTCCAGGGTGGCCCGGGTGGCGGTGACGTTCACGCCGGCCCAGGGGCTGCTGGGGTAGCCCGCCAGCCGGTACTCCACCGCGTAGCCCAGCAGCCGGCCGTTGCGCTCCCCTTCCAGCGGGGGCTGCCACTGGAGCATCACCGAGGTGGGCGAGGGGGACGCCCCCACCACCCCCTGGGGAGGTCCCCCGGGGGGCTCGGGGGGCACCGACACGGGCTCCGTGGGAGTGCCCGCGGCGCCCTCCCCGACGCCGTTCACCGCGCTGACCCGGAACTGGTAGCTCACCTGGAATGCGGGGTGGTGGTAGACGGTCAACGCGGTCGTGGCTGGTGAAGTGCCACCTTAGACACACCTTGTACGAACTTGAAGTTCAGAAAAAGCGCCGGAAAAACAACGGGGACAAACGGGCTAGACGTTGGGCATTGTGTCGTCAAGGCCTCTTTATCTCTGCCTTATTTTGACACCTTTTCCAAGCTTCAACATGGATGTTGGTAAGGTGAAGATGACCGAGCAGAGGCTATCGACATGTCGCATACGTCAAATTGAATGATAAGTACTGTCCTATTCCTCTTCTGTCCATCCGTTGGCCGCAAGGTGCATGCAACCAGTTACGAAGAGGCGCTTCCGTTACGTGGATAAAAGTTTTCAACGGTAATACCATTAAAAGGTATGGCCTTAACATTTTGGATATTACATAGAGGTTAACTCTTACAAAAAACGCTGGCTAGGTGACGTAACTGCTATTCTGGGAGCACGGCCCCGAAGTGTGCAACAGACAGCGCCTCTCCAACCGAGAGTGGGACACAAAGAGAAACTCACGGACGGTTTAAGTTGTGGGACAAGGACCGACGTCGCCTGGGCCGAGATGTTGGATCGTGCCGTGATCCAGGGAGCCAGGGAGTCCACTGACACTACGACAATCGGGTGGCAAAAGGTTAGGGGTCTCGCACGCCCGTTGAAACACCAAAACACTTGTCTCCTTCCGTGCGCCCGTAAAAATGTGTATAAGCACAATGGAGGGCAATCGAGGGGGTCAAAGCCATGGCCAAGTCCACCAAGCAGAACTCGCTAGAACAAAAGATCCCTCAAATACAACTTAGCATATCTAGAGAAACTAAAAAAAAAAAGAAGAGGTTCATTGAGCCAATTGCCTCCTTGAATATCTGCCAAAGAAACAAGAACAACCGCAAAAAAAAAAAAAAAAAAATCGCAAGACAGAGAGGTTGTTCTAAACAACTTGTCTGGATGAATAATAAAAAAAAAAATTACAGCTTATCAATTATTGGGACAAGGCAAATCCTTTGGGACTCATCGAAGCATTAAGAGGCTCTAGAAGCCGAGCATTTTCTTGCAGCACACCCGAGCTCTACAGGAAAGCGCAACCGTGCAATGCGGGGAAGCAAGAAGCCACGCAAGATCACTAAATTTGGGTGTCCCATTTTCCAGAAAGTAATCGCTGGACCAGCACCTTTCGCTGGGAGGAAGTTCACCTAATCATGAAAGCATGCGGGGCGCCCCATACTGATGCCTTCCCACAGCACATTAACGTGCACATTACGCTTTCCTCCTGAGAGCATGCGGGCCCCCCCGTACTGCTGCCTTCCCACAGCACATTGGCGCACACATTACGCACTTCTCCCGAAGGTAGCGTGCGTTTAGCATCCGTACGACAACACTTGGTACCAGGCTAGATACAGATATACCTTACTATCAGAAAGCAAAATGCACATTTGTCCTGAAACAGGCAATGGCAAGGTTTCACCATAAACAACCGCAAATGCAGGGGGCCACTGTAACATTTTCAATGTGCACCTACTATACAAGCATATATGTCACATGCTGCGATACAGCGCAACCATGAGTTGTACGATAACTCTCGCTTGCACACACAGCGGTATTCATACTAAAGCAGGAGGAGAGATTGCAGGCAAAAGACATTCACAACAGCTAATGTCAGAAGATGCTACTTACACCAGAACAGGTCCTCTGTTCAAAAGGAGAAGAAGAGAAAGGAAAAATGGTTAGTTCAGATCAGTGTAGAAAAAGGTGCAACAAATGAAATTAAGTAAGGGGAAAGGGTGGGAAAGTAGAGGAAACAAAAAGGCTTAACATCTCAAGACCCAACATTAAGATTAAAAGGAAACAACAAAGATAACGACAATTGTGATTTAGTGCCCTTTCAACAGTCAACCCCACAAGTCTCCAAGAGTACATCTGCTAAAGTCAGCAACTTCAAACAGTTTGTAACAGAGACAACTGCACTGATTGCCAGTCTCGGCATCGTTGAAGTTACCTCATGCTAGTTCTTTCCTTCCAAGGCTAATCTCTTAAGATAAAGTAATTTGTGGATAGCTACTCCACTGGCAGACAACACTCGCTTACCGTGGAGTGATAGCCTTGTAAAATAATGGTTGCAAACAAAAACTGGCGGGCGGATGTCACGGTTACAGGCAAGCTGGTGAACATCAACACCTCAAGCCCTAAGCAGTCACACGATGGGGGAACAAACACAAAACACTCGGTTCGTGTTGGCGCTAAGGGTATTCTTAAAGACTTTTTCACACAATTGGGTCCGGGTGTGATTGACTGCATCGTGACCACTTATGACGAGAAAACCCACCGGTGTCATCCACTTGTATCGCTTCACCGATTTTCGAACGGCTCCCATTGAAGCTCGTAACAGCTCTGCATCCCTCCGATATTCCCGTAACTTTCTAACGTCAAGGGCTACTGACACAATCACAACGACACCGCTAATTGAAATATCGAGACTCAAGTATTGCGAGGGACTACAAATAAAGCTCCTCCGAAAAAGGCGGCGGTGAGAACTTCTCTGGATAGCTCGACACGCTCCGCCACTTTCCGGCGGACCAGTTGGAGACTTTCGGCGAGTGCCCCGCCGGCTCCAGATCAACGAGCAGCAGCCGAAGAGATCGCTTGCATCTTGCAAGGGGCACAGGGATCCGCCCAGCAAGCGTGCGCCGAGCGCTCGCCATTTGTCAGGGGAAGGGGTTGTAAGAGAAGCAGCAACTCAAACAACGGAGAGAGTTTGCAATTTGACGGCGGACACCTCTTGCACCAAGGGGTCGCAAGTACGCATGCGTGGCGTCGTCGCACAGCGGGGAAGGGAGCGGGCGGAAAGGCGGAGACACTTGCAGACGATCGACGCTCTCGTCTGCTCCTCGGAGCTTGTACCGCAAACGCGGCCCGTAAACCGTGCGACCCCGACGTAATCCAGGCACACTGGTATCCTCACCCGTAGGCAGCGCCCTCATCTGCAGGACGTAGTGGGTGATGGGGCTGTGCCCATCGAAGGCAGGTGACCAGCTCACGTTCACCGTCTTGGGCATGGTGTCTTGCACCGAAGCTCTCACGTTGCCTGGAGGGTGCGGCAGCTCTGCACGCGAAAACGTCCGAGCACTTAGAAAGTGCAAAGCAGAAAGCGAGGAACTTGGCTGATCGCGGCAGTCTACATACGTCGTCTTCGATTCCCGGAGTCAAGCGCACTCGACGTTAGGCGATCTTGTTCTCCAATCAACGCCGTTAGAGCAAAAATACTAGAGCTTTCGAGACTGCCACTAGAAGGCTTCACTACTCAGGTTGTCTCGCTAAATCTATCGGGCGAAGTTATGTAATAAATTTTTAAATGACGAAATGTTTTCGCAAAATTTTTTGTCGTGAAGTTTCGTAGTTTCACAACACATTTCGCGTTAGAAAAGATGGCGTCGGCGTACCGATGACCTCTAGGCGTGCAGAGCGGGTGTCGTTTCCTCCGGGCGAGGTCACCATGCAGGTGTAGGTGCCAATGTCGGTGTTCCGTGCCTGGTCGATGCGCAGGGTCCCGTCCGGGGACAGCCTCACCCTGCTCAGGGCACCCAGTTGCTGCTCACCGAAAAACCAGCTCACCTGCGAGTCACCGGCAACAGAACCCTCGTCACCCAGCGTTGCCTCGAAGGACGGGCCGTACGAGATACTACTTCTCGGCCCTTGATTGACTGACAAACTCCGCTAGCTTGTAAGAGCTGCATCAGTTTGTCTGCAATAGCCTAACACAGAGTGCTGGTAACTGCCTTGATAGACAACCTGCAGCACAAAACACTCCTTGGTCCTAGATTAATAAACCCTGCTCCATCGTACAGGCTGCACCAGTCTGCGCGAACCCAACAAAGTAATTGTTAACAGACATGACAGACAAAGAGAACAGGATACTACTCAGCCCCCAGCACACCACACTGCATTAAAGCCTGCCGTGACTGCTGGCAACTCTGGCCTCATGCAATTCCAACATAGAAAGTTTCAGTCTGGTGTTGTGCCCCTCGACAGACCAGTTGCAAAAATTGTGACAGGCCGCACGTGAAGCGTGCATTGAGCCATGGGAACGTCCTGTACACTCCACCCCACCTTGCTCCTGCAGCACCTACACTGTGGCACAAACTGAAGAGAGAGAGAAGGTAGCGAAGTTGGGTGACTACCTCCAGCCGCTCGTCTGCTACAGCCTGTTACATACAAGCAGTTCCCACTATTCTCTTCGGTGCCACATAGGGCGCCACACGTTTCGCCACAGGTCCATCGAAGAACGGGCGGAAATTAACGGCTGGTGGAAGCTGAAACGAGAAACGTCGAAGGACGTAGTGGATCGCAGAGAGCATACCTCGTAAGGAACGCTTGGGTCGTGGGAGATGCGGCACTGGAGCTCCGCCGTCGATCCCAGGATCACCCTCGTGTCCACGGGGGGCTTGACGATCTGAGTCCGCACTGCGGAAGAAAGGGCGCACCACACCTGCAAGCTTTCCCCATGGCACGAGTCCCCAAGCAGGACCCTTTCCGATCACAGGTCAACACTACACTTCCCGAGTCAATCTTCTGGATGTGAAACTGTTGCCTCGCTCGGCCAACATGTTACCAGTACTGAGGCGAACCATGCTAAATCGCTAACGGGCTGTGCAGCTGTGGCCAGATTGGAAGCGTGCCTCCCTCGGACACATCTGGATTGAAATTCTAAACTGGTTTGCAGCTATTGTTTGCCATGTTCGGCTCTCCGTTACATTCCTACACAATTCACGGAAAGTGAGTGAGGCATACCAACAAGACATATCTGGGACGTGTGCCTCATTATGCACCCTTGGGTGGTAACATAACTACTTTATAACTTATATAAATAGTTAGGTTATACAAAGACTAAATGTCATAAAAAATAGTTTATAAGTGTTCAGCTGGCCACACCCAAGGATATGAACCATCCAGCTCAGCTCCAACCAGTAGTATCATTATCCACCGTTCCAACATTCACATTTCTCTACAGCCTGGCACGCGCCACACACAAAAACGCTTAGAGCAGTACTGGTCAGAAGCAGTTGTGTTGGAACGACCTATACGAGAGAATGCCAACCGATATAACTAGGAAGTCTGCATGTTCTGTTTTTAAGCGCAATGAAGCAATTCAATTTTCGGCCTTTCTTTCCCAAATTGGTGCTCCATTTTTATCAACCGTTTAACTGTAGCCCTTGCAGTGAACGTTGCACCGGCACAAAAGAGAAGAATGCGCACTCACCCAGGACCGTGAGGTAGGCCTCGGCCTGGGTCGCGCCGGCCGAGTTGGCCCGGGTGCAGCTGTACTTGCCGCTGTCGCCAGTGACCACCGATGCTATCACCAACGTCCCACTGTCCAGGATCTGGGTGCGGCCCTCGTTGAGAACAGGGTGTAGATCTGCAACGTCCGCGAACCGGCACAAGCAGGACGCACACATCCATGAGCCCTCACTAGTCAAGCCTTCACCTTGTCGACAGCTTAATTCACCACCTCGCCTTAGTCAGAAAAAATTGCGGTGGCTTAGCTCGGCTATGCCGGGATATACGTAGCGTGAGCTTATGCGCACAAAATGAGGCGCTATCATGCGGCTCCGGTGCAGTGCTAGACTTGGCTACTCCGCAACAGAGGCGCACAGCTGGGCACGTGGCAGCGCCAGTGCGTCTGCTGCGGCTATGATGCAACTCCTCTGGAATGCGCAGACCGGCGAGGCGGGCGCAGCGGCAGCTTCGCGTGACTGTCATAATGAGCCATGCTCATTATGCCGAGCTCCGCCTCCGCCGCCACGTGCTTCGCATAATCAGCACGGCTCGCATAATGAGCATGGCTCATTATGAGGGCCACGCGAAACTGCTCAGCCTCAGCCAGTGTAGCTTACGCTACAAAAGCTCACGAGTCACCTGTCTCGGCGTACGCCAACTCTCTTCTGCTAGCGGCGGAAAATTGGAATTGAGTGCCGTATTATCCGGCCACCAAGCAAATTCAGGCACCTCGCACGCTGGCGTACGACGGGTATGGGGTAAAATAAAATAATGAGCGTGCACCCGCGTCATAGCAAGCGCCCAGTCGCTAGTCCTGAAATGTAAGAAAAATAAGCGGAGGACGTATCGACACGACGACATGTTCCTCCGCGTCCGCCGCTTCTCCGGGCGCCCCGGTGCAAGGTGGCGAAGCTCACCCCCCCCATCACGTGCCCCTTCCGCGTTTTTGCGCTCGGACCTACAGAGCGATTTTCCGAGATCCAACTCCAAATATTTAGTGTGGGCGCTTGATCGGTAGCTTATGCTGATAGACCCTTCCCAAAGGTCGTGCGCCACCCAGTGGCAGCTGCGTCAGTCGTTCAAGTCCGTCGCCATATATTCATGCGCTCGAGCGTGCGTCGTGTGCGAGCCTGTCGCCGTTCAGCGAAAACTCGAATCCCGTCGCACGCGTCGTGCGCAAAAACATGCCAACGACTAATGTTGCTCGACAAGTTTGAAAAGGGTCTATCAATAATATTGTGCCGAGCATGTCTGTATAAACATTTTTGACCCGTAGACGGGGGATGTAGAAGAGGCTGACCGTTGTACGCCCAGCTGGTGTTTGGCAGTGGGGCTCCCACCACCGCGCAGGGAAGTTGGGCGTCCATGCCGTCCAGCACCGTCACGTTCTCGGGAGGGCGGAGGAATGCGGGAGGGGAGACTGAAACGAAGAGCAGGTGTAATGTAGGACACAACCTTCATTTCTTTTGCCTTCGAATACGACACAAACTAAAACCCACGTGAGCCAATGAGGCTTCTGCTTTCCGCAGCCCGTGGACTGTAGGACCCCAGTCCGAGGGATCCGTGTCCCAATAAGCCAGACTGCGATCTTTCGAGTGCAGAAGAGCTGGATCGAGTACTCCCTTACCAATGCAGAGTCTACACTCTATCCAGTTCCCTATTTACGACTCCAGCGACTTATAGGGGACGCCACTATCGGGCAAATATGGCGGTCGAATCCAGGTCGTGGCATGCCATGTGCCAGCTCAACGCACAACGCTGGGGCAGCAGCAAGTAGGCACTGGACTCAAAATTGGTTCCCCCGCATTTTATCTTACACGTTTCAAACCTACGGCGATGTGCTTGACTTTCTTCGAGGAAACGAGGAAAGGACTGCCCACTGTCCTTCTACGGTGCTGATGAACATTGATAAACACAGAATGTCTGACTCATGCGGTCACGTAGGTCGCATGCAGAGCAACCTGGGTCACAAGGCGATGCTACGGTTACGACACGGTCGTCGGTAGAACTGTACTGTCCCGCAAACCACAGACAACGTGGAAACACAGAAGCCAGAAGAGACGAGCAGATATCGCAAAGGGACCTGTTCCCGCCAGTTCAGGGTTTTCCCGCTAGGTGCCGTTCGTTTTGCTGGAGTTATGAATAATTTCATTCAGGTCGGTAGGGCGTAAAGTCTGCTTCGAATAAACGAGCCAAACTGAATCACTTGTTGAAGGCTCAATTCGTTGAAATGCAGGAAGACCGCTCTTTAGAGATGTGGCAAATGAAACAAAAATTTTGCGGAGTTCCACTTAACGACAAAGTTGCAAACCTATGCAAGTTCGAATTGATGAGGGTCTACCACATTCGAAGAGCTTTGCTCAGCAGGAATGGTGACGCTCGAGTAAAGTGTCAGAAATGCCTTAAAGTCCATTGAGAAAAAAAAAAGGGGGTGAGAATTTTAGGCATTAGATTTCTTCCCTTCAGAGAAACAGAATGAAATAAAGTTGGCTGGTCAACTTACGTCCAGCCAAATGTGCTACTTGGGAACTGCATCTATTTTGAAGTGCTCTCCCTAAAATTTACAAGTGTTTAGTGTTTTTTGTTGCTAGCCGTGTGCAAATAGTGGATTTTGAGTTCAAAGCGAAAAATGGTTTTAGACGAATATTTTGGAATTGAATATCAAAGTTTTTTTTCAAGCCTTTCCCTACTGTTGCACTAAGCTTAAATGAAAACCCAGCTGAACTCATGATGCTTGCTTCCAAGCTTCTGCTTGTCTATTTCTAAGTTAATTTTCATCTAACTATATATACCATATACAGTCGAACTAACATGCAGGTCCCATCCTATGCGTCTCTATGGAAGGAAACTCCTGATAACTCAAACTTTGCTTTATTCAAAGAAATTTTTGGCCCCCCTTGAGTTTGAATTAACGAGATTCGACTGTATATGCGTGTAATGGCTGCACATGCGTAATAGCCGCATCCCTAACTTTCAACAAAAAAAAAAGCTGAAAAAACAGCATTTAAAAATTACCCGTGTATAGGCTGCACCTACGATTTTTAGAATGGCTAGAAGTGCCAGCTGTAACGCAAAAACTCAAGAATGTTTTTTTTTTCGTTTTTCCAAGCATCTGTTGGCAGGTGGCGTTTACCCGGCTGCGGGAGCCAACAACATCGAGGCACTCTGTCCTGTCTGTTTGCACGTCTCGTCTTATCTAGAACAATCTCGAATCAGACGCAGTGCATCTCTTTGTGTTTGAGAGTGCCTTCTGGTTTCCCGCTATCATCCACTTCAGGCTTCTCGACAAGCAAGTATGCGAGTTACACGGCCGGCTTTAAACTCAAAGTAGTTGCCTTTGCTCAAGGCAACAGCAAAAGAGCGTCCGGGCGAAAGTTCGAAGTCGACGACAAGGTGATGCTCCCAAGAAGATGAACTAAGGAGGACCAACACAACAAAGCACGCTTTCAGAGGCAAGCAGAGCCTGTTTCCCGACTTTTGGCTTTTGACGAAAAAAAAAGGATTTCCAAAAACCTTTTCTGGCCTTCTCCATGTAATGGTTGCCCCCCTAGTTCTCGCCCGAAATCATAAAAAAATACCTGCGGCCGTTACATGCGTATATACGGTATATATGCTGTGGGCTCAGAAAGCCCAATGCCTGCATTGGTATGGCAAGGAAACAATGGATTTAACATAAAATTAAACCCATAGAGATGTCCCGCTGTACCTCATCGAGAAGATTTATAAATCTTGGTATATGCAAATATCCTTTCTTCAATCTCAATTTTAATAAAAAAATTTTTTTTAAAAATTATTGCTTGTATTAGATGTATACTCTTGCATAATAGCCAGTTTAATTTTGAAAATTTTACTGCAATGCACATTCAACATTCACAAAATTTTAGTTTCTTTTTTTTAAATACACCAGGCACCTGCATACACCATCCCACTTTAAAAGGGTGCTTTTCTCCTATGCACGCGACTGCGATATTTGTACTTTTTGAAATGTTCATTGCTGCGGGTTAGCTCCGTTGAGGGTGCTTGTTCCCAACCGCTGGTGCACTCGGACAAGCAACGTGCATATGATGCGTAATGAATGCTTCGAAAAATATGAATACCGCAGTTCATCTCGAAGCAAGTATCGCATTGCATATTATTCGACAGTACTATTTGAAATTGTAATATTCGCACAACACTACCCTTTACCATTCTGCAAACGTCCTTTTTTTCAATCAGACAAATGCGAATCAAGCTCGTCTATCTATGGCATCTATGCACAGTGTCCCCCTATGATGTCTACTCAAGGTGCCCATCCATGGGGTCTGCCTATAATGTCAGCTCATGGCATTGATTTATAGCATCCATCTATGACAACCACCTCTGGCATCCATTTATGATGTCTATTACAGCATCCATCTATGGTAGACCCCTCCATCTATGGTGTCTACTCATGGCACCCATCGATGGTGTCCATCTATGATGTCCATCTTTGGCATACATGCATGGCATCCACTTATGGCGTCCATTTAAAGTGTCCATCTATTGCGTGCATCTACGGCATCTTTTATGAAACCCATCTATGGCATCTATTTATGGCATCCATCTATGATGTCCATCTTTGGCATACATGCATGGCATCCACCTATGGCATCCATTTATGGCGTTCGTCTATATCGTCTATCTATCGTGTGCAACTATACCGTCTATACATGGCACCCATCTATAGCATCTATCTATGGAACCTATCTATGGCATAGAGTTGATATAATCTAGAGCAGTGGTTCTCAAATAGGGTTCCACAGACCATTTTCGGGATCAACAAAAAGCTCTTGCAAAAAAAAAATATTTTTTTTTTTGCTGACTTTGGTTAGGTGGTGTAAGCTACCTCCTGTCATAAAGGGTGCAGCTGTTACCGTCCATCCATTCATCCTTTTACTTGATGCTTATCCCTTCTCTTATCTATAACAGTAAAAGATGCCATCTTCAAGCAGCAATTAGTTGTTATATTTTACATCCTCCTCCACCCTTCCCACCACCTTGGTGAGTCTGCAAGGGGTCACCCGCGCATCCATGCTCGAGAACCACCGAACTAGATGCAAAAGACCTGTTTCCGGTCGTAACAGAACAGTGGGGCATAGATGCCCAGTGGTCCCAGTGGGCAATCCCAATAGGCCGACATTGCTGGCGACACCTTAACATACGAAAAGAGGCAGCCAAAACATCACCTGCAAGGTCCGTGCCAAGCTCTTTTCTAGCTCACCTTGCCAAAAAGACGCCGGCATCGCACGTCGTATCAAAATAATTAAAGACGAGCGCTCGAACTTCAACTCGTCACGGCAAGACTAACCCTCCTAACCTCTCGTCCGCTGCACTTATAATTTTGTGGCACGTATTCTGCCCCTTTTTTACCCCCCCCCCCCTTCCCCTCCGGTTTACGGCGTCCACTCACTCTTGACGTGCAGCCAGGTGGCGGCCCGTGCCTCCCCCAGCGGGTTGTGGGCCACACACTGAAGCACGCCGGCGTCCTCCATGGACAGCGCATCGATGTCCAGCGACCCGTTGCTCAGCACGTGCAGGCGTCCACCCGCCGCGACGTCCAGCGGCCGGGCGTTGCGCAGCCACTCCACGGCGGGAGGGGGACGGCCCTCGGCCAGGCAGGGGAGCTGCAGGTGCTGGCCAAGCTCGGCCGCAGTCTCTTCCGACACCGCCTGGACCAGCCGGGGGGGCACTGCGACCCACAGGAGGGAGCCACCGTAGTTGGGGCCTTCCGAAAGACGCTTCCGGAAACGAGCCGAGATTGAAAGCCGCGGAGGTCGAGATAAAAGCTCGTCTCGCGGCACGAGTTCTTGGCATCGACGAAGCTACGACCCCATTTTGTTATCGGCCATTTCTTGGCACCTTTCCAGAGAGCGCGTGCAGCGAGCATCGGGTACCACTAAAAAAACCCAAGTATAGAGCGCGTTGTTAATGCTGCAGCGTAGCTTCGTGGTAATGCCTCCATTTCGCACAGCGTGGACCCGGGTTCGATTCCACTGTGGCTGGCGGGTGATCTTCCTCAAGGATGACGGACACCTTACGCATTACTACAACGACAACAGCGGACGTCACTTCCACCGGTGAAAAAAGCCCACAACAGCTATCGCCGTAAGACAAACTTTCCCTTCGTACCTGCCACGGTGACATTGGCGTGGGCCTCCAGTGCGTCTTCTCCCAGGGACGCCCGGCACGTGTAGGTGCCCTCGTGCTCGGGCCCCACGTTCAGCAGGGTCAGGGTGCGGTTCCAGTGGGTCAGTGCGTGGGGCAGGCCCCTCAGGGGCTGACCCCCCTTCAACCAGGACACCCGCACCTCCTCCAAGGGGCTGCGGAAAACACGCGCACATGAAGACCTCGCAGTTGGTCGATCGGTCGGCTGCCCACGTAGCAGGCATCATAATGAGAAACAGCGCAAAAGGGACAGGACACAAAGTAGAAGAAGGACACAGGACATACGCTGACCTTCTACTTTGTGTCCTGTCCCTTTTGTGCTGTTTCTCATTATGTCATTCAACCAACCAGCCAAGCAAGGTATCCTGTTATAGTAGGCATCCCCAGGTGGCGGGTTCGAATCCCGGCCCAGGGTGCTTGCAGTCCGACAGAGGACCATAGCGGAAAAGGCCCGTGATTTTGGCCGGTTGCGCGACAAAAGATTCTTGGGTGGTCGAGATTAATCCTCGGTCCCCTGCTGCGGCGTGCCAGGTGCCCTTCGTCGGTTCGGCGCGTAAAGCCCCCAATTCGATTTTGAAACGCGTCTCAGAGTGGTGTGCTTAGCATCCTACGTCGCCCACACGTCAAAAGTGGCTCAAAGTGGCAACCAATGACATCACAGTCACGGAGGCTGGCATGTCGCATGCAGTCAGATGTCACAATCCCAACAAATAATAATAAAAATATTGCAAAAAAAAAAAGCGTGTGCAGATTTTTTTTATCTTGTGGCTGCTTCAATTTCTGTAAACTGCAAAGCTCCAGAACAACCCGCGGCAGAATGGGTCTCCACTGCATCCACCTCCACCCGCCCCCCCTGCCGCCACCAGGATTGCGGAAGGCAGCAACACGACACGACCATTTACGTCGTCGGGCCGAAACCGAGAAACCACAAATGAATAGGCAATCCGAGACGCGTCGCTGCCGTGACGGAGCTCACCTGCCGGCGGCGATGCACTCGAGGGTGTTGTCATAGCCGTTTCCAAGGTTGTTGAACTCGCTTTCCGAAGGGGGAACCACGATCGACAGCTTGTGGGGCCCGTCCTCCTCGACGCTCTCTGCGGGAAGGACCAAAGAAGGACGTTTGGGAGGTCGCTCGAGCCGAGCGAACGGAACAGAAACTGCGGTTGTCAGAAGACCGATCGTCGTTGCTCCGTGGCGCAACGGCGATGCAGAAGCTTCAGAGCCTGGTCGGGCAAGGAGGCCATCCTACCTTAGGATGTAATGACGCCCGTCACGAGTGACAGGGAAGGCTTTATTCAACCGGGCAACCAGTCTGTTGACCTGTCCTACACACACGACTTTCTAAAAATCCCAAAATTGAGTTTAATTGTTTACCCTGCAAGAGGACACTTTCGCGAGATGTGCAAGAATCGGCCCTTAGCAACGGCATTTAGACCTACCCTCTTACGCTTGTGAACAAAAAGAATAAATGTGTAAGACAAAAAATGACACAAGCACATCTTTCATTATGCGACAGATGTGCTGGCATTGTCCCTTGCTCTAAGCGTTTATTCTTTCAATCACCTACTTGCACCAACAGACTTGTTAATTTGTTTTCTTACGTTTGAGCCATGCTTTGTCAGTCGTTCTTTCGCGCGCCGTGAAACTGAACACACCTGGCTGAAGTCAACCTTATTGGAGCCAATCAAGTTTGGAATAATCCTCGCTGATATTTTAAAATGGTGAGTCTGTTTGGGATATCAAGCGCAGTACACACTGACACCCCTCAGAAGTGCGGCAGCGTATAGCAGGTAGAGTGAGCTCACCTCCTTCCACTTCGAGCTCAAGGAGGGGTCCCAGGAGGAACTCTCCCGTATGGGGGTTGGTCAGCTCCACCTGGTAACGGCCCTGGTCCTCAAACCGTGCCTCCAGGATCACCAGGCGGTTGTCCTGCAGGGAATTCACTAGTGAGCCAAGCTGGCTTTGCCCAGGGGAGCTTCTTATTTCATTTCACTTGAGTGTGAACCTGGCAAGAGCTGCTAGGTGTGCATGCTCATGCATCGCAAGCACTGGACGGAGAAATGTGTTTGTAGCTTCGGCTTCACTCGCACATTGAGCGAAACAAAGTACAATAGGTGTTTTAAGGGGGGACGCGGGCTTTGAAAACCGAAAAATCGCGAAAAAGTTGATTTTTAGAAAACCTTATTTTTCGGTTGTATATATCATAAACTACCTTCTCTGTAATTATCAGCACCAAATACAACGGGGAAATATTTATAAACAATTATTTACGAGGCCTGGGTAGCTTCCAAGTGACAGTCAAACGTCGAAATCAACCCGAACTTCGCGCGCTGGCCATTTTCGACGCGTTAGGCCGACGGCCGCCATCTTAGTCTTGTTTTGAACGTGAATTCTTTCTCTTTTTTTTTGCCAGCTCCCAAAATGGCGTCAGCCGCGTGGTAACGGCGTGGTCGCCGTTCTTCCATGTCGCAATCGCAAGAACGCGATTGGACAGAGCGCGCGCTCGAGGAGCGTGCGGGGGAGCGCGCGACTGCTATTGGCTGGGACGCGATTTCTCCGCGCGCGGAGCGCTGTCCTCCTCCTCCGTTTCTCCTGCTGTTGCCGCTCGCGTCGTCTGCTTTTGGTAGTGGTCTCCTTGCACGCGCTCTTGCTTTGTCGGCTCCGCTTCGTTTTTCGCCATCTTTACAATCCTTTTCCAAACTTCCTTTGAGTAGTTTCGTGTAGCGTGCCCGTCTGTTTCGTGGTCACACACGATGCGGGGTTCGAAGTACAAGACGGTGCGTGCGTTTGGCGCGCGGAAGTGGTCCATGAAGTTAGTGCGGATGGCGAAGTTGGAAGTTTCTGCACGGCGTGCCGTTAATGATAATCGCGTCAACACTTCCAGTGATGGATTTTCTGTGCCATCGGCTGTCGTCAAGAAGAATGCATTGCCCCTCTCACGCCTGGAGTACCGAGCGTGCCGACCGTTGTGTTTCCTCCCGAGATCGCGGGTCCCAGCGCCCGTCTTCCGCCTGCCGCGACAAGTGGGAGCGCGTCTTCCAGCACCCATCTGCGGACGCATTTCCTTACACGTGAGGAAATCGAAGCAGAAGCTAGACATCGTGATACCGTTCAAGCCGTACTTGGAGCTATGCCAGCAAACTGCACTGCATGAAGCGGTGTTGAGGTTCAACGCCGGCTGCTACAAGGCAACTGCAGAAATATCGGTTGCAGTGGGACTTCAGCCGGCCCATCTAGCCCTCCAACGAGCTGCCGAGAAAGATGCCCTACGTCTGCACAAGGCCAGCAAACGACATCAACAGAAGTTGGAAAGGCGGAACACGAAGAAAGTGTGCAAGAACACTTCTGACTACTCTGCAGGGTCATTCTAAAGCTGAAAATCTGTGTGACTTTCGAGTGCTGTTTTCTCAGAATAGATCTTTTCACTGCCGTGGCTGCTCGTCCCAGCGATATCTCAGGAACTGATGAATGGATTTTGGTGCTGTCTTTTTTATTCTGTTCTCTAATAACTTTGTGAGGGCATAACAGAGCCATTTTTTTAGAAAACTGTGCTAAAAATTTATAATAAAAAAATTAAATTTGATGAATGTGGGTTTCGTTGTCTACCCAAAATTCAAAGTAGCGTTAAAATTTTTCAACAAAGAAATTTAAAAAAAGGGCTCTGTTATGCCCTGGGGAACCTATCCAGGGGTCATCATAACAAATTTTACGCCGCTACTACCTTTTTCAAATTCTCCAGACCTGGGATAAGGAATGCATATGGACGATTTTGATAAATATTTGTAAATTGAGAAATAATATGCACAGCTCCATGAAACTTTGCAGTTACTCTTATGTCTGTGCTATAAACACACCCTGTAAATTTCGTTCAGATATCTCTAGAAATAAGAAAGTTAATATTTATTCCCCACCTCCTCCCTTAACACCTCAAGAAAATTTCCCTATTTGTGTACATGACATTGGGGGAGGGCAAAACAGTCACTACCAAGGAAAGTGCCACAAAGTCCCCCAGAATGTCATTGCTTTTCCAACAGACGACAAAGATTTGCCTTAACAAAAGATTAATTTCACCAGCGACTCTTTAAATGGGTAGAAAAAGAAACATAGGAGCAATGTGTCAAACATATTGAACATAGCCACGGCACTTTCTCATGTTCTACTGAGGAAACGCATTAAAAAGCGCCGAATTTTACCGGCTAAGCTAGTGCCCCAAGCGAGCCCTTTTTTTTTTGTACTATCGATTTTGATGGCCACCTTTCAACTCTAAGGACAAAAACAAGCAAACCTGCAATCTGTTGTTCGTGCTGACCGGCATGTCGTCCTCCATACATCCCCTCCCACGTCACAGTGAGAGTTGACTCAGACTCTAAATGCAGCCCCCTGCAGATTTGCACCCAATGAAAAGGACGCAAAAAATTGCGGTGGCTTAGCTCGGCTATGCCAGGATATACGTAGCGTGAGCTTATGCGCAAAAAATAAGAGGCGTTATCAAGAGGCTCCGGTGCAGCGTTAGACTTGGCTACTGCGCAACGGAGGCGCACAGCTGGGCACGCCGTCTACTTTCCAAAGATGGCCCACCCGACTCGTTTCCACCGTCTCTCCCTTCAAAGTGGGTGGGCGTTCGTGCAGGATTTTGCGGTAAGCCACCCAAGCGACCGGCACCCTACCTACCTGAGTGGTGGCGTACTGGATGCCTTCCAGAGGTTCGCTTCCGGACGCGTCGCCGCTCAGCCGCATCCAGGTGGCGGTGGCCGCTGGCACGCTCTCCGCCCGCGGCGGGTCCAGCACCACGGGGCTGCCCCGGCGCACTTGCACCGTCACCGTCTTGGACACGGGCTCGCTCGCTGTCAGGTCTGCACGCGTGCACGAGCAAACAGAGTCACTTGTTGCACTTGTGAAACCAGATGATATAAAGGCCCGTTCGCACGCCTGCGTCTGCCTACGACTGAATTCTTGCAGCCTCTTACGGTGCCATCCATGACAAGACCCTGAAACTGCAATTCACAACGAGGTTCTGCGGTACTTGTAAGATTGAGTGTATGTAGTACATTCTACAAGAAACGGTCGTTTATAACATTGTCAAACTTGTTTTCGAGCCAAGGAAGAAAGAATGATGCGGAAAAAATACAGGGAATATACCGACACGGAAAGGGATGTACGGCCGCCGAACAGAGGGTGTTGGGGTGCCCTCTCGTTTCCTAAAAGATTTTAAGAGGTTTTAAGGCATACGGTCGTAAGAAGTCGCAACTGCGTGAACAAGCCTTAAAGGGCCCCTAAAAAAAAATATAATGTTTTGCTAAACAGACTAGTCAAGACACGCGTGTCAAAAAATTAAATTTATGCAAAAAAAAAAAAAAAAGGGTGCTGAAGCATTGAGAATTTTGTATAATACGCCACGATTCCCTCCTCTCACTGAACGCGCCGGGAAGGAGGGGCTTCGGCGCTATTTCGAAAGCGCCGTTGTGGCCACTGGTTGCGTTGATCCTAAATATAATTTTGATGTTTGCGATCCTGGGGGCCAAACGAAGACGGTTTAAGCGTTCCTTTTTTTCTCATATACAGAATTGTTCTGGTTTCCCTTTAAGAGTTTCGTGTTGTTGCGTCGGGAGATTCTTGAAACCTTAGAACACTGGACGTGCTCGGAAATGCGTGCGGGGACACTCACGCGCGACACGCAGCTTGGCGGCGCGGCTGAGCACGGATCCGGCGGAGTTGTTGGCCACGCACTGGTAGAGCCCCGCGTGGGAGAGCTCCACGTGGCTGAGCACGTGCAGCAGGCGGGTCGTCCCGGTCCAGTTGGTCAGGGGCTGGCCGTCCCTGAGCAGGCGCAGGCGGGGAGCGGGGGAGCCCACCGCGTCACAGTGCAGGCCCCTGCGCTGTCCCAGGGACACGTAGCCGCCCACCGGGTGCTTGACGAAGCGGGGGGCCCACTGGTGCTCTGCGAGCGGAGGACGGGGTTCACAAACTATTCGTTTCGAGGCGAAACGGCACAAGACACAAACAAAGTAAAGACCAGACGGTATGTGGTGCTGACTAGCAACCGAAAGCTTATTTTGCTCATTCCCTGTTTATAAACGCATGGGCGAAAGCCAAATAAGCGGAGTGCCCAAGGAAAGAAAGAACACGCACACATACAATCTCAGCATCATTTTGGATAGATAATACTGCACTGGGCCAGCGCCGGTCTTTAACACGTGCCAGTCAGGAAATTAATTTCTAATTCGGGAAGACTGACAGAGGGCATGCCGACGCGTTTGTCCTTCAGTAGGCTTCTATTATTTCTCGAGTAAGTTTGTCACCGTTCCTTTCGATGATTTCGCTTTTTTGATTGTTGGGGGTGCATCCTCAATCACGGCAACGAATGCCAAAATGTTTCTCAACAAATCGGCCCAAAAGAAACCCTTTAACCGGTAATCCGTCATATTGCCGCCGGACGGTGCCACCACAGTGGTGTCTTCAAAGCACTGGACGAAATTCTATTGGCTTGGCAAGTGCTGCCAATGAGGCACATGATTGGACATGTTGGAGCCAAAAATGGCAGCGTTGCTGCAGATGTGGTGTGTCATCACAGGTGCGTTGCCACCAGAGATCGATCGGAGCGCACTCAGGAATGGTGGCGCGTTGCCTGCAGTCACAGTACACCACTAGGTATGTGAACGTTCTCATCTGGCATGTGACACGGGCCAAAAATTGTGACTTGTCACCGCAGCCAATCGAAGCACTTGCGGCACAATTGATTGGGTATAATCAACCACTTTAGACGCCTTCAAGCAAAGGCATTCCATTCTTCACACGAGCGTCGCATGACGTCGCATCATCTCGTGCTTGTCGAAACGGAAACCATTCTCTCCGGCGGGTGGTTTGCAGTGAAAAAATGATGGGAATACCATGGACCAACCCAGCAAATCGAGTCATCTGAGTAACTCTAGCTTTTAGCCATCATGGCACTTGGACGTGTGAAAGTTGCGAGAGAGACATGCCATTTAAACGGAAATCCCATGCAGGGACTCGCAATATCCACATAACCAGAACCGATCCCAAACATACAGGGTATCAAACCAGCCATTAAACCGATTTGGTTGGGGTTCGGATTCAGTAGCTGTGCATTTTGTTCCGGTTCAGTAAGGCATGTGAAATATCGGTTTACGTACCGGTTCCACCAAGCACAAACCGGTTCACGACTCTAACCTAGGGGCCGCCTGTGCATTTCCTGTGCTGAACAGAAAGGAAACTCCGTAGCTCCCAGTCGCAAATAAAAAGTGCATTCAACTCCGTGTCATCTGCATTAAAAAAAATATACTAAAAATAAAGCATTAAAGCCCCTGCCTGGGGAAAGGAACTGCAGAACAAGTATAGGCTTAATTTAATTTTGTAATCTTTACCCTCTAATATTTTTTTTTTTTTCCTGTAAACTATGTGACCGTACAGGAGCTTGGAAATGGTACAAAAGTACTGTACGAGGTCAATCAGGCGGCAGGCACCACACTCACAAACTGCCCGTTGTAATGTCCGAGTTGAAGATGAGAATGACAACAAGAATAGTTGAAAAGCAGTTAAAAAAAAATGGCATGCTGCATTGAAAAAAGAAAAAAAAAAATATATATATATATATATCTTTTTTTCTTTTAAAAAGATAAGAGACTGATATTTAAGCACTGTCCAGAGCTCCAGGAAATTAGTGTACCGGTGCCCCATGTCGCGCTTGTCAATTTACTTTGCCTCTCGAGCCTTCCCGGCGGCACCTCAAGTTTCTGCCACTGCAGAACAAACACGAGCCCACAGACAGCCCGTCAATTTTCTTTCGGTTTTTGTTTGCCTTCTTTTTCTTCGAGGAGCACTTATTTGCAGCAACAAAAACCAATAATAAACAAAGAATAGCTGTTTAGCTTCTTAGCATAGAAGGCTATACGTCGTTTCTCCTTGCGATGAGCAGCGGTGAACATTACAAGCTATTCCGGCCAACCCAGCGCTGTGAACGTGCTAACGGCTCATGAGGTATTGGAATGGCTTCGCTTTGATGGCTCACAGCGTCTACTGCGGCCCACCCTAAAGGGAAACGAAGTATGAATGCCTACATCAAGCCATTAAATTTTTTTTTTTTTAACTATAATAGAGTTGTTTTTACATTCGTGCAGTTTAGTTAGGCAACACTGTGCTGCTGGCCCCACTGCCGTGCATGTCAAAACTGACATTGCGCCGCCACCCGCAAAAACAGGTACGAGTCACATTTCGTCACGTCGAACCATGTTACAACGAACTACTGGTAACCAGCCAAACCAGAGGGTGGGTTTGTTCCGGTTCATATTCAATAGCAAATATTTTAGTTTGGTATTGGCTCAACACTCCACAAGTATGGCGCTTTTTGCAGGCTTGCAGGGCAATGAAGTGAAATCTCCCGAGCCATTTGTACTGCCATTAAAATAATCTAATGTCCAGGTTGGCTTTGTTCGACAAATGTTTCGATTCTCCTAAAAAGAAACAGAAGTAAGGATATTGCGTCTGATTGGTTAGAGGCTCAAAAGATGAAAGTTCCCTCTTTCGTCATTTGAGCCTTTAACCAATTGGGTAAGTTATTCTCACTTCCGTTTCTTTTTAGAAGAAACAAAACATTTGTCAAACATAGTCCCCCTGCTGTTCCTACATACTTACAAGACTGGACATTATCTACTCGTCCCGCCTTATGCTTACAGTTAAGTACTTAGTGCCTTGTGATGGGATTGGAAGTTCTTTTGGCAATGACACGCATAGCGATAGGGCTGGTCCAAGTAGTATGCATTAGAGCAAGCTTCACAGAGTCACGGAAGGACACCCTCTTGGCAACTGGAAGCGCTGGTGAACATGCCAACATCAAGTCTAGGAACGATACTACTGTAACTGCCCTGTAATGACACTGTATCTTTTCTTTACACAATCTACATGATGTCAATCTAAAATATAATTTCCAATAGGCGGACACGGCTACTTTTGATGTTGCCGAAACTGCTCAACTGCTTGAAAGTAACTATGCAAGTGGCTGTAATTTGTTTGCCGTGACGAAAATGCAGCCGAACCTTTGTCAGACAGTTTGCAGTAGTTGAATAGTTGCTATCAGGGCAAATCATGTTACCATGCTGTAGAAAAGATATTTAAAATGCAAAGCTTTTGTGAACAGAAGGTTGGGGCGCAAACGTGCCTGTGGTAATTAAACATAGTAAAAACACCCCGAGACTAGGAAAAAGAAAGGAAGGTACAAGCACACAGAGGTCTCAAACACAACTGAATTTATTTGACAAAAAAAGTTGGTGTTTACATAGCCTTCAATTGGAACCCATACAAACATGAAAGGCTATATAAACACCAACTTGTGTCAAATCGATTCAGCGGCGTTTGAGACCTGTATGTGTTTGACACGAAGTGAAGGACTCCTGCCATAGTGACTCGCCATCTCTGACATTCACTCACAAAGCCTTTGAGCGATTACCTTGTTGCTATGTATTTCTTTTAACTTGTCTTTGTCCAAGTATCATGTTGCCTTTTGCTGGATTTTCTTTTTTCTTTTCATGGGTGTTTGTATATTAACTGCATGGTATGGGCCTTCGGCCTTTCTGCTCTTCTCCCGACTCTTCTGGTCGAAATAAATCAAGAGTAAATGAAATGTTTGTCCGTCTTTTCTTTTTCCCAGTCCCGGGGTGCATTTACTACGTTCAAGCTTCCCTCATTTTAAAAATTTTGCGGGGCTTTCGACGGCACTGTAGCAGTCCACTAAAGCGAGCAAACATTAGATAACGCACGGTTGAGGACTCCACGGGCAAAAGCCGCGCAAAGCTTACCATTTTGTGCAGTGCAGTTCTGCAGGACGCTAGACAATAGGGCGTATAGCAAAGCCCATCGTAGGATCGGCACGCCACGACCGACACAGTTCCGTGTCCACCGAGCACGGCCCGAGCACGCGCCACAGCGATGTTCAAAAGAAAACATGCGAACACATCTTCGAACCGTAGTTTCTTCCATGGCCTGTACAGACGCTCTCGACGCGCCTCACATCACAAATTTGAAGAGATCGTACTGGTCGTTCGTTGACGCGCTGTTTACTCAAGCTCGCCGGTTAACCGCAAAACGGTTTCTCGCTGCACTGTTGACGTTTCATTTCCTCCGCGGGTCTTGAAAAGCGTAAACACGCTCAAATTCCGATCCTACCATTGTCACCGCTCTTCGGCCGTCGCCATATTGGCAAACTTGGGGCAACTTGACTGGGTCACTCGGAAAAGTTGATGCGAGCAGATGCGGACGGCATATCGGTCGCCAACGGTGGCCCGTTCTCGTACCTCGCGATGCGACGAATAAAAGTCGGCCTGTTTGGGCTCAGCGTTCGCGTTCTCGGGAGGTTTCCATGTTGGCCCTTGACAACGGACTAGTAAACAAACGAAACACAAGCAAGAACGAAAAACCGCTCGCAGTCACGTGACAGTAAGCTGCGCTCCCTTCCTTTCGCGCACTGCAAAACACGTCTGCGCTTAACAAGATATGAAGTCACAACACAAAGCACGGGTTTTCTTTAGCAGTAATTATGCCCAAAAAGTTAGCGGTTCTATAAGAAAAAATAAAATTTATTGTTCTACTTACGTGCAGTAATTTTTATTCTAAGATTTAATTTTGCTATCATAAAAATCACCTCGAGCGTGACCATTTTATGACGTCATAAGCCGACTCCAGACGCTTAGCGAATGGCAATAAAGTGATCGAGGGAACGCAGCGAGATCACGTGGTACCCCGAGGCCGTCAACCTGAGCGCTTTGCGGCCTTTGCGGGTCCGGCAGTAGTAAACGGAAGCTCCGAAGCCGATTGGAAACAATAAAACAAAAGTTTCAATTCCTGTTTTGCGGCTTTCCACGGGTCTTGGGCACGGAGCCAGCCACACGGAACTGGGGCGATGCTTGAGTTCAATCGGACACATCGGGGTATTCATGCACAAAACATATTGTTCGTTTCTTCCCCCCCCCCCCCCCCCCCCTTTTCTTTTTCTTTTTTGCTCTTGCGGCGCGTGTACTTTGTTGTAGGATTCCTAAATTGTACAAGGAACAAAGAATTAAGGAAGTCGACACTAGGAAACTTAGCCAACGCATACATTCCAAGCGGGTCGACGTGGGAATTCAGCTTTTCCTCAGAACGTACGACACGGTAGCAAAAAGGTAAACTTGAGCGTGCGCGTACCATTGCTGTAGTGCAACAGAGTAAATAACCGCAAAACACTCAAAAATTGAGTGAAAAAAATGTTTGTTTAAGCTTCAATGATTTCGTAGAGAATCGGTATTAAAAAAGTTAAGCCCGTTCCGAGCGCAAGGTTTGCTTCACCACATAACAAAAGTGTTGTGCGGTGAAGTCAACGCATTATTCCGAGCACGGGCTGCAACAAAGTATAAAGTGAGAAAACTAAAAATTGTTTATGCTTCGTTGATTTCGTAAATTTGAACTAAAATAAATCTCACACACGTTCTGAGCGCGAGGTGTGTTTCACTTCACATATATGCCGTGCGGTGAAGTCAACACATTCATCTCACGGACACCGGCAATTCAAAAGTCCAAGTCGAGGACACAGAAAGAAATAACAGTATCGCGTGCGATTGTTGTACTGCAACAAAATGTTCACCCGCACAGTTTAAAAATAGAAAGTAAGATCAAATATTTTCTTCGAGCTGAATTGACTTCATATGAAATATTGATGTTAAAAAATCTCACCCGATCGAAGTGCAGAGTTGGCTTCACCGCACAGCTGATACGTTGTGCGGCGAAGCTAAGGCATCAGCCTTACACACTCTCTTGGGTCAATGAGATAAGTGGGATTAAAAAAAAAAGGGAACACCGAAGTCTGAAGAAGAGAGTATTCGACAGAATACTTCAATAAAATTATGATAATTTGCTCCTCCCTAAAAGTGCAAATTTTTGGTATGTCATTGCTTACGTCATACTTGCCCTAGCTATCGAAGTCCTTGCATTAAAATGTGAAAACTTCCATTGCTTTAGAAAGCAAGACCTAAAGTTTGCCTCTCTTCAAAAAGTCGTTAAAATGAAAATGAAAACAATCCCTATTTTATATCTATTCCAATCTTATGAGGGCTTTAAAAAAAAAAAAATTCAACTCACCATCACCTTGCACCAGACATATAGGCGATTAAAAAATTAGCTCCACTCCGATCATCTTGAAAAATCTGTTGGCTGCTTTGTCTTAACAGCGCTTTTCGTTCGAGGTAGCTATCTCTCCAGTCACAGCTATGCAGGCTTAAATCAGTTCAGTTGTGACTGCGGTGCGAGAAACAGTGGTTGCCCCACTTGCAATTTGCACCGCACGGCATGCAGCAATTAGTTTCTTGTAGTCCGAGGGTGTGACTGGAGCAGATAATTTGTGGGCAGCATGGAGAAAGTGTTTTCAAAGCAAAGTGTGTTGCAACGATTTCGGAAGTTGAAGGAAGGACGCACGAGTGTCAGCCATAATGAACGAGCCAGACGCCCGTCTGCGTCGACGACCGACGACAACACTGCGTGCGCACACGGACCTACTCTGTTGGATACACGAGTGGCAGTGAACGATGTGGCAAGTTGTTAAGTCGTTTTCAAACCAGCCAAGAATCCGGCCATACAAGATTCCACGACAGACTAGTGTTCAGAAAAAAAAACTGTGCAAGATGGGTACCGATACGTTTGTGCACATAATTTCTGCATCACCCTCAAGCCAAAGAACCGCAAGTTAGACTTGCTGTGAAGGTACTAGCATGGCCAAAATATGGCGACTCACACTGCACGAAATGCCGATTGTACAAAGTGCACGCTGGTTCTACGGTCATTCATATCGAACCCCACTGTAGTCCGCTGCAAGTTGAAAAAAAAAGTGGGACAAGTGGAACCCCACGCAGCCCTCAAGTCTTTCCACTTCAGCAAAGCAAACGCTGAAGAGGACGTAAGTGGAAAGACAAAAACCACCAACCATGTTGAGCAAAGAGCTTTGTGGGAGGGGTTTGTTCTGCTTTTCCTTAACCTGCAACGAACTACAGGTCAAAGAGGCTTCCTTCCCCCCAGAAAGAATGAAACGACAAGAGGCCAGACATATTGCAAAGACACTGTTTAATCCACAGCATAGAAAAAATTATATACATTTATGGTAAAAAAAAAAGGGGGGATTGTACGCACACCGACACAAGATCGCGAGATGTTGTTAGGGGACCCGGGTTAGTGTGCACGAGCACGTGTATATTGCTAGGTGCAGGACGTTCACACGCCGTACAAAAGAAAAGACACTACAGTGTGCATTGTTCGACGCCGGACTCGTCGAACCGACCGACGAAGTCCCGAGGTCGGATGCGGTTTGAACGGAGTATGTGACTGTGCATGTTAAAAACTTCCGAAGCCAAGACGTTGGCTTAGTACACGTTGGCTTCGGACGAAGCGGGTGAAAACCTGTCACCGACAAACTCCCTTGTTTTACTGTAAAACGTGTTAGTGCGTCGAGTGCATTTTCGGGAGTCTGCCACAGTTTCAAAACTCTCCGAAAATTTCCTCAATCTATTCGTGCTGTTTGAAAGTTTTTTATAGTTACAGACTTTTTTCACCGCTTACACACCTCATTACTAAAAAACAGATTGGTAATATGATAATGTGTGCACTTGTCCGTTTTTTTTGTTTTTTTTTCTATGAAGACGATGTGTGTGCTTGTCAAATTTTTGTTTTCTGTTCCCGGTCTCGAGTTTTTCATTATGGAGCTAGTTTACCAGCTCACCTGCATTTTTTTTCAGACTGATAGTTTTGTTGTCGTTTCTTTTTCGTCGGAGGCAATTGTAGAAATAGGAGCTAGCTCAAAAGGGACCATGCGCCTGCATTGTGCTAGTCAACCTTTAAACCCAAGCATGCTACGCAACATGACGCTGGAACGCAGCAACTTCAGAATGCAGCAATCACTACCTCAAAGCGATGTGATATGTGCGAGTGTTCGCTCTCCAGAAAATGAAAGGTGCCGTTTCCGTTTCCCACGCTACGTGGGTGGTGGACTCTCTCAACTTTGTCTCCGATTAACTGAAGGTTCATAAAAGTTGTTGAAAGTGCGTGCTTAGCGTGGCAAAGTGAAAAAAGATGACCGAGATGCCAAAGACCGAGGCTACAGAAAAAAAGGCTGCTACAATTGAAGCCTTCCGTCTATCTTTGCACGTCGAGAGCAAGTTAGAGATTTTCCTCTCCCAGTTCGTTCAGCTCTAAATGTTTGCAGGGTCCTGCGTCACTTCTCTCGAAAATAAATACACATAGTAAAAAGTTAAAACATCTAAGATGACAATCAATTAGTTGGACTGTCCAAATATGTGCCCCAAAAATGACCTAACTTCACACATATTAGTTGGAATTTTTTACGAGAAAAGAAAGCTCTAGATAGTAGATGCTAACACTTAACACAGCATTTCAGTAAGCTCTCAAGCTTACTCTGTTAAAAGCACAACAAAACTCATTTAGTATTATTACACCTGTTATACCAAGTGCAATTGTTACATCAGCAGTTACTAGTTAGGTATGCAGGCGCACTATACTTGGTTACCCTCACACACACTTTTAAACTTTCCCAGACAAGGTGCTCGTCAGGGAGGCCAGCCATTGGTAGAGCAGTTACAAGCTGGCATTAGAGCAGTGGAAGATTTGGGCTTCACCATTACTAACAAATTCATAAAACCAGTTCATAAGCAACAAACAAAGTTCACGGGACAATCCTGGAAAGCACCCTCGTTCGTGTCGTCTTGTGCCGATTCGTAATACTCAAATTGTTTGCCTTTGTTCGTCGAAATATCGCCACTTATAGTTAGTACAACCAAACCTGAATTTTCCACATTTAGAGAATCAAAAATGCTCGCAAAAGATTTCGAGCATGGGAGGACCATGTGCCTCACCATGCCTTGCTATGCTGTAGTCTAACCTCCCAAAAAACGTAAATAGTAAACCTTCCAGTGCATGCAGTAAACTACAATTAGAAGACTTTTGCATAACATTAACACGCCCGTCCACTTTGTCCATTTCTTCCGAAGCAGGCTGTGCAACAAAGCAGCCCATTAAAGTCCAGGAAGGGCCCCCCACCCAAGACAACCATATTCGACAAACTGGTGTTATTGAGCGCAAAAAAACGCTCAACATCACCACCAAAAACTCAGTCGAACAAGGATTCACCCCAAAGACTCGTTGAACGTCCGCAGTATGGCACGAGATTCGAAGGTCTTTCAATCAACAGGTACTAAAAACGGGGCAACATTCAGCATGCCTAAACAACTTACACACTCATGGGCAAGCTTTTTTTTTCCTTCAAGAATGTCACAATTGGTCTCGAAGGGACGGGGCACAAAACAACGCCGTGCTGGTCCGTCCCAAAGCCATTAAAAAAACAATACTGCTTGTGTGAGCACAGTTTATAGACATTAAAAAGATCTAGACAAACACTCAAAAGCTCTGGACCCCATTGACAGAATGGCAGCATCGAGAGGTTAACGCCAGAGCACTCAGCAGACGGCCAATGCTGGGCACCCCGAGGCCTCGCTAAGAAAGATAAAAATGCGAAAACCTACAGGAAATGTCGGGGACTACGACTACATTTACGTGGCATACCGACAAAACCGACCGCCAACGTTCGGTACGGGACGTCACGTGCCTACTGGTAATTTCACACACGGAAAGCGCACTAAGCGGTACATCTTTGAGACTCGTTGACCTACGTCCAAGCAACGAGCTTGCACTACCACGACATGCACTTTGCTTCGTGCGACGCGATACGTTGCGGCCCCAAGGCGTCCCGCGAGCTTAGACGTCGACCACAACCACGTACGTCGCGTCCTTCGCGACGAAGGAGTGCGAGAACCTCTGGACGTTACACTAGATTCGGTCTGCTCGGATGAGGTGAGATTGCGAAGAAAGCTGCCACGTGACTTGTCGGAAGAGCTGCAACGCGAATGCAACCGTATCTGCAGCGATCGCGGGTCGCAGCTCCAGAGGCCTGTTCGCACATAGAGCGCAGCACTAAATGAGCACTTTAAAGACGGCGCTGCCTTTGCGCCATACAGCTACGTCTAGTTAATATGGATCTCATTAATACGGATACCCCGTTACTATATAGACACGATTTTCGGGGACAAAATGTCTAAAAACACACATTTTCGTCTCGTTGTTATAGATGACTCCCGTTATGGACGACTGTTCGGGGAAAAGGGGTGTCCCCATTAACGAGACGCGTCATGTATCGACGTGGTATCGGCACTCCGCCGCACGTGTCCCCGTCTTTTTCCACTCACAAACAGAACGCAGCAATAGCTCGGCGCTGGATTGGTGCCGATCGTAGCACCGACGAAGGGCCGATTTTGTGTTACCTCGGGGCCGAGATGCACGCGGGAACCGGCCTTAAGCCGACCGAGGTAAATGCGGTGTCCCTCCAAATGGCTCAATGTTGCCCGCAGAGCTCGCAAACGACCATCGATTCTCTTTGCCTCCTTGGTTCGATCCCCAGACCGGTGTTCTCATGTCTCCGTAGCACCTTGTTGGCCGGCGACTGAAGTCGGGTGGTCAAGGCAACCTCCGGTGGTTAATCTCAAGGTCGTACGGCCAATGTTGCCAGGCGCCCACAGTCGGCTTGCACGAGTGACCTGTCCCTGGTGGCCGGTCTCAGACGCAGGTGCTGTAAGGCCCGCTGTGGGTGTAGGTGGCACGCTGACCCCTAGGTTCGAGGCTGATGTCCTCGGCAGAAGGCGCCATCTGTAGGCTGACCGAGGGACTGCTGCTGCTCGCGCCGCTGCTCCCCACCGCGTCCGCGTTGCCGCCGCCGCAGCACACCGCCTGCGAGGGGGTGGACGATGGCAGACGAGCCCATGGTACGGGCTTGTGGCACGGATGCCACATCTACCCGAGCCGTTTGAGGCCTGTTCGCAGATATGATGCAGCGTTATCTTGGCGCTACAGACGCGGTGCTGACTTCACACTATACAATAATTCCTCGTGGACTGGAACTCGGCTATCTCGAAATATTGGTGAAGTCGAAAGATTACCCTTGTTGTGGAAAGAACACCCTTGTAGGCACAATGCATTCACTCTTCGCTTACCTCGAACAGATTTCAGGAGGGACCTCAGATATCTAAAAAAAATCTTGTAAACAAAAATTTAAAGAGAGAAGGGCAGGGCACAGCAAACAATGATGGCCCAAACATTGGTTGACAAAGAAACAGCAATCCTAAAACAAACACACACACAAAAAAAACAAAACAGTTCTGCATTATCGCGCATGACAACGCACAAAAAAAAAGGTCAGGTGTTGTGATCGCAGCAAGTGTGGAGCACTGTGGGCCTCAAAGGCATTTGCTGTCTTGCTTTTTTCAACCCCCGCGGCCCGAATCTTGCCTTGGCATTAGGTGAAGCTGTTTCTCACTCCCTCACGTTCAATGTTATTTCTGGTTCTTGGTCTTTATCTTTCTTTTTTTTTTTGCAAATTCTTTCATTCTTTTTTTTTTCTTTCTTTAAATTCTTGCTTTCCAGTTTTGCTGCTTCATTTCACGAGCATCGCTTGTTGATAATTTTGCTGCGGTCGTTTTGTTCTCCCCACAACACCGCGTGCTCATTGGGCAAGTGCAAAGTCAGTTACCACGATTGTTGGAAGGGTTCCACTGACTCGGTCCATGATCGGTGCAATGAAAATTCAGTACCTCGATAGTCTTGAAACTCCGCTTATATCTAAAATTTTTAAATTTTAGTTTTTATAACTTTGAGTTAACGGGGGCTTGCTGTATCAGTGGGCCATGCTGCATATGGCCCTGCCTTTTCCTGTTTAGACACACAATGCAATACTAGCTCGCCACTGGGTCAGCACTGACACTAGGACGCGTCCTGTCAGCGGTGCTCGCACCGCCATCCGCCCGTCCCGTCTGGGCAGAAGCGACGATTCGGTAAAACGTCGGATGAACGTTGCCTGCGGTGAAAAGTGGCTCTTTATTGGTCTTTATGATGAACATATAGCTTGCCTTAGTGTTTGTGCAAAAAGAGTGTCGTTCGAAAACGGTCCCTCCGCATCACCCGCGGGAGCGGTGGCGCTAGGATCACTATCCGCCCGTACCTGCCCGCGTGAGGGCAATGGAGAAGGACCTTTTTCGAATGGCACCCTTCCAGGAGCTCATCAACCGAGAGGTTTAAGAACGTCGACTAGCACCGGTGCAGCACCGACTTCGCACTATTTCAGAGCTGTGCTGAACATGGCAGCCAACCTCTGGGCGCTGGCCACGACGAAAAAATAACAGCTAAAAAAAGGCGGCGCAAGGACAGTTCGGTAAAGCAGCTTGGCCCAGAACCTAAACTCACCCAAAACAGCTGGAAGCTCTCAGATTTGGGGGTGGAGTCAGTGTCAAAATATGAAGCCAAAGAGTCGATTGAGACACCCAACCAAGGCACCAGAAAAAAATAGCTCAGTGGAGAACGCATTGACATGGTATTAAAACGGCGCAAAAAAAGACGGAGGAGCAGTGAAAGGAGATCCCAGACACAGCGCTGCCCTGTGTCTGTGTTCTCCTTTAATTGGTCCTCCGTCTTTTTTTATGCTGTTTTATTACCATTTCAACATGACCAACCAACTAGCCCAACTACACATCATGTTGGAGAACATTATAGCCAGGCTATTGCCAGTCAAGCACCGAGCTATTGCCAATCAAGCACGGCTATCACCAGGCTATGCAGAGCGCAAGGTCGTCTGCTTCTTTCGCAGGGGTTGCACTGACGTCAGAACGCCGAGCTGTGATTGGCTCTGATGGAGGGATAATGAGCAGACCTCAATGCTGGCTGCCTTGAGGTCTATTTATTATCCTTCCGAATGGACAAGCAGACAACCTTGCACTCCACATTGCGGCGCTATCGACGGCGGTCCAAGATAGGTCGACGGGCGACTCGAACACATACCCTAAGAATCTGCTGGCAGGCGTCCGAGTCGAGCGGGATTGGGTCTTCGTTCTCCCTGTTGAAGATGATGAGAGCGATCTTGGCCGGGTGGGGCACGGAGGGCGGCAGGCTGGGGCGCTCTCCGGCGCTGCTTTCCCGCTTCCAGGGCGCCCTGGGGGTGCACCCAACGAAACAATGCTGCAAAGCTGCTCGCTAACGCCACGTCTCCTAGTAACGGCAGTGTGACTCCACGTTCGCCTCTACTGTGCGCCCCATTGTACCCGTTCATTTGTGGTTCTGAGCGTTTGCTTAGAAGAATTTGCTTCCTCTTAAAAAAAACACTAAACCTCAAAAAAAAAAAAAAAAAAAAAAATCTACCTTGTTAGGACAGACACGTCTGGACAAATTGGACAGAAAAAAATTTTCTTTGCCTTATATTTATATTGCAATTTTGAAATTTTCGATTTGCGGGCAAAACCGAAATTGTACCTTGGTGATAGCGTTTGTACCCCACTAGTGTGGCCTCCGAGTTCGCTGGACCTCAGAGCGCAAACTAGTTGCATACGAATACTATCATCATAATTTTACAGGGGTGAAATTTCGGTTTCCCCTTCAAATAAAAATTTATTTATTGTAACATAATTCTTGGGGAAAAAAACATATTTTTTTCATTAAACATTTATTTTGAGACATGCCTGTGCTATCTAAGTAGAAAAAAAAAACATTTATTTTTTTCTTAGGTTTAGTGTTTTTTAAGAGAAAAATGCCTGCACATTTACGTTTTTGCAAATTAGTTATAGCAAATCACAATACTCGGAACATTCGAGAAAACCATCTGCGCTCGATTAAGTGACCATGTCCAGAAAACATTTCTCCGCGATACCGTGATCTCGGTCCCCCTAGCCATACTCCTTCTGCAAGTTGCCAACACTGGTAAAGAGGGTACCCTGCAAAAGTTAAAGGGTATGTGCATATGTTTCTAAGCTAGGCAGTGCTAGCTACCATCCCATACAAAGGGTATAGACAATATCATCCACCCAATCATCCATGCAGGAGGGCCCTTTTTCAGAAACCGCACCGCACGACGCCCTTAGTCGGCGCAAATGTCCTACAAATGCCCACGGGAGGTCGACGACGACTAGAACTTCCGGAGGACATTCGAAGAACCACGTGTGCTTTCGGGAAACTAACCGCTCTCTTCCACTGCGCAACGGACTCCGCCGCAGCTGCAGCTAGGACAACCCACCTCTTGGTCTTCGTCGACGCCATGTTGGCCAGCGAGGACTGCGGGTTGAAGACGGACAAGTCCAGGTACGGCGCGTGAAAGTGCACCTTGCCTGCGGGAAGAAGTGCGGGGGTTCGAAACAAGGCCCCCCCGGATCCACGCGCCACGACGGGAGGACAGTGTCACCAGACCTTTGGGGAAGTGCACCACCCGCGAGACGTCCAGGTCAGCCGACGCGTGCACCTGCGACAGCTCCCTGTACTTCAAGAGGTCCACGTCCACAGCCTGCACGAAAAAAGATGTCAGCCTCCCACCTCGGGGACAGTATGTGCAATGCGTGCCTAGACAAGAGGCTGTTCTAATTTGCTTTGCCAGGTTGAGTACAGATTAAGAGTGATTCGAGACCCTCATATCCTCTAAGGTACGGTGACTATGTCGCCAAAAAAGAAAAAAAACATTTCCGTAGACATGTCTGCAGGTCTCTGAAAAGAACTCGAGAGCCAGGTGCCTCATCGCAGGAGGTTCACGCAACAGAAAACGCTCCTTTCTTTCCCCAGACCCAGTGTGGCCGGTGTCCCGTCATCTCCCGTTCCGTTAGTTCCTCGCACACAAACTTCTCCTTTTACAGTTTTTCAGTTTAAATTTGAAGGGGCAGCTCTTCAGTATAAGGGGTAATAAAGAAAGGTTACAGAAAACTCATGAGACTGATCGATGCATTCGAGGTACCGTCAAAATCAAGGTTGTTTCTGTAGGCTAAGCTTTACTGCAGGGAGCTGGTACTGCAACGGGAAAAAAGATGATTGTGTGGGCCTTGCCTCGAGCCTGAATGCCACGTCCCCTTCCACCAGGGGTACCAGGAACTCTGGGCAGAAGACTTCAGAGTAGAGCTGTGCTGCCAGTCCTGCGCATCCAGACACTTCCTCGTGACTCGAGATCCTTGCTAAACTGCAGGGCTTGGATAGAGAGGACTAAACCTCCTCGTTGTTGCAATACGGTGCTCAACATCGACGGATCTTAAGTTAGTGCCAGTCTAATAAACAACTGTCATGCTCATGATACCTTTGAGGGAACAACTTGGCATCCTAGAATAATACGATAACGAGTAATAACGAGTCAGATATGTAGCTTCCCCTCCCCCCCATGTCAAAACCATTTTTGGCAGCTTTTGTAAGCTGATTCCTACTCCTCTACGGTAAAGGAAAGTGTGCCGAGCCACCTATTGAGACCGCAGACCATAGGGGGCTGCGGGGGGTTGTGATCCCAACCAATTTCCCCAGCGAGGTCTGGGACATACTCTATATTGCAGCTTATAGGTCGGCTCCGAATATTTCTCGACTGTTTTTTTTTAGATTTTTATGTATGAGATACCTAACGTGAGATAACCATTTCTAAAAAGGTTGACTTATACGTGGCAATGTACGGCGAAAAGGATTGCATACAATGCTTTCTCCCTAAACACTCTCCAACACCCAATTTTAAGCCCTTTTAAAGACCGCCGTGAAATCACAAGCTACTACAGCTGGCGCAGCTTGTCAAAGCAAATGCCTCTTCCCGCTTCAGCCTCTAAACTTTTGTATCAATACAAAGTCTGGTGGCAGCCACATGCCTGTCGACCTAGACAGCAAGGCACGAAACTAATCCCGCACGGGAAACGAAGCCTGCTCGTTACGTCGTCGTTGGTCGATCCCCAGCCTGCCCTAAGTGGCAAACGTGATGAAGCTTGACGAGAATATGCCGAAAAAGCGGCGGATGCATCTACCTCGGCTTTGCTGCACGCTGGCATTGTACCCCTCTTGGGACACCTCAAGACGCGCGTGCACAGACGCGAGCTAGGTGGCGCTGCATGGATCCACTAGTGATGATGCTAGATGCTGTCTTCCATGGTGGTAAAAATTGTCTTGCTTCGGTATGTTTATACAGCCTTATTGGTACGCCTCAATGGGTGACGGGTCTCTTAGCTGTAGATGAGAAATTTAGCAAGTGCAGTACAACCACTCACCCGGGGTTTTTAACGTGCATCACGCAGTAGTCATTACACGAACGCGTGCCGGTACGAAACTCATCCAAATCAAAACGGGCGGGGGGTGGGGATCAAACCCAGGAGGTTCTCAGTGTAAACTTTCGCTCCATGCTCCAAGCTGAGACGCGTTAACCCGCTCAGCCACCGATTCCCTTCTAGGCGGTATTGGCTAGAGCCACTAAATAAACCAAACTTCGGAGCAACGACACTTAAGTCGTCCCGGTGTGTTAAGATCGTTGTTGCCAGTAATCCGAAGCTTTACCGCCTGAAATCGCAAAAAATGCTTCTCTGTCCTCGAGGAATTTTAAACAGCGAGCAACGGAGCAAGACGACGTCACCTAAGCCTCCCGACTTCGTATCGAAAGCTGGGAAAAGTCGCAGTTTTAAACCATGACGATTGCCAACTGCGCCATCTCTGAGCTAAGCAACACCTAGAGCCACTAAATGAGCTATGCTCGGAGTAGCGGCACCCTGTACCCCGATAATGCTGGGGGAGCCACCATCTCGGTGCTTCGTGCAGAGCAGCCGCAACTGCCGATCGTCATGATTTAAAAGTGTGACTTCTTCGGCATCGCATTCGATGTTAGGAAGCTCACATAACGTCGCTTCATTCTGTTGCAAACTGTTTAAACATTCGTAGAGGACGAAAAAGCGTTTCCTGCGATTTTCACAAAAAAGGTTCAGATAACTGGCAACCGTGATTTTTATCCCCAATAAGGGTAAGTGCCGTTACTCTGAAGTGTAGCTTATTTAGTGGCACTCGGCGGCACCCACGAGAAAGCCAGGAAATGCGGTGCCGGCACCACGAGCGTGGCTCATTGGCAGGGCCGTACCGAGCCAGTCCTTCTCTTCCAGCCCCCGGTCCTTCCAGTACGATGCAGAAAGGCGGGGCAGGAGCTGCTGCGCCAGGTTTGCCCCCGCCGCCAGCGCCCCCTGCAGGTCGGAGGCCGCCATGCGCGTCCGCTGCCGGCAGCTCACCCCAAGACCCAGCTGGAGCTCGCGCTTGCGCCTGGGATGCAGTGGGACGCACCGGCCTCAGAAATGCATCCGTTGTGGCGGGGGGTGAAGATGAGAGCAGAATGTGGCAAATCGTGAGCGTAGACGTTGCGGGTATTAAGAGGAAGAGTGAGGAAGAGAACAACGAAAGGGCAGAAACGAAAGCAGATTTTACGTCAGGGACGTTCGTCTTGCCGTAACGTGCTGAAGTTGTCAATGGTCAGGAGGGTAAAGCGCCGTTCACACACTTGCAACCGAGTAAGAGCGAGAGAGACAAGACTGGTTTTTAAGCCTCTTGCGACGCCGGAAGACCGGATGCACTGTTCCGGAGCAGGTCCTCCACCGTCGCAAAAGAGACTTAAAAACCGGTCTTGTCTCTCTCGGTCTTACTCGGTTACAAGTGTGTGAACGGCGCTTAAAGGTGGGAGCAGAACGCAGCAAATCTTGGGCGCCAACGTCGGCAGCCCCGAGAGAAAGAGTGAGTAAGAGGGCGATGAAAGAGCTGAGAAAGAAAGCAGACAAAGCGTTAGGCGTGCTCGACTTGCCGAGAAGAGGTGAAGTTGCTCGAGCGCTTGTCGACATTATTTAGTTCCACAGGATGCGTGATTCCGATGTATTAATGAAAAGTAAGCTAGAAAAGAACAAGGTACAGACCTTTCAGGTGATGTTTTGCAGCTTCCCTGTGCATATTAAGGCGTCGCCATCGATAGGGGCTTATCGTGCATGGGACCTTTCCCTCTAGATCATCATATTAACTCCATGTCAATAGCAGTTGGCGACAGGTTTAAGAACACAGTAGACGGTCCACCTCGGGTGCGAGCATACATCCTCTGATAACACACTGTGGGATGTGCAACCAGGCCCGGCAGAAGGCAACCAGCACATGCTACAGGTGGAGCATCCACCGGGCTCTTAACTTGTCACCGATTGCATGTTTGTCAATTAATATTGTAGAAGCGCAAAAGTAAACTCACGGTGAAAATGCACGCACACCAGAAAAACGGTCACTGACTTGTAAGTCAGTGACCGTTGTAAGTCAGCGTGACGGACACGTCGCGCTGACTTACAACTCAAATTGTGTTTTCGTCTTCTTTCTTTTTCTTTTACCCGTATTAAACTTGTCATGTCTGGCTTCGTTCTCTTCTGTACAAACAAATAGCAATGTCTAGCGCACATTACCTTCGAGAGTCAAGATATAACAATTCATTTTCAGTAAGCATTATATGAATACGAATATCCAACTTGCCCAAGCATCCATTCTAAGAAGTTGTCAATTAACTTTAGTTATTCGTTATCGAATGCTCCACACCAGTGTTGCGGAGTTGCCACTCCGGAGTTGGAATGATTCCGGAATCATTCCGCATTTTCGCGACCACGGAATGGAATGGGAATGGAATGGCGGCAACCTTGAGGGAAATGGAATGGGAATGGAATTGGATGCCTTTGACACGGAATGGAATGGGCCCGGTTATTTCTGTATTTTTATTTATTTATTTTTTTTTTAGGGGGGGGGGGGGGGGGGGGGTAAACCAAGCAAGTGAGCGAGTCAGTTGCTCAGAAATAAAATGAGCAGCGGGAAACTGCTAGCCCGTGTGAAGCCCTAACAGACTGTACGCAAAAAAAATGCAATACAAAAAACAAGCGTCAAAGCAAAGAGCACAGGGGGGAGGGGGGGGGGGGGGTATCGGTGGCGCCTTTCGCGGACGCACAGACGACGGGCTTTACTTGTGTTACTCGAGAGCGAAACAAGAAACCAAGCACCAGGCAAAAGAAACGAAGGGAGCGGCCTGAAACCGCCATGCACGGCTCCTCATCCTCCTTTTTGTACTGCTTTTTTTTTTTTTTTTTTTTTTTTGCGACGGCATGGAGAGTGCATGCGCGCGCGCACAGATTCAGATCTGGGAACAGGGCGACTCACAATTCGCAGAGCTCTGATAACTCGTTGACTCGCGCGCCGCTGAAAGATGATCAGTTATTGTTTTCTTATAGACGCTTTACACACGCGCCAAATTGCAGCCGCCAATGCTGACCTTCTCTTGTCTTACAGAGATGCCGAGCAACTGAAACGGTACTTGACGATCCTCTACAAAGGCCGATGCTTTCGAAAAGGACACAGTTGAGTCTAATATGGCAATAACCTGGCCTGCTATGGTAATGATGAAGTGAAATAAACAAAATAAGAGGAAACAAAAACTGAAGGTCAGTTATGGCGGCGTCCATGCACAGCTGCTGCAAAGCGTCTATATAGTTCGACGAGCGTCGTTTAGCAGGCGGCCAACAGTGCTGCCTTCCACGTTCATACGCGCGCACTCCTTTGAAGTGCAAAATGTGGGTTTGCTCAACACCAAGCGAGATTCACTTCTCTCTTCTCCTCTTGCGCTTTGCTTCGACGCTTGTTTTTTTTTTTTTTTATATACTGCATTTTTACGTGTAAGTCCACCTTTTACTTGGTCCTTGTTCTGATGCTTGTTTCTTATGTTAAATGTTTTACATTCAAATTTCAAGTCGGTTAGGGTTACAAGCAAGCTAGATGGTGCCCACTCATTTCCTTTGACTTCAGTTTCTCTATACCTTGTTTCACCTTGCGATGGACTGCTTAGGACGTTACGAGTCACCCCAGGCAATCCAGCACCTTGAGCTTGGTAAAATCAATGCTTTTTTGAGGCATTTAGCATTTTGTTTGCAATTGTCTATGCGTTTGATAATGTCAGCTTTATGCTGCTTATGCCGGCAAACACAATGTAGCTGTCAAGTGCCGATTTTTATGTTTAGGAATTAGAGGAATGGAATGAAGCGACTCAACCATTCCAGGAGTGGGAATGGGCCCAGTGGCCCCATTCCTAGGAGTTGAAAGGAATTGAATTATCGAAAACTAATTCCCCGGAATGGAATTGGAATGTAATGGGGGTGCCCATTCCGCAACACTGCTCCACACTGATGCTTTCTCGCACAGTTCAGCTGGAAAAGGCTAAATGCCGACCTAGCGAGTGATAGTTTACTGCTTCTTTGCACTCATTAAAGCCTCGCCATCAATCTGGGCCCACCGACGGCTGCCGCTTGCTTTACCGTTCCGAGGCAGCCGAAATGGATGGGAAGATGGTGGACCTTTTCTTCTAGATCTAAGATGCAAACTCTATTTTTCGAGGCCCCCTGTTACCACCAAACCCCCGACCCCACGTTTCGGGGGCTAGCACCGTAAATCGTTCGAGCCACGTGAATCTCGCCCCGGTACACCGAGACTCTTCAGAACCCCCTCAGAGATGCCCTTGAATACACGAGGACCCGTTGCATTAGGACCACCCGGCAGCTCGTCCGCTTACTTGTCAACTTCTGCCTTGAGCGCAGACACCATGTTGTTCAGTTCGGCCTCCAAGTCCTTGTAGGGCCCCCTGTCGCGGGCTAGCGTCGCAGCAAACGGGCCGAAGCACTGCTCCACGAACTGACTGCAGAGAGGCATTGAGGCACACTTACCTATAACAAACTAGAAATCTCTAAGCTAGCAACACAAAAAGAAAGAAGGCCATGCTCACAGATGGCGCATCATACACAAGAATCTCCTCCAGAAACAAAAGCACACAGAAAACAGCTCTGTCGACAGCTCCAGTCTACCTGGAGCGCACGTTCGTCTGCTTGTTTAACGGGGGTTGCGGTGACGTCAGAATCCCGAGTTCTGAACGGCTCCGATTGAGGATTGGTGGGTAGACCTCGAGGCAGTTTGCTTTGAGGTCTAACCCCTATCCTTCGATCAAAGCCAATCGGAGCCAGGCGTTCCGACGTCGCCACAACCCCTGCAAAACAAGCGGACCCATCTGCGCTCCGCATAAACCCTACAGTAACCAGCTCAGGTATGTCGGCTATGGCTTACTTGACTTTACGTGCGAACAAAGCCCTAGCTACGAGCATAAGCACATTGTCCTGAGCGGTGCTTGCATTGCAGGAGCACACAAGCTTGGCAGGGACACCAAAATCCCGGAGCTCGTTATTATAGCAAAACTGCTAGTCTCGCACTGAAAGCGATGCCATGGTACTGGAACACGTCCTCGACTGGTGTGTTTAGCGTCCCGTACCGCCCGTGCATCGAGATAATAATAATTGTAATAATATAATAACAATTCTTTATTTGTGCAGTTTCATTTACCCACTCAGCAGCGTGCAAGGCTAAACAGAAAGATAAGGACCCTTACACGCCTGCATCTGCTAGCCTGCTGCTGAGTCAGTGTAGACATATTACATATATAAATACAACTATACGCTCCGTGCGGGACCTATAGGGGGCGCTTTGAAAAACGCGCGCAGCGCCACTAGCAAAGGAGCTGGCGTTCGACAGCGAGGCGCGTTCAGCAGCCTGCGGCGCCTTTTCGCATGCCAAGCTGTGGCGGCAGAAGCGCGCACGGACGAAACTTTTGCTTTTTAAGCCGATACGTTGAGGGTGACGTTGCAAGAGTGCTGGGGCAGAAGGGCATTTAGCTGTTCTCCACTTCTTATATAATGAGTTTGAGTCGTTATTAGGGCTAATTTCTCTAGTTGTGGCCGAAAAAGGAGTTGGAGCAATTTTCCGAAAAGCAAGGCGGCCGCCACCATAATTGCTGAGTGGGAAATTTATTTCGCTCGTCGCTGTAAACGTAGGACTGCTGGAACGATGATATTTGGAGGCGAGTGAGATGCTCACTAAGTTTGTGCACGAAGTGTGCCAAGTTTCATTAAGACAGCAGGAGTGAAAGTTATGTTTCGAACGAATAAAGAAATAAAGCTGTACGGGATATCCAATATCCCTACAGGCAGCCCGAAATTATGTGGAAGCGTTTGAACTCCCTAATGCGGAACCCGAACCAGGCCGGTATTGAAAGCATGACCATTAATAATAGGGAAGTATCCGGTACCGAACTTAGCAATAAATTTAATGACTACTTTGTCAGTGTGGGAAGCAGTACTTATAACAGTACAGCCATAAGTAATTTTACCACCTGCAATGAAACCATTTTTTTAAATCCTACCAATGAAGGCGAAGTTTTCTCCACATTTATGAACATAAAAAATAGCCGTAGTCATGACTGCGAGGATCTCCAAATCGGACCTGTGAAATTTGTCTTGGATTTGATACTTCCGTGCTTAACTCATTTGTATAATCTTATATTATCATCCGGTATCTTCCCGAAGAGGATGCAGATTGCTAAGGTTTCTGTTCTTTATAAAGGTGGGGATAGGAATGATCTGAGTAACTACCGTCCAATTTCCATCCTTCCTATATTCTCAAAGCCCATTGAAAAAATTATGTGCTCTCGACTTTTCAATTTTCTGGGGAAATACTCTTTGTTGTCGGAATCACAATTCGGCTTTAGAAAACATAGGTCCACAGAAACAGCTTTACTAGTACAGAAAGAATTAATATTAGAAAATTTTGAGAATAAACTTTTAACTTTAGGGATATTCATAGACTTTAGCAAAGCGTTCGATCGGATAAACCACCAGACTCTTCTTGACAAGTTAAAATGTTATGGTATACGTGGTATACCTTTATCACTTCTTGCGTCCTACCTAGAATATCGCCACCAATATGTTCAGATTGGAAACTCGTCATCCAACATGCAGCGTATTTCGTCTGGGGTTCCCCAGGGAAGCATATTAGGTCCCCTGTTGTTTATTATTTACGTCAATGATATTACAAAGATAGAATCTTCCGCCAGGCTGATTATGTATGCAGATGACACCAGCATCTTTTTTTCTGACTCAAGAGAAGACCTACTCACTTCCAAAGGAAACTATTTTTTACGCAAGTTAACACACTGGGTCGCCATTAATTCTCTATCAATAAACCCGTCCAAAACAAAAGCAGTCCTTTTTAAATGTCCAGGATCACGGATCACATTGTCCAGAGATTTGTACTTTGGGCCAAATATAGTAGAATGCGTTGACAGCGTGAAGACCCTCGGCGTTGTGTTCTCAGAACACATGTCGTGGAATCCCCATGTATCCTACATACATAAAAAACTTTGTAAAGTAGTAGGGATAATGAACAAATATAGAAATGTATTTCCTGTAACTATAAAAAAATTAGTATATAATTCCCTTTTTCACTCAATTCTTTGTTATTGCCACCTGGTATGGGGGACAACAACAAAAAGTAACTTTGACAGGTTGAGGTTAATGCAAAAAAAAGCAATAAGGATAATTGAAAATGTCCCACGTGACCATAGTTCTCTTCCTTTATTTGCAAAGCATAAAATACTTGACGTATCTAACATGTACTCTAATAGATTAACGGTCACATATCATCGTGCCTTAAGAGAACATATTACAGTAATTTTTGACCTCGCTAAACTTGAAAATAATGTATCATTATATTCCTCACGCCATTGGCGTCCATGGAGAATCCCATCATCTAGAACTAATTTTGGCTTCCAGAGGTTGAGTTACAGATTACCGTCACTGTTGAACACCTTATATTCCCAAGAAGTTGATTCACCTTCATTAAATGCCCATAGAACTGAGGCTTTCTTATATTGAGTGAAAATGTTTGTCATATGTTTGGTATATTTTCTACTTCAGTCTGTTTTTGAAGCGCAACCTATTTCCAATGACACTTATTTTATGCGATATCTTATATAAGTTATCTTTATTGTGTTTTTCTTTCGTGTCTGGAGATGAGTGTTGGTAAACTCTCGTTAAATGTCCATAAAACTTAAACTTGCCGGTAATAAATAGATTCTTTGCCTTATGTTTGTTATATCTATCTATCTCAATGTGTATTGAGACGATGCTTAATATATTGCTAAATATCATGTTACATCAGTTATTTTCACTGTTTTTTTGTGTGTGTTTTTGATGACAGTGCCGCTCTGCCCTGTGTTTTTTGGGGGGCAGGAACCCGTCAAGCTGCAAACTTGCAGCTTTTTTTCCTGGCCCCCCTTGTCACATGTGTGTAAAAGCGCTGTGACAAAAATAAACTGATTCTGATTCTGATTCTGATATTGGACCCAAAATGTTGTGTTATAGCGGGCTGTGCTTGGACTTGACAGTAACATGACACAGCACTTATTATACCAAAAAGAGATGGCACAGGGAAACGAGGTGGAAATTTGGTTTGGGCGGCGTAACTCAATGGGAACCGGTTTTGACTATGAAAGGGCTGTCAAGAGAATACCACCAGTCGTGGGAGGTGGAGACTTTACAGGTATAAAGGGGCTAGTGGACTGTACTTCCAATTGAAACAACTTTACGGAAGGTGGTTCCAAAGCCGAGAAAACGAAGTTGTCGGCCAACACGCAGTTTGGCCGTCAAGGGCTTTTGCGGTCAGCTGTTGTGTAGTAACCTGTTGTGCGAGGTGCTGATTTTCGATGCACAGGTACTCTGACATGACCGTCACTTGACACAACACTTATTATACCAAAAAAAGTTGGCATAGCGAAACCAGGTGGAAATTTAGTTTGGGCGGCGTAACTAAATGGGAACTGGTTTTGACCGTCAAAGGCTGTCAAGATAATACCACTCATCGTGGGAGGTGCACACTTTACAGGTAGGAAGGGACCAGTGGACGGTACTTCCAGTTCGAACCACTTTGCGATAGGTGGCTCTAAAGCCGAGAAGAAAAAAATTGTTGTCTACAGAACTCGGGGTGTCAGCGTTTCCACATCCAAAAGGAGGCTGATCAAGAAAGAAAGCAGACCACATAAACTTCCATACTCAAACGTCGATTCTCCCGTGATTCCGAGTTTCATTGTTGTTTTCTTTAGATTCATATTTGTCACTTTTTTTACCGTTCAAATCTTTCTTCATGAAGTACACATTGTGTGCCATACTTGTCCGGAAATATCATTGACACGTATGATGGGGACGAAACTTCTTTGGAGGGAATTCCTCCAACGAAATTGGCACTGCATACCCGCGAGTGTGAGATGGCATTTCAGTTCGTCCCATCGGCGCTAACACATTTAAGCATTACTCGTACGAAAACAAATGCAGAGTGCAAAGCGGCAGGGTAGAATATGTCAGCCATGCTGACACAGTGGCAGACATGATCGGGAGACCAAATTTCTTGCGTCGTAAGGCACGGGTCCATAGTTGTCGCTGTCCCACAAAACATCGGCGAGGTGAAAAACTGTGAAACTTTGTCCCCACGAGATACGACGCATAACTATTGAACCCAGTGCAACCGCACCGCCCCGACTTCAATGCGTACCAAAGTACGCGGCGTGGTTTCGGTTTTGTTTTCTCCGAGGTTCTCACTGCCTACCTTCGGTACCGGCCGCGCGGCGGCGCGCCAGTCGCGTCGCACGGAGTGTAAAGGAAAAAATGAAGCAGTCCTGGGTTAATCGCAGTACAGTCACGGCGATAGCTGCGACACGTCTCGGTGAAGTCATTGGGCATCAGTGTCGTGTTCACGCAACGTGGGGTGCGTGAACAGAAGCACTCTGAATGAAATAGACGTCTGTTTTGTTGATGCTTTTGTTTCGTTGCATTCTGTTCCCAACGCTTTTGTTTCTTTTTTGTTCCGGAGCACGTGCAAGCGCGTTTCCCGGCACAAGCTCTAGGCATTGACAGTGCTACGATGGCATTTTGTTATCTCCTATTTTTCTTCTTCTAGGGAGCACATGAAGTGGGCATCCGGTACCACAAAAATCCTAAGTATAGAGTGCTTCCATAGTAACGCCTCCACTTTGCATGCAGTGAACCTGGGTTAGATTCCCGGGGCGGCGGGCAATCTTTTCCAAGGATTTGGCAACATTAACGACGGATGCCCTACGTGGCCAACTACAACATGAACAACTACAACAACGGACATAATGTTCAGTAGTGGGAAGAGCCCCTAACAGCCATCACCGTAAAAGCAAACAAACAAACAAAACAGGCTACGAGGCAAGAGAAACAAAGTGTAAGCCCCCCCCCTCTGCTCCAACAGGGACCACACATGGCTGTGATCGCACGGCAGCGGGTACCCTGACTAGAGATCTGCACATCCACCACCGCTGCTCTGAGACACCGCCGGGATCACCGGGCGGAAATCGAGGAACCGTATTTGGGGACGTAGTAAACAAACCATACGGAGGCAAGCGTCAGAGTAGTACAGCTTCTCCGACAAACAGGCCAACAGATCTTTTTACTACGCAAATCCAGGTTTCTCTCGTGGGTGTGTCCGGCGTGGAGAGGAGGAGGTGCAGGGGTGCTCACGTGTACGTGTGCAGGGGCTGGAGGATCTGGAGTTCCGTCTGCTGCACGTAAAGGGACAGCTGCTCGGACTCCAGCTTGGCCAGGAAGGCTGCCAGGGCCTGCTCCGGACTCACCTGCACATGTGCCAGGCATGAGTGCACTGACAAACAGAAGCCTGCATCCAGACACGTGCACGCATGCACACTGCATGCCCACTGCACGCGCCTGCAGAATCCTGCATCCAGAGGTGTATACACAAGCACACGTTGCTTGCACATGTCTGGCAGAAGCAGGCATCCAGGCCGGGGCTTTAGACGATGCCGGGCATTTGCACACGTCGCGTCAAAAATTCCTCGGGCGACAAGCCCCTCAGACTAAAAAAGAAAACACCTAGGAAGACTTTGGAATCGAAGGGCAGCTGACATTCCAAAGGCTCCCTTGGAGGTCCTCTCTTCAAGTTCTTCCCGTCCAGCGCGTGTCGCTCCCGCACTTCGTTTCAAACCCATACTTGGTGCGTAAATTTGTGAGACTTCGGTGCAAGTCTACGCTCCATGTGCAAGTTCACATTCCGATTGGAAATTAAATTTGCGAAACTTTGGAAACCTTAAATGGAGAGTCAATATTGCACTTTTCCAAGACTGAGAATATCGTGTTTAGAATAGGGTTTCCCACATCTTCCAAAAGTGTTCAATTTTATGCGTTGTTGCTTTGGTTTCCTCGGAAACACGCTCGAGGGGAATGGAGAAGAAACCTCAAATTTAAAATTGGCCTTCCTGATGCATTGTCAATGTGAGTGACCGTAAAAAGCCGGCCCGAAGTCGTTGCATTCAGACATCCATTACTTAAAAACACAATGTGCACACATGACGTGCGCTGTGCTCGTCACGTTTTTCTTTTTCGTCCTCATCTGTTTCCTACGATGAATTCCCACCAACTCGCCCAACTATCCATTTTTCTATGATAGCTGGAAAGGTTACCGTCATCTACGAGCGACGGCAGCAACCAGACTGATTGTGTGCTTGCCGCCGTCGCTTATAGATGGCGGTAGCTGTCCAGAGGTTAGTGTAGGTTTGAGTCGACATTTCTTTGGTACCGGACACGATTCTGGGAAACCTAGCCTTTAACAGCTCCGCTGTAAAAAAAAAAAGGTGCAAACCACACCTGATACAGGTGGTCTTGAGACAGCCCCGGCCCCGCCACCCGCATCACCATCCAGCTGTCTCCCAACGGCACCCGTGCACGCCGCTTCACCACCGCGTGGAACAGCACTGCGTCCCAACACTGGACTGCAGCCCAGCGCACCAGAGCCACTGCAAGACAAAGCACTCCCTCTTTTGGTGACAGCCCCGCACTCGGCAAGAGAAACCTGCCCCTTCTTGGCGAGGTGTGAGCCAGTGCTTCGTTGATGCACCCCCGTAGGGTTTGGTCTTTAATGTGTCTCCGAATGTATTCATGTTTATTTATTTATTACACCCCCAGGGTCCAAGCATTACAGAGGAGGTGGGGGTTCGAGATTACAAAGAAACACAATAAACAGTGTTACATCAGCTCAAAACAATAATAATAATTAGATAAAGCAACATTAAACCTATCAAACTTCTGATTGTCGCTATAGAAGGGGGATGGCGGATAATGGAACAAGTATGAAACCGAAAGGCTATGGACAGGGGTTAGCCCTATACTGTCTGCCAGCAACTAAACATATTTTTGTGGAAATATACTAATCACGCAGCTTTCGAACAAACAAAGCTGATTATCTCCGGTTTCGAATAATTGAAACAACCACATTAAAAGCTGCTTTCAATCGGGAGATCATGCTCTGAATTCCTCATCTCTTGACAATGCTAGCCAGTTCCTAAACAATAACATTGAAATTTAAGAGAATAAAACCCCCGAAACAAAGTACCTGCGTCTAAACACAAGAGATAAAGTCGGGAGACGGGTTGGCCAGCAGAAGGATGGAGAAATTCCTCTTCTTGTAATTAATTAATTAACTGTCATAACGTTATCTCAAAGAAGCTACCCCAATAACACACTGTGTTAAAAGAACACCTCATTCTGGCCTTCTCTCGTACATGCATAAACGATCCCCCAAAAAACTGGCTCACACATTCCTCAGTTACACAAAACAGAAATCTCGCAGACGTGCCCCGGCACCCAATCGGTTGTTTTGGGGGTCTGGGCAGACCTTCGAGACCAGAGAGAACTGGTTCCATTCACTACTCATCACGGCGTGAAAAGACACCCCCCCTTGCAAAGCCAATCACTCACCCAGCAGAACCAATCCGGCCGCCAGCGGACACAGCACCAGTGCCACCACTGCGGCGGCCACCGGCTGCAAGAGGCCCTGAAGCAGGCCCTGCCACACCAGGGCCTCACCCAACACGCAGATGCGGTTCCGCTCGGGGCCTGCGGAAAGGGCCGATCGCGATCGGTTCGCGAGTCCCGCCCGTTGCCGATCGGCGGCGCGCACTTACTTGGCGAGTCGAAGTCGTACGCCAACACCATGACCAAGTGAAACAGCAACATCATGCACGGCATCCTGCGTCAACAATTACGCCGGAACGTTTGCTTTTAAGAAAGCGTCGCAGCAATCTGTAAGCTACACAACTTTCCCGACGGGTGTATTATGTGGCATTAATTGTTATACTCCGTCTACCCCTAAGCTGGCAGGCAGGGTGGTGGGAGCTACGCGTGCTTGCTGGACCAACCCACCCCCTCCCTTTCGTCGCCTGATCCCACCCTCTGCTCAGGGGCACTGGCAGGAGCGTGATCTGGTCGTGAAAGACAAAGGTACGACCGGTTTAACGATCACGCAGATCCAACTGCTCTGCCAGCTCGGCAGTGAATGGAATGCGGTGAACCACAATCAACCTAATCGGCTACTCCGATAATTAACGAACAAATCAATTTACTCAAAAATATAAGGTGCGCTTCGTGTAAACACTGCGCACTTAAAGTTGCTTTAGATTTGGCCACAAATTGCTGCCTCTACTAACAGGCGTAACTGTGACATTTCAAATGCAACCTTAAGTTGGCACTTGTTGCAACGAAACTATTTGCGTATAAAACCCTGATAGGGCCATTTTTTTAATATGCATCAATTATATGGGACCCTATCAGACGATACCAGGTTGATAAAATAGAAAAAGTTCAAAGAATGGCAGCGAGGGTCATATTAGCCAAGTACAAGATAACCGACACCGTTAAAAGTATGCTCGATAATCTCTATCTGTCACTCTTCTCTAGCCGGCGGAAAACTGCAAGATAAAGTTTCTTTTTATGCTAAAAAATAATTTGTTTAACATTAATTCTCTTAAGTTCTTATCCCCCTTGCCAATCTAGAACACCCAGGAGAGGCCACACCGCACAACTGGTAGTAGGAAGGGCAAAGAATGACAATATTAAGTACTCTTTCGTCCCCTAGACTGGAACAACTTTCGATACAGCGTAGTTGATTGTGATAGCGATGATGGTTTTATGAATAATTTGCTCAACCTGTCGTGGACCCTTGACATCTTTGTAAGCCGAACTGTTATTTCGACCCTAGCATTGAGTTGGTGCTGATACCTTGTTTAATAAATTATTAGTATTTTATTATGTATGATTTGATGTATTGCTATTCTGGCAACTATAAAAGTTTTTTTTTTCTTTGTAATTAATTTTTATGTTAACATTCTCCTAAGCAGTTAGTATATTGCCGTTTTTGCCTTGTGTTGTTATTGCTGCGCTGTAACTGGTATAGACTTTTGAATCTGATTGAAGAGTGTATATGTTGTGTCTTAGGCAAGCAGGTTCATGACGGCAACGTTATACTTTACTGGAGACTGGCGTTCTACAACAACCATGGCCGGTTGCCGTTGGTGGAAGGCACGGGGCCCGAGTTCAGCTCAGCAACCACACAGTTCACGCAAAGGCACGCACACACACTCGTGATGCCCCATCAGCAAGGCACGCGACAATTAGAGGGAAGTGGCAAAAGTATCACTATATTACTGTATATTTTGTCACATGTTGCTCTTCTGTACGATTTTGTTACTATATCACTCCTGTAACGACCCGATTCTGGGTCAACAATATTCATAAATAAATAAATAAATAAATAAGATCCAAGAAACAATGGGCACACCAAATTTTAAAAAATGTGTAAGAACCTACTTTAAAAAAAAAAGGCATAAAGTGTTGGAAAAAGAAATTTTCTTTTACGAGCAAGACAGGACCGTTTTGCGATATCTAGCGTAATAACAACCGAGCCGCCGTGGCCGATTGGAAGCTTCCGCATAACGAGGCCAATGATCCGGGGAACGCGATCCAAGATGACCGGACCGTTTGAGGACTCACCAGAGGGGTGCCAACAGGGCAGCCACGAGGGAAAGCGTGCAGACGGTCAAGCAGAGGGCCGGGAAGAGGACCACCAGCAGCACGGTGCCGCACAGCCCCTTCACCAGGTAGTTCCACACCCGGTTCAGGTGGCGACTCAGGCCCTTGCCCACAAAGCCTGGGAATGCGGGCCGGCGTTTGGCCAGTGTCAGCCGACAACTCGTCTCCTTGCAGGCGCAGCCACTCACGATTTGTTGGGTTGTCCTCTCGGGGAAAGGTAGGGAGCACTCATGCCCCTTCACCCTGCCCATCCCTCCACAAAATTACGACCCTCAACGAGCCCTTAAAGCAACCACTTTGGCATTATGTCGGCACCACAGCGGCATTAAGTCGGCACTATGTCAACAACCTTTCGTGGATGGTTTTTATAGCAGTGTTTGTGCAGCTTAGAGCGGACCGCAGAAGCCAGACTTGCAAGACAGGATGCTGAGGCAGGCAAGGGGTGCTGCTCAATGACAGATTTTTGTAATTAAAATAAATCAAAATGAACTCGCCCATATTACGAATGAACATTTTGTTTTCTCTAAAAAAGTTTCAAAATTGAGAAAGTTGTGGAAAGGGGCGACATTTGGCCAAACGAAGACGAATTCCTAAATTGTTTTTCTCTCTTTTGTTGAGTTATATATGCTACAATGCCTGCAGAACTGTTTTTTGATTCTCACAAATAGGCAGAGTCGTTATAGAAAAAAATACCATTCGTGTCTTGTCATTCTTGCTTGAGGTGATTAAACCTTCAACAACTCCTCCCTCTCTAGTAAATGACTTTGCAGAACCAATTTCCCTCATGCATTTAAAGTGGCTCCAATCCATTTGTGCCACTGCACACACTGGTAAATGAATGTCACTGAGCAGTACTGGTGATGCATACAGGCAAGAGTTGACGAATGCTGCCGTATTTATTCAAATATAAGTCAACCTTTTTTTTTTCTGGAAATGTTGTCAAAAATTAAGGTTAAACCTACAAATGTGACTAGAGAATTTGGACCAACATTCGTGAATACATTTAGCAACCCTACCAGGTGCATGGAGCTAACGAGTCACCGAACAGGGGTCGCCGTAGCGCCGTGCCGTTTCTTGTTTCGGAAAGCTTTCGGTGGACGAAAACAACCGAAACAACAGCAGCCGGCGGGCCACCGCTGACGCGCCATGGACCTTGCCCCCTTCCCTCCCCTCTAGCCCTCTCACCCTCGCAGGTGCGCAGAAAAAGAAAATACGGAGGTTTCGCTTCTTGTTGCTCACGGCGGCTCGCGGCGTTGCCGTCGCTCGTGGCGGCTAATGGTGGCTCGCAGCGGTGGACGCTTCATTATATTTGGTCGTTCGTCACTTCGTCCGACTTCACCTTCTTTCGTTTCTTGTTGTCCCCATTTTGCAACGGTGTCAGTGAGGTATTGCTACAAATTGGTGAGGATGTCAACGAAGATGACGAAGCTTCCGACGACAATGACATGTCCGGAAGTTCTGACGATGATTAAGTTTTTGGCATCAGGCTGTGGTTTAGGTGAGAGCGCTGTAAATAAAGATTTGTTTGGCTCTTTTGCCCAAACTTTTCTCTGTCGTTTAAAAAATAAAAGAAAAAAGAGGTTAACCTATTTTCGAATTTATTTATTTTTATTCTCGGCGAGTTTAATATAATAAAGGCACCGACCTATATTCGTGGTGGACTTTATATTCGAGTAAATATGGTACGAACGTGTTCTCAAGACACCCACCTGAGTCCGGCTGAGATTCAAAGTCTGTCCTGGACTTGGAGATGTGCCTCCAGAGCCAGTGAAGCCTCGAACACAGGGTCTGGGTGGACGAGGACTTGCGAGGCTGCAGCCTCCCCTGGAAGCGTTTCGGGCGTCTTTTACGACACGGCCTCTCCCAAAGACTTCTTAAAACCCACAAATTGTTCTTATCTTTTGCAGTCTAGGTTCCTTAAGCTTACGACAAACTTTATGCTTCAGTCGATCATTTCAACGATGCAAATTAACTCAGGACTGGGGCGTGCCGGAGGAAGAGGAGCAGACAACCTCTCAAAAGACACTGTCTGTCCTCATGTTTTTCTGTCTCTTCCACTTTGTCAATATTTTTATTTTCACATCTAGTCCCGGACTAATTTACGGATTTCACCTTATGACATACCGCAACGGATGCTACGAGCCATGTAAGCTAGTTCAGTGCTCCATGCGTGACACGCGACTTCACACTCCGCGCGTCGTTCCAACAGACCTTGAGCTCACGTGACACCATCTGAGCTTTGGATTGGCTGCGGTGGTTCGTGGAGTCTGTTGTGGTCTATCGTATAATGAAACGAAGTTACAACTGTTTTTCCATAATTCCGGAGAGTTGAACGATCTATACTCTAATCTAGGCCATTAACTCGTTACAATTTATTTCGATTCATCTAATTCACCAGTTCCTTGTTTTGCTTCCTTGTTTTGCTTCCTTGTTTGCACCAATAATGTCTCGAAGTAGCGGATCACTTTTTAAAAATTACTAGCAATACAAAGTTATTGTGGGTTTTGTTGTCTTAGGATAGACCTCGGATAGACCCTTTTCGAAATTCAGTCTGGCGTCTTCAACCACCATCATCATTTCAGTGCATGGCACCTGTGCCAAACTGATGGCACAGGTGCCATCAGTTTGGCTTGAGGCTGATGAAGGAAGAAGTTGAAGACGCTACCAAGCGAAGGATATACAAGACCTGTGCGTTCGAGACATCGGTACAACACGATTTCGGAGTGTAGTGTAATCTCTTGGCACAAGTTTGGCTAAGCCCTTTGATGACAGAAATTTAAGGAAGGGGCTTATGAGTCACCACTTTGTACTGGTCAGTTCTTACGTTCTCACCATCGAAACTCAAACAAATCAAAAACAGAATTACGAGGTGATTGAAGAACCGATTCTCATCTGCCATCGATGTGTGAAAGTGACGGTGTCTGGTGATATAGTTTCATGGCCGCCATTAGTTTGTCGGAAGTGAGACTGCTTTTCGAGCCAACAGATGGCACTGAATTCTGAAAAAAGTCTATTCTCCAGACCCCGTTTCATGGGCCCTCGTAGACTCCTCCACCACTCACGCTTTCTTGGTTGACCTCAAAGTCGGGCATGAAGGGTCGAGGAAGAAAAAGGCTCCTTAAACTCAATGGGCTGCACCACGGGATGAGCACCTGCAGGCAATGAGCAACCCAGATATTAGCGTCACTTTCCGTGACTCACTGACAGTATCCACCGAGTTAAATGACCGTCGCACGCAACTTCGCTCCACGTCCGACTCTACTGACGTGCACCTCTACCCAGATTTTTCTTTCATTGTTGCCAGTTTTGTTGAGCACGTAATGGTGGCAGTCGACTCTCATTAATTCAAACTCTAGGAAGCAACAGACCTTAGCTTAAAATATCAAAAGTTTGAATTATCAGAAATTCATCTATATATAGTGTGAGGCAAAGTAGCTATTTGCTATTGGAATGGCTACACATACCAAGGAGATTTTTTACACTTTCCTTTACACAAGCAAGACAATCGGCTTGTGAAAGCGTGTGAAACCTTTCTGCTGGAGCGCACCCCGCCTATATTTGCTTACGACCGAGTTCTTGCAATCTCTTATAACGAGAGATGACGATGGCACGCTGGCACCATCTATGAGGTGACCTTGGAAGTGTGTTTCACTAAAGTCAAGCTTTGCGGCCTTTGCGAGATCAAATGTACAAACTACTTACCAAAAATAGTTGTTTATAACATTGGCAAAAAAAAAAAAAGAAAAGATGATGCACAATAAAAGAAAACAGAAAATATACAAAATGCTAAGTGTTTCATGGCTACTCAATAGATGGCACCAGTGTCGATAGAGATTTTAAGAGGTTTTAAGGCACACGGTCGTAAGCAGTACCAAAACATGATAAAAAACAGAACTCAAAGGGACACGAGAAAAGAAAGGAACGCAGGAGAAACATGCACCGTTTGTCCTGTCTTCCTCTAATTTGTCTCGTGCCTTTGAGCACCGTTTTACAACAGTAGCTGTTATGGGCTCTTTTAACCCACTAGAAATGATGTCCGTGGTTGATGTTGTAGTTGACGTTGTAGTAGTCACTGATGATGTTCTAGTTGATGTTGTTGTAGTCAATGACATTAGCTGGTGTAGTAGGGTGTGGGGTGTGCATCGTCTTAGCACTGTCAGTGCCAACAGCTCCCGCTGGGAGACGCGCTTTCATGCACTTCATACCAAAAAAGATACAAAAGCGTTCAGTACGATATGGTCAGATGTCCGTTTTGTTCCGAATGCTTTTGTTTACGCACCACACGGCGCATGATTGCGACGCAGATGCCAGACAACTTTGCCGTGACGTGTCGCAGCTATTGCTGCGACTTCACTGCGGCTTAACGCGGGACTGCTCGTTTTTTTCGTCGTGTTCGAAGATCACCAACTAGCCCAGCTTACCACCTCGCAGCAGTTGCGAGCTTGTGAACTAGCTGGAATGGCACATTGTTACGCCCCCGCTCTGACACCGATTGGCTCGCCGGGGTTGTAGCCTTCACCAATTGCCAAGTTACGATGAAACAAAGCATAGCCGGAAGCAGAGGTCCCCCCCCCCCCCTTCTGCACTCACCCCAAGCAGGAACATGGCGTTGCAGGTGTGTGCCCAGGTGCGGTGGCAGAAGTTTCCCCAGCGCCAGAGTGCCCAGCGGGTGGAGGTCAGCCGGCTGCTCTGCTTCTCCACCACGTAAGTGGGACGCTCGGATGCCGGTCCCAGCAGGAGGGTCTCCCCTCCTCCGGTCGCCCGAGGGGGGCACTCCGCCGGCGGCACCCCCACGCGACGCACCTGCACGCCGTATTACGAGCGTTTGGGGAGAACACTTAGGAGTAATTGAGGCCGGTTATAATGAAGTGGATGGGGGAATCGGAAATCAATTCGGTATATCCACTTCTTCGTTATATCTGACACCATAAAAGTAACCTGCAAAAAAAAAAAACTAACACTGGTTGTCGCGCCTCGGCTCGCCAATAGCGAGAAGAAGCTCCGATTGAGGGGAGATCTTGCGAGCTAAGTATGGACCGTATCGACAGCCGCAACGGCTGCCGCGGATTACGCTGGAGGTTGACAACATTCTTTATGTTTATGCGTGCTTTGTTGAGGACTGCACACTTTTGTTTTGAGGAGCCTGCCTTTCTCTTCCCCGTCAAGGTGCAGGCGGTGCCGGGACTCGCCATCGTTGAGTGACGATGACACGCCGAATCAGTGCTTGAGCGGAGGACTTTTGTTCGGAGAGCGACCATGCCGACCAGCCATGTCGACACGGAACACGAAGCAAATAATGAAGCGCGCACAACAACAAGTTCGCGCTGAAGTTTGTATTTCGTAGGTATAGAAAGCCTAGATTTGAGAGAGAGGACAACTGATCGATCGGAGTCCCATGGTTTGCAGGCCGCGTTTGCGAAATGAGCCGCAGCCTGCACAAAGTAAAAAGCGTTCCCTGTCTGCAAACGTCCCCGCCTCTCTGCCCCGTTTCCTCACCATGCTGGCCACGTGACAACATAACGCGGATGCACTCGAACCAATCTGCCCAAGACGCTTCCGCCATTAAATTGCAAATGCTCGCCACGGTTGGAGCTCCCCCTCTCTTAAATCTAGGCTCTCTCCGACGATACGTTGTTGCTAGCGCTCCGAACGACCCTATCGGCATGCCACGACGGCTTCTCCCTGTGCGATGCGAAAAGCCGCTTCCCAGACAAGAAGCGGAGAGAAGACAATGAGACAGAGCCGTCTGCCACCCGTTCTGGGTGGATGCTCGGCCGCGGCGGTCTGCCACTTGGTAAACTTTCCGAATTTGATATGTCTTTAACCTATCCCAAACTTTTTCTTCGCCATATCTGCAAAAGAAGCTAGATTTCCTTCGCAAGAAACACAAGTAGTACACTGAAAAAGTGCGAACAAGAATGGAAAACTGTGATCGCTTCGCTATAGCCGTTATTTCGTTACAACCGACTTTGTTATGAGCGGGCACGACGGTACACGCGGTTAGAAAGGTGCCGACTGTTGGGCTAGTTGGTGCTGAATTCGAAAATAGGTGGTATGTGCTCGAATGGGACGGACATCTTTCTGTTCATCGTCGTGACTTTGACTGTGTTCCCTCGTTCACCACAATTAATGTTCTATAGTCACTGAGAAAGTGAAGACGGCAGGGGGTGCCTTTCAAATGCCCAGCCCCCAGCACACGCTCCACGCCTCCCGCCATTCTTTGGTTGCGCGCGCGCTTGATGTGCATGAGACGCCTAAGTGTTGTCGAAGGGAAGGAGCTCATGCTGGAGGCAGGACCACTGAAATTCACCCCTGCCGTTCTCACCTCACCAGTGACTAAGTAACGCGCTTTCCCGCCTCGTTTAAGTAATATTATTCTTTACGAAAATCAGTCGGCATGTCTTAAACGAAGGTGCGACTTATATGCATTTTTTTTCTTCAAGTGTGGTAACTGTGCAGAGGTGCCGCCGGGGATATACGAAAGCAGTAACTGCCCCATGGAGCGGACCTACGTCATCAGCTTTGAAGCCACACCAGACGGCTCCCTCCCCTGTCTCAATGTCGTCTGTGACCGAAATCTGAGGCGTAAGCTCCCATTGGCTGGCGTGCATCATCAAGGAATGAAGCTCCATTGACTCTCGTGGGGCGGTGTGGCGGTGCAGGCTGGGGCGAGGCGTGTAGTGCGTCGGACACCTGCCAGGCGGCTATGACTGCCTGAGAGGCTCTCCCCTCCTCCTGCTGGGTGCGCCCGCTCCGCCCGCCGATTATGGGGTCTCAGAGCATCTGGGCATACCCCCCCCCCTCCTCACCCCACAACGAAAAGGAAAGCGACGGTGCAAAAACAACATTTATGCTTTCGCGTTCACAACTCAGGTGTCCTTGGACTTTTTTTTCAATTGATTCGTTGAAAAGAGTGTTGACACTGGCTCCCACTTGGGCACGTATCGGGATCACAATGCACGACGCAGGCTCATCAATGCAGTTTTGCGATGCCGACCGTACGAATATGTAAGCGTGATCTACATACCAACCATTTTGTGAAAACACCCATTTTTAGGAGGTGTAATCAATACAAAGGTACGACTTATACACCAAATTTTTGGTGAAAGCACCCATTTGTATACTCTGTTTCATGATTACTTGGCGAACTGTAGCGACTGCGTCCCCCGCAAACCAATAAGAGTGTCGGAGCAAGTCACATGATAACACACCATGGTCAAAGGCACGGAGACCTTGTTACCGCCACAATAACAGCGCCGCCCAAACCATAAAGTAGTTCTAGGTTTCTTTTTCTTTTAACAGTTATTGAACTCGCACAATTCCGTCTCTATCAAGGATACCGTATTTACTCGCAGAATGAACACACTTTTTTTCCGAAAAATCAATGCAAAGTTAAGGGGGGCGTTCATTACGCGAAGGGGGGCGTTCATTACGCGAAGTAAAATTTTTTGCCTCCGTATTTACTCCCATAATGAACCCATAATGGACGACCTTTTATCCTGAAAAATCGAAGTAACTTCTTATCTCATTGCGCGCTGCGCCGCTGCGCCCGACCCTGTAACCAAACTAAGCTGTGCAAAACAAAAAAAAAAAGGTTTTTTTCTTAGTTCCTTGGGGGTTTTCTTTTCCTTGGTTTTTTTTTTTTCTTTTGGCCCCTTTAGCAAGTTGTTTTGTTTGCTTAGGCGAAGGCCCTCCGCTTATCTTTCTTATCTCCTTGCGCGCGGAGCGCGCGCGACGCACGACCCCCCAAAACCAAACTGCGCTATGCAAAAAAAAAAAAAAAAAAAAAGGCTCCTCTTTTTTTTTTTTTTTTTTTCAATTCCGTGTTGTTGTTTTTTTTTGTTGTTTTTTCTTTTTGCCGCTTTTCGCAAGCTGTTTCGTTTGCTTGGAGGGCTTCTCCGCTCCTCTTTCTTACCTCCTTGCGCGCGGCGCGCGACTCCCAGTAACCAAACTGCGCTGTGCAAAAAAAAAAAAGAAGAAAAAAAAAGCTCCTCTTTGTTTTTGTTTTCTCTTAGTTCTGTGTTTTCTTTTTTTTTCTTTCTGCCGCCTTTCGCAAACTGTTTCGTTCGCTTAGAGCGCTTCTCTTTCTTACCTCCCTGCGCGCGGCGGCGCGCGAACCTAAAATCCAGACTGCGCTGTGCAAAAAAGAAGAAAAAAGAGCTCCTCTCCATGTTCTTTTTTCTTGCTTCCATTGGATCTTTGCAAATTTTTTTAACGCCTTTTGCAAGGCGTTTTGTTCGCCCATGCTGCCCATGCTTTCGCAACCTCGCTGCAAGAATAGAAAAGTGGGTTCATTTCGCGCGCGTGGGGGGAGGGGGTAAAAATTTTGACATCCGAGTTGGGGGTGCGTTCATTACGCGAGTGAAAAAAAAGTCCAAATTTTGAGAGCCGACTTGGGGGGTGCGTTCATTACGCGAGTGCGTTCATTGTGCGAGTAAATACGGTATATAAAAAATAACTAATAGATATTGACGAATTTATTAGTTTCAAAGCAACGCCACATTCATGTCCGCTACCAATTTTTTTTTCCTTTTTGACGCCATGGCCATTGGCAATCGACCGCTTCTGCTCAAAACATCACCGTGGCATTAGCACCCGCCACAGATTGGCAGGTAAATTGAGCGTATCGTTGCCTCATGAACTGTTCCCAAAGAACTCACTACACTAACGGACGGCAATTTAGCGGTGGTGGGTGGTCATGAGAAGTTGGTTAGTTTCACAGCAGACGACTCTTGACCAGCTGACGACACGTGACATCCCGTGACGTGGTGTTAAGTGCCTCGCACCGACGAACCGTCGGTGCGATTTGGTTGGGGGGACTGTAGCTTCCACAGTTTGCCAAGTTACTGCGAAATGGAGTATAAAAGGTGTGATTCACACAACGGTGCGACTTATAGACTGGAAAACACAATATACCCGATATACCGGGTTAGCGTTTTACCGGCTCTGCAGTGCAGCGGCAGTAACTTTAGGGGGCGCTTTAATCTTGTAAAATAATAAGAAGCCTGCCCTGCACACACCTGCCAGTGGGAGGGCCTCCAGACATGGGTGCGCCACGCAAAGGAGCGGGTGGGCACCCTGAGGCGTGCCAGCTCCGCCTCCAGGGCGGGGGCCTGCTCCCGCAGGAAGGACAGGTCCCGGGCCAGGAAGTAGGCCGCCTGCCACAGGCCCCGCTCCCGGCACAGGGCCAGGGCCGTCTCGTGGGCCTCCAGGCCGTGCTCCCGCTCCAGCTGCGCCTGGGGGCACCCGTCGCCAAAGGTTCGAATTGCGGGTTTTTACGTGCCGACTCAGGCGTAACTTGGCACGAGCCTGGCAGTCCTGGGGGCCTTCCATCTTCTCCAAGGAGTTGGTTAAGGCCAGAATACTCTTGTTGCGCGTTTCTACGGTTTTTCTTAGACTCATCCCAGATCGGTCAAGGTTCAAGACTCAAAGCAAAAGACACCACGTGCGAATCAAAAGAACCGGCATTGAAGCCTAAACCTGGCACTTGTTTGGCAATTTAGGCCCAAGGTCGCCACATGAAAACCGAACAACCAGAAATGAAGCCCAACCCTGGCACTTGTTTGGCAATGTAGGCCCAAAGGTGCCAGATGACAATCAAGCTATCAGCAACGAAGCCCAACTTTGGCACTTATTTGACAAATTAGGGCCAAGATAACCCAGACCGTGGCCAAAGAGAGTCAAGTTCTGCGCTACGTGTAAAACCAACAAAATCTGGCATGCCCCAGCAGCAAACTAAGAACAGATAGACCCTTTTCAAAACTCCACCAACCAACGTGGGCGGTCTACATTTCTTGGCCACGAAGCGCACAATCGGATCCGAGTCCTCGCCAAATGCCGACGCGTCACTCGTTCCTGGCGTGAGCCGAGCCGAGCTGGCACCGAGCGCCCTCTTTGGCGGCCCTCGTGCCAAGAAAATGTGGCCGGTTGAAAGACGTATCAGCCTTTGCAACGAACACTCTTCTGCGACTACGTAACCGAAGTGAGCCCAGTTACACCGGGAGTGACTCACTTGCACTTTCGAGAGGTGACTGCGCAGCCACGGACCAATCAGCGACAGCACAGGGAAGTCTTCCTCCAATCGTGCTTTTTCCTGCAAAAGTTCGACGTGGTCACTTTTCACAGTACACATCACCGTCACTCACAATTCTCGTGTGGAATCAATCGGAAAAAGATTGTCTAAAAAAAAAAATGAAAGATGTTCACAAATCTCTGTAATGAGACATTAAAGCGAGCTCTTGTGGAGGGGAGGATATGCCCTCCTCCTCCTCCTCCTCCTCCAATTCAGCTTCCCCGCTAAATTTGGTGGGGAAAATGACATCACATGGACTTGGTGTCATGTTACCCATCAACAAATTCAGTTTCTCTGCTAGGTTTAGCGGAAAAATTGATATCATGTGACCTCAACAACAATTTATTTTCCCGCTAAATTTAGCCGGGAATGGAAATGGAACCCGAAAACAGGTGCCTAAGAGCTGCGTTTTCAAATGAAAGACTTTCACAAATCTTCGTAATGCGAAATTAGAGCACAGCTCTTGAAAGGGAGGGAAGGGAATGCCCCTCTCCTTTTCCTCCTCTGTACCCTCCCTCCTCCTTCTGCACACCCTCCCATCCTCCTCCTCCATACTCTCCCCTGCCCCCAGTTTCCCTGCTCAATTTAGCTGAAAAATCGACACCACGTGACCTCAACACCAATCCAGTTTCCCCACTATATTTGGCAGAGAAAATGACGTCACATGACTTGGTGTCATGTCCTCCATAAACAAATTCAGTTTCTCTGCTAGATTTAGCAGGAAAATTTACATCACAAGATCTCAACACCAATTAAATTCCCCGCTAAATATAACGAAAAATCGAATTGGTGTTGAGGCGACGTGACGTCAATTTTCTCGCTAATTTCTCCGGGGCTTTCAGTAAATATGGCAATCAAGTCCGCCAAAACAAGCCCCTCTGCGCTTGAAAATGTGAGAGGGAGTGATTGTGTATTCAAGGAAGCTCTAGCCCTGTCGGCACTATTCTCTCCAACGAGTTGCCAACATTTCACCAGCGATTTCCGTTTACCTTGAAGCACATCTAGTTGTTGTCTGTCAACAAAAAACAACATACACTTCAAAGTATTTCTTCTCCCCTTCCCCGAAGACCGAGTCCTTGTTTATAAAGAACTGGAAAATTTCTGAGAGCCATAGGAAAAGCAAGCCAACCATTGCTACGACAAGCAGACGACGTCGCATTGGGGTACCCTCTACGTCCTCCAATCAGAGCTCAGTGCCATGTCACTACCATACCCTCTGCTCAAGGAGCAGACATACTTGCTTGCTGTCAACTAAAACAGGAAAACCTAAAACACGGATTTCATCAGCCAGTTTTGTTAATGCATAGAGGGAACTTCAGTCTTTCTGCAGGTGCGACAACCCCGCTGCGAGTCTGTGCAAGCCAAGCACGAGACGGCATGATGAACTATTGCCTGCTTCCCATGGACTCAAGTTATGGTGGCAACACGCGTGTGTCTAACACTCGGCGAGATCGCGGTCTATCATTACAAGAGAGTAACAAACAAGAAGCGGATGATTTGAGCAGACGCCTTTACCTGAGCGAGGTAGTGGTTGGTGCGGTCCCTGACGACGTCCAGCGCCCTCTGTGTGAGCATGGCGGCGTGGGCCTGGTCGGCCAGCAGGCGCCCCAGGCCCTGGGAGAGGCTCTCCAGCCCCGCGTCGTGGCAGACGGCCTCCGAGACCCGGCGGAGGTACTCGTCCTCCGCGGCCACCTTGGCCTGCTGCAAGGGTTGCCGGCCACATGCCAGTCAACGCCGCATGGCAAAGGGTATGCCTGCCTTCGCTCGCAGAGGATCGAGGTAAGGCTTAACTGAAAAACCAACGTAAAACTGAGCTTTGGGCTTTCCAATTCAATTTCGTTTTCTTATGCTGGGTCGGCTTGATCCGAAGAAACCAAGCATGTCTCAGCCAAAATGGTGCAAAAAAAAGTATTACCGAGGCAAGAACACGAAAGTAAGGACCGCACTCTGCACATGCTATTCTGCTTGTGCGTGTGCATGAATGAAAGCTTTGACAGAACTTTTGCACGAAAGCCTTGTCCCCATCGTTCTAGCTGACCATTTACTTTTGCCTAGACAATGCTTTCTTTCATACTTACAACCAGTGAGTGTATTGCTTTCTTCGCTTAGAACAAGCCGATCCTACCGTAATATTTCGAGATATGCCCCACCCTCGAGAGATAGCCCACTCCTAGTGTAGTGCTTAGATCAATGATGACTTCGGCATAAATGCGTCTAGTTAGCTATGGCGGGATACAGGTGAACATTGCTGACTGGGAAGTACAGTCATCTTTGCTTCATCGCCCCTTGCCTTAGAAGTTTGGCAGGGACACATAATCTACAAATAGCATTTTTTCAACTTTTCTTGATTGCACACCGAAAGTTAGCCCCATCTTTATTTTCATCCAATTTGCTCTCGATTTTAGGTGGGTTATCTCTCGGGATGTTACGGTAATCTTTTTAACTAGCCCAAATTCAATATGAAAGGAGTGTGACGACGTTTCTAGTCCACGCACATTCCTCCAAACAACCCACGAGTTGGGTAGCTCTTCTGCTTCGTAAGTCCGCAGGTCTGCACAAAGGCCACTTCAGCGAAACCCACCTGTAGCGCTCTCCAAAACTTCCCGAGAATCATAGAGCTCCTCAGGAAGCAAAAACGTTTGTGTAAACCAACTGGGACTGTCTTCAATACCTCAGCACCCAATACCCAACACGGGGACAACTCCCCAACACGGGGTGAATTCCCCAACACGGGGAAAACTCACCTTTTCCATGTCAGCATCCGACAGCTTCTTGGCTGTAAAAAAAAAAATCTGGGAATGAGACGGACGAAAGGGCCAGGCCCGGACGAGTCGACCCACCTCTGAGCTTGGCTAGCAGGGTCTCGCGGAAGGAAGGAAACCAGCCACGTAGCTCCTTCTCCAGGGTGTGGACCAGGAAGGGCATGGCTCCACGAAGCAGCTCTGCCAACATGCGTCACACTCTGTACACAGGGGACTTGCACACCACTTAAACCCCTCACCACAACATTGCGTGACGGTGGTGTTTCCACGTGACACTTAGACATTTCTCATTGACCCTTTGACAGTCGTCGGCGTACATGTACGGTGGCGATTACACATTTGAAAGTGCCCGCATAAATGCGAAACCGTGTGTACCACAGGAGTTGGTGCTACTCGTTATGTTACTGGCACACTATAAACGTTATATTCGCACGGTGTTTGGCTTTTCCAAAGATATTTATAGTTTCAAAACTAGATGCTCCGCGCACGTGATACGTGCGGGATGGTCACTTCACGTGTCGGTTGTTCTGGAAGAAGAGGCAATCAGAATATCGGCCCTTCTGATAAAGACTTTTAATACTTCTCAGAATTGAATTCAGGAGATAAGGGCTTACCATCCGATGGAAAAGCCCTGTCAAGTACCTCCGGTTAAAAGTCTCAAACCGCCGGAACGTTGCGGAAGCGGTCGTGCCAAAATGAAACCGAATGGAAGACAGGTGACAACTTTTCTCCATCAATACTTCCATCTGATGCTTCTAAACCTGAACAACTTGCAAGCACTGTATGTGCTCCCGCTAGGTAATAAAGAAAAAAGCTTGCGCATTGGCCCTTTCTTTATACTATTCCTTTGGAAACAAAACATGATATAGGCGAAAGATCTTTTGGGAAAAAAACCCAGACCTTCAGAGGGTTAAAATAGAAAGCCAAATACTGTATATCACAGCACTATCTCCTAGAAGTAAGGGCTCTTCTAGAAGAGGAGTATAAGATGCGAAAGTTTCCGCATGGAACAATATCTCAATCACGAGCTAGAGGAAAGTTTCCTAAATTTTTTTTAAACACTGCAGTCGTCTTGCGTTAGTTTGACGTCGGTTACATCGACTTATCATTTAATTCGACCCTATTCAAAGGCCCTGGCAAAAGCCCATACATTTCTATTCAAAAAAAAAAAAACTCGCTATTTCTATCTCGAAATATAAAATATTGGTTCATTCGACATAGAGGGAACCGGCTGTAAGCAAATTACAAGCACGATTGGCCGTGCGTAACACACAAAGACAGGCCTCTCTTTTTCCGAGTTACGCAGTGGGCAAATTACAAGCGCTATCAGCCACGCCCGTCGGCGAAAAAAACCCGTTTTCGAATTTTGAAGTGTACGCTGCATTGCGAAGAGAGAGAAAAAGAGAGCAAATACTGAGACACGGGACACGGCTGGGTCTCAACACAATACAACCATTGCAACACTATTGCGGAGCAGCAAGCGCTGCTCCACGGCAGTGTTGCAATGACATCGGTCATTGTTGCCGCTGCCGCACTGAAAGCGCAAAGGTTGCTGCCACCGTTGTGCGGTGCGGCACATTGTAAAAATGTTAGCCCACCTGATCTAAAGTGCTGGATATTCAGAATTTTGCACGCATTTTTTAATTCGACCTAATTTCACATGTCCCATCAAGGTCGAATTAATGGAAGTCGACTTAACTGCACACGTAGAGATGAGTAACATCTATTCTGCCTTGGAAACATTTAGATCAGGGGTCTCCAAAACCTCGCACCCTGGGTCAGATCCAACCTACAGAGGCACTCCATCCGAACCACGGCCCACTGCTACAAACGCAAAAATATAAGTGCATAAAAAAAAAGTGGCGCCGCAACATGCTTCAAAAGCGCAAGCGAAGATGTCAGAAAGAATGAGATAAAATCTGCATCAAAACACGGGTTCTCTCTCCATATTTGTTGTACATTGTCATCACCAGCATTACTATTCATAGTTCCCTGTTTTATGTTTGTGTAACTAGTATGATCTGTGTAAAGGCCCATACGCACATACGCGTTTGAACGCATCTGAGTGCGTTGCGGAGTCCTTGCGCCCAGGAGCAGTCGCTCGCTGTACGATGCACACCGTCTCGCGACGCTCGGTAGCACGACGCAAGCGAGCAGAGACCCGCTCAACTTTCCGAAGCGATGCGGTGTGTTCGACTAATCAGATGCCGAGAAAAAAGAGGATGGGTCACGTGTTTGCTGGCGCCATTCGGTAAAGCTTATTCGGTTCTCCACTTGCAGAACTTGCTTTTTCGTTTTGGGGAGCGGTGGGGACTGCTTTTTCCGAGGCTGCGATGGTACAAGCTTGACAGAATGTCGGGGAAGCCAGTGGGACTGTCTCAAGATCGAATACTTCTACGCTGTCGCCGTGCGCCGCCATGTTGCCGTGCATTTCGCTTACTATTGGTGAGCTGCTAGCGACGATAGCGCGTTACTGGCGCTTGAATGCTTTCAAATGCGTGTCAGCGCAGCTCTGTGTACAAGCTTGGAGCAAGTGCTCTTCTCAACGCAACGTGTCCGCTTGACACTACGAAACAAACTGCGGTCAAACGCAAGTGTGCGTAAGGGCCTTCAGAACCTTTGCATATTGTCATCGCCAGGTCTATCATTCTCAATAGTCTTCTTTAGTCCTATGTTAATACGCCAAAGTTTATATGCGCTTTGATCGATGCCTGGCGACTTCTCTGCATCACAAGTATTTTGTAATGCCATAATTAGCAACATACTGCATTTAAAAACAAAGTATACATATCTGTTCACCCACCTTACATTTCTTTAAATTTTTGCTTTAGTTTAAAATTTTGTATTTATATGCTTATTCCGGCATATTTATTTATTAAATTTCATTTATTTTGTCTTGTCTATTTTCCAGCCCTTGAGACCGCGACAGGTCCCCAATCCAGCCTCTTAGCCAACACGTTTGGAGAGCCCAGGTTTAGATGATGTGCCGTTGTTAGCTACACTTTTTTAATGTTATCACATTTACCAGCAGAACATTTGGGAGGGGGTCGATTTTTTCACTAAATAATGTTTATTTATAGGACGGGAAAAATCTTATCAGCACTTCTCAAAAACACCTTGGACCCATGCCAAGGTTTACTACAGTGCTGGTAGAACCACACTGCATCGATGCAATGCAGGGAATCGAAAGTCAAGCAAGCAAGCAAATGCACACAAGTGTCTCGGAAAAAGCGCACCGGAAACACCTGCAGTCGCCTCTGTGGAATCCCCGTTTCTTAGTCAAACCTGTGGTGAAGTGCCCCAGTGCGTGTAACCGGCAAGCCAGAAATTATTGTCGGGCGAGGCTAGGCCAGTAACTGAAGAGCCCACCTGTGTTGTAGAGTCGGAGGTCGATGACCTGCCCCTTGGGAGTCTTGTACACGTAGGGCACAGCAGGAAGCCTCTCTTCTCCCTAGAAACCCAGGCTCAATGCAGTTACGGACAAAAAATACAGGAATACATAAATGTGTGCGCCCTGCACGATGTCGCCCCCTTATTGCAGCAAAGAAAATCTGTGCGTTTGAAACGTGTGCTGGATGCATCCTATACGCCACAACCCAGTTTGCACTTAATTAACCAATGAAGCACATTCGCACATACGAGCATACTTTTTGGCGACTCCTAAAACGTCGAAGACGATTGATCCTGCACTTTTTGACAATTTTTGCGTCTGTAGCGAGCATTTTCAAGCAATCACTACTGTCTTCACCGTAAGATGAGTTCTCATTGCACGAAACGCTCGTCGTCTTCTCCACTCCTGCAATGACCTTCTGTAAGGTCATATTTTTTAAATAAAAAAAAAAATAAATAGAAGGGCTGGCACTCCCTCACCATATGGCACTTCTCAAAGGTCTGCCTCTTGATCTGGTAGCGCACAAACAGGCACAACTGCTCCAGCTGGCTCTCCGTGTCCGCCTGCAACAACGCAAAGCAGGAGCGACGCCAGCGATCGCCATACTTTAGGGCTCCAATGAAACCAAGGCTCTCGATTTTCGATTCTCACACATTGCACAACTGAGGAGCCGAGAACTACAGCCTTTTACGGAACAATGCTTTAGTGCTGAAACGGTTGTGAAAGAAATCAGCAACAGTCTCGCTATACTTAGCATAGAGTCAAGAGGTTTGACTAAATGTTAATGTCAGCGGAAGAAGGTCGTTGGGCTCTCTACACTTCAAGCAGACGAGGCTTATGTGCATTCCTAGTGCCGGATGTTCTGCTGGAAGCCGACAAGGGGTGCAGGTTGAGCGCGAGTTCAGCGTCAGCATTCAGCTGGGACTGATTCAGCCCGAATGCCAGCTGAATATTGATGCCCCGCTTGTGACCGGTCCATGCCCCGCCTTGGCCTCCGGCAGGTGGTGCAGAAAGTCCATCACTGCCTTCTTGTCAGCTAGGGGGTGTTGACTGTACGCAAGGCAGGAGGGGAGAGAAGACCTGCCTCGATGGTGAGCTCGGCCACCAGGTGCTTGACCCTCTCCTCCTGGAGCCGAGAGGCCAGCAGGCTCGCCGAGACGGAGGGCATGCCCACCAGGGCGTCTGCGACGAGGGAAAAGAATGGATTCTGACGGTAACAGCGATGTGGTTGGTCCAAATATTTTGGAGCAGAAAAAACAACCTTCGAAGCGTGAGCGCAGACTTTGTTTTCATTTGTACCGCTGCAAATATCATGTTAAAGTTAATGTGTGGGCCTGCCCAGCTAAAGGGCAATGCATACTGCCTTCTCGCTCGCGTGCTACCCTTTGTTAGCGTCGATTGCGCAGCAGGGGCGGATTCCCTCAAATACAGAACTAGCATTTCATTGAGTGGAGGAGCAACAGACAAATTTACGAGAAGAGGTCTGGTGAAAGATGGCATGAACTGCTGTGAATTGTTATTTTAGGCACCGAATCCCACTGAAATAATGTTAAAATATACAATCATTTTCAGCACCTAGATTAATGTCTCTTTCATTCAGAGGTTGTAATAAAGCTGCAATTTATAATTCAGAAACGAAACAAAGCAATAGTCATTTGAATATGAACATCAATTACATTTTACAGCGGAGCTGTTAAGGGCTAGGTTCCCCAGGATTGTGTCCGGTACCAAACAAATGTCGACACAAAACTCTGGACAGCTACCGCCATCTATGAGCGACGGCGGCAACCAGACAACCGGTTTGCCGGCCTCGCTCATAAATGGCGGCAACCTTTCCAGCCTTGCATTTTGGTTTTCACCAGAGTGGAAAGGCTGAATTTCTCTAGACGTCGTCCTAGATATCGTCCTCAAGGTCGTCCTAGAAGTCGTCCTTGAAATCATCTTAGACGTCGTCCTTGAGGTTGTTCAAGAGGTTGTCCTCGAGGTCGTCCTAGAAGTCGTCCCTGAGGTCACCAAGACGTTCTCCTCGAGGCTGTTCTAGAAGCCGTCCTAAACGTCATCCTTGAGGTTGTTCTAGACGTCGTCCCTGAGGTTGTCCTTAAGGTCATCCTAGACGTTGTCCCTATGGTTGTCCCTATGGTTGTCCTTGAGGTCGTCCTAGAAGTCGTCCTAGAAGTCGTCCTAGACGTCGTCCTCTAGGCGTCGTCCTTGAGGTCGCCAAAGAAGTCGTCCTTGAGGTCTTCCCACCATAGTACAGCTTTGCTGGTCTTCCTTCTTCACCAGAGTGGAAAGGCTGAAAGTTCTTTTTATGTAGAACTTCATAACAAAAGTTGACAGGTGAACGATTAATATGCCTTCTTAAAGATACTACTGCCAAACTCGTTAAGGTTCTTCCCAAGCTTCCATCCACAGCTCCTGCCAATTTAGTTCTAATTTACCCCCCTATATAAACGTGATAACTAAACGAAAGAGTTAGCATAAAAAAGAACCTACAGAAGAATGCATATAAATTTTCTTGCAGTACCGAAGTCTCCTTGCTAAATCTCGAATTGGAAAAGTACTGCCAGGGTATCGCAGTCTATTGTATATACGAGCCGAAGTTGCATTCAGAAATTATGTCGCATCTCACTCTGGACGAGTTTTAGTTTTACCCTTTAGCACGCAGGTGAGGTGCGGTGAAGCAAGACATGCAAAATCACAATGCCTACTCTGCAATTGTCACTTCTCTGCAGTGCACCAGTGCGTGGTGAAAGGCACACTAAATAAAACAAACCTGCCAGAACAGACCACGAACATGAGAATTATTGCAAAACTTCCGAGTGCTGTCAATTTCTGATACAAAATGCAGTCAAATGCCTAGTATGCAGTGGCGTACCAACTTGTTTTTGAGTGAGGGGGGGAAAACCAGACCCTCCTCTCCTCTCCTCCCCTCCCCCTTCCCCCTCTGAGCCGGAGGGCTGCGCCCTTGGTATCCCCTGGGCGCCGCCAGCCAGTGTTTGCCCTGCCCTGTGGCGGCTGTTTTAGGGGGGGGGGCAAAACACATGCCTTGCCCCCCCACTCTGAGAACTGGTGGGGCGAGCGCCCCTTGCCCCCCGGTTGGTACGCCCATGCTAGTATGTTATTCGATACAATAATCAAAAGTTCTGAAAACTCGCATAAGCCTATCGTAACATCCGGTCGTGTAGCAATGCCCAAGCTATTATATTTCCAGTATTATTATACTGAAATGCAATGTTGGCACAAATTCCTCACATTTTGCTAAAATGCAGCAGAGTAAGCAATTCGGCACAAATGGCACAGCAATCACATTACTGCAGTAACCACGTCGTACAGGCTAAAAAGGGCAGCGGGGCGTGGCAAATCGAAAAAGCTGACATCAATGGTTCCAAAGGTACAAATGAAAAAGAGAGAGGCATCGTCAGACCAATAAAAGAAAGCAGACAAAAGGTTAACCGTATTCGTTTTGACACGACGCATTAAAGTTGTTTACTTACGTGTCGACTTCAGACTTGATGGCACACAGTATGCGGGGGATTTTCTCGGGAACCAAAGCTACAAAAAGCTAAGCACCCACACTAGAAGCGATACTTCGGTGCTTCTTCGCGTTTATCAAAGGCTCGCTGACAATCCGAACAGCCAGGACCGCCGACGCCTGCTTCTATGCCCTGCCGTCTGCAGACGGCCAGGACGCGTAAGAAAAATGGCGAACCTTTCCCTCTAGATTCGTTATACAACTTCTATGCCCAAGGCTCACCCGGAGGGAAGTGTATACCGTGGTACCTAGAACACGTCCTGGACCGGCGCGTCCAGCGGCCTATACCGCCCAATCACCGAGAGCAATCTGTCTCGAAGCAGCAACGAACGATGTCGTAGACGTCGGCGTGTCACGTTGTCAGAAGTCGCAATCCCGGCGGTCAGTGCTAAAAGTTTTGACGAAAAGCACAAGCGAGTGCAAGTGTTGCCGTTGCTCCCGCGCGCCAACCCCTGGCCACCGAAGCTTCCGTGGCCCGCCGGACTGTGGAGCGACCTGCAGCAGAACAGGCGTCTGCCGTACTACCCCCGTCGCCACGCCGCCGCCGGGATCACTACCGGCAACAGCACGACACTTCCGTGATGTTGTCGGGTGGAAATCGAGGCACCTTTTTCTTTAGGACGCGGCAAACGTACCGGTCGGAGATGTGTTCTTGGTACCGCGGCGCAAAACGTCCACGACGTGGCGGACGTCGTACGAGAGGTGCGAGACTGCTCACCCATGAGGAGCAGGAGCGCCCGGGTGAGGGCAACCCAGGACGCCCGAAGGCTGAGGAAGTGCGAGTCCAGCCGGTTCCGGGCGGTCACCACGAGCAGGCGGAGCGCGAGCGCCACGTCGTGCAGCCAGTGGCGCCGGGCGCACTGGCGGCCGCTCTGCACCAGGCGGCTGAGGCGCCAGCGGTACTGGCGGCCGGGGAATGCACGGCTGGCAACCTCAAACTCCCTGGGGGGTCAAGGTCAAGATGATTGGATCAAGGTCAAGATGATTGGGTCAAGGTCAAGATGATTGAGTCCACCTGACAGGTGAGAACCACTGCATTATTGAGAGACGGGATTTGTTGCCTATGCAAGTATTATCGTTCTACTTGTATTAAATATCGATAGGCTGTATTGTTTACAATAAATATGTATGCCAGTGCCCCTGTCGAGCGACTGGTTTTGCCTATTGCAGCAAAAATGTTGCCAAGGTTTCCTCCCTTCCAGCGTTCCCAAAACTTCGGTCCAGAATTATGTTGTGTCTCTGGAATCAATGAGTCCGTTTGCTTCGACCAGAAAAGTATGAACTCTAGTTCTGCCCCGAGTTTAGAGAAGTGCAGGAGTCGTGCAGCGGCGGCGCAGAACCAGTGTGGCCATTGTGTTAGGACTGGCACTGTGATCGGCTTCCGAAACAGAAGCACAGGATGTCGTCTGCATCTGTTGGCTCTTGTTTCTCCACGCCATGTGGTATGCTACATTTGTTTCTTTGCAATATGAGGATATTATTCGTGTTTCATCAGTTTTAAAGTATGGAAACAAAATCTTTTCAATAAAAGTTTCTTTATTTGAGTGCGCTAAAACCATTTTCAGCATGAAATGCATTCCTATCTGCATTTCTAACGATTACAGTCCACCTTTTATTGTCTCCATAAGCGTACATGTCCTTCGACTGCATACGCCACGATAGAATTTACATTTATTTGGCAAAAGTAGATTCATTTCACGTTTCTTGAGTTTTGCATTTTGACAATAAGTTAACGGCATCAGGATGATTTCGCGTCTGGAGTTACAGGCGGCAGTGAACGGTAGCGAACACTTCGTCGAAGATGAAGGCCTGACGAGAGCGTCGCCTTGGCCAAAACAGTGATCGACCGTCGCTTTGAAATAAAAGCTGAAGCCTTCATTCTGACTCTCGGGAAAGATCCACGTGGAACTACCGAGCCAATGCCAATTCTCTGCGTTTTTACCAGGCCCGTTAGTGGGCAGCCAGACACCAGCAGAGAAAGCATGCAGTAATCTGCTCGGCTAGAAGGGCATGCAAGCGCCGTACGAAATTGCAGACCTCCACAACACATCGGAGTCGTCGTTCTGCATCCAAGAGCTGCTGACGGCGAGGCTATCACGAGTGCAATACTTTTCCTGTGTCTTTTAAGGATATCAACGTGGTGAATACTGTAGAGGACGCTAGTGTAGCGACAGAACAACTATGAATCGTGGCGCCACCTTCGGGTTTTGGAATGGTGTATTTAAACAATGTGCGGAATAAACCAGGGGCTTTTTTCTCAACCGATTTACGTGGCTGGCGGTCCACTCACTCTCGGCCGCCCCGGCCGCTCGCGCCTGATCCTTGCGCGCTCGAGCCTTCTTCATGGTGTCAGAAGTGCCAAGATGCCCGACACCCAGGAAACTTCCGCTGTCTCGCCGCTCCTGCCGTCAGCTGCTGCCTTCTCGCTACGGGCCCCGCCGCCGTTCACGTTCGACGAAGCCAGCCTGTGGCCTGCCTGGCTCCAGCAATTTGAAGATTACTCCTTCGCATCGGGCCTGTCCGTCGCTTCGGAGGAAACCAAAGTGCGCACCCTCCTATACTGCATGGGTCCCCAAGCTCGCGTGGTCCTTTCGTCCATCATGCCGGACGACGAGGCCTACCGCTCCTACGCCGACGTCGCAGCCAAGCTCACGGGCTACTTCGTGCACCCCGTCAACGAGGTGTATGCGTCAAGTCGCTTCCACAAGCGCACGCAGTTGGCGGGCGAGACCGTCGACGCGTTCTTCACGGCGTTGCGTAGCCTCGTCAAAAAGTGCAACTACCCGGCACCGGAGGTGGAAGACCGCATCGTACGAGACCGGTTCGTCGTCGGGCTGCACGACTCGCGTCTGTCCGACCAACTTTGCCGGAACCCGAAATTGACGCTCCAAGAAGCGCTCCTGCTGGCTCGACAACATGAGGACGCTGAAAACGAGAAGAAACGTCAAGCAACGACTTCGCAGCCGAGTCCCCTCAACATTGACGCTGCGTCGCGAAAGTCAACCAAGATGGCGCCTGCCTCCAAAGTTCGAGAACCTTCTCGAAGCCGGGACCAGGGCCGGGACAGCTACCCTCGTGGGTCGAAAACGTCGTGCGACTACTGTGGCAACGCACCGCATTCACGTTCTGAGTGTCCAGCCAGGAGGGCTACATGCAACCACTGCCGAAAAAAGGGACATTTCGCAGCAGTTTGCCGCTCCAGAACGAAGCGCCTCAGCCTTATCCAGCTGCACTCCGTTGAGTCGTCGCAAGCGTCCGGCCGGTACGTCGTTGTACGCGTCAACGGCCTCCCCCTACAGTTCAAGGTGGATTCCGGCGCGGACGTTTCTGTTGTCCCCCGCTCTTTTCCGGGATGTCCTGCCTCGTTGGACCAACCCACGGGCGAGCAACTCGTCGGTCCGGGACGCTGCCGTCTCAATCTTCTCGGTACGTTCCCGGCTACCCTGGCATGGCGAGGTCGGACAGTGCACCAGAAGCTGTACGTTGTCGGCGGCGTAGACACTCCTCTGCTAGGCTACGCTGCAATCGTCGCTCTAGGGGTCGTCAATTTTGTCGATTCAATAACCGACGCCGACCTGCCGAAGACGACACCGTCGCCGCCCGCCCCGTCGTCGCCTGCCCCGACGCCGCTTGCAGCTGCGGCTCCGCTCTTCACGGGACTGGGTACAATGCCTGATGTGTACCATATTCGCATCAAGCCCGGAGCTGTGCCCTTCTCGCTAAGCGTACCCAGAAGGATCCCCATTCCTCTCCGCGGGGTGGTGAAAGATGAACTCGACAGAATGGAGAGAGAAGGCGTCATCCGACGTGTTGAGACGCCTACGGCGTGGTGCGCCGGACTTGTTGTGGTACCCAAGGCTGCTGGTGGCTATCGCCTCTGCGTTGACCTGACCAGGGTGTAAGATAGACAGGTGGGGAAACGGCCCATAGAAACCTACCGCAGCGCCGTGACCCGATTGTGTACTCGTCTGCTTGCGGGTGGCTTGCGGGTACCCCCGATTTACGACAGATGGCGCTGCGGCGAGAAGAAAAAAATTGGAATCGAATTTGCATGGCACTTTATGGGAGAGTGCGCAAAATAAACTGAGAGCACGAAAGTCCTCCATTGAAAATCCACGAGAAACCTTCTCCGTCAGTTTAGCCGGTCGCCAGCGTTCGCCCACTCGGAGTGAAAGTTCGCGGTACTCCACATAGATGGCGCCACAAAAAGAGAGAAAACCGAGGGGGACACAATTCGGTCGCTCATTTGGCTCTCGTTTCACCACCTGTCTATCTTACACCCTGGACCTGACCAAGCTTAATCAGGTCGTTCTACGGGAGAGACACCTGATGCCGACCATCGACCAGGTCCTGGGACTACTGGGAAACGCTGTCGTTTTCTCGAAACTCGATGCGTCGTCAGGGTTTCATCAAGTTCGTCTCTCCGAAAGCAGCCAGGAATACACAACATTCATCACGCCCTTTGGGCGTTACTGCTACAGGCGCCTTCCCTTCGGCATCACCTCGGCCCCAGAGGTGTTCCAACGCCAGATGTCGCGCATTCTCGAGGGTCTCGACGGGTGCGTCAACATGGTGGATGATATCCTCGTTTTCGGCAGGGACAGACCGGAGCATGATGCTAGACTCGACGCCGTCCTCAAGAGACTCCAGCAGTCTGGCGTCACCTTTAACGCCTCCAAGTGTCAGTTTGGTGTGTCGTCCGTCAAGTTCCTGGGGGTGATCGTCAGTGCCAAAGGCATCGCACCTGACCCAGACAAGGTTTCCGCCATCACGAATATGCGACCTCCGACGGATGTACATGGGGTGCGACGCCTCCTGGGCCTTCTGAACCACGTTGGACGATTCTTGCCGAATGTGTCGGCCACGACTGCTCCGATCAGACTCCTCCTCAACAAGGATACAGTATGGACCTGGGGATCAGCCCAAGCTTCCGCCTTCGAGTCGCTGAAGAAGATGGTGGCCTCCAGCTCTTGCGTCGCCCGCTACAACCCCGAGTACCCCACGACTGTATCTGCTGATGCCAGCTCGTACGGCCTGGGCGCCGTACTCCTACAGGAGCAACCGTCAGGGGAACGCCGAGCGGTTGCGTTTGCATCGCGTGCCTTGACAGCCGCTGAAGAACGGTACAGTCAGATAGAAAAAGAAGCGCTCGGAGTCTCGTGGGCAGTGCAGCGCTTTGAAGAGTTTTTGCGTGGCCTCAGCTTCACTGTGGAGACTGATCACCAGCCACTCGTCAGGTTGTTAGGCACTGCCGACCTCGACCTTATGCCTCCCCGCATCCAGCGTTTCCGCATCAGACTTCTGCGGTACCAGTTTTCAGTACGGTACGTTCCGGGGAAGTACCTGGCCACTGCTGACACGCTGTCACGGGATCCCGAAGGCCCCTCTCTAGCTGCCTCTTCCACCGACAGTGTCGAGCTCTTTGTGTCGCAAGTCGTGACAGCCCTTCCTTCGACTCTGGCGGTGCGCCTCGACGACTTCAGAAGGCATCAAGCGTCAGATGCCGAGTGCTCCGCGCTGAGGGTCTACTGCACTAGAGGTTGGCCAAGACGAGATAGACTCCCCTTGAATATGACCCGTTACTGGGACCACCGGGGCGACTTCTCCATTTGCGAAGACCTGCTGCTCATGGGTGGACGGCTCGTCGTGCCTTCGCTGCTGCGCAAGGACATTGTGGGCCTGCTCCACGACGGACACCAAGGTGTGAACCGGTGTCTGGCCCTGGCCAAAGACTCCGTGTGGTGGCCGGACCTCAAGAACCAGGTCAAGACTGCCGTTGAGAACTGTACTGCGTGTGCAAGCACCCGAGTTCAGCGTTGCGAACCCATGCTTGCCACGGAAACCCCTTCAGTGCCATGGGAGCGGGTTGCTGCTGACTTGTTCTACTTAGATGGCCAGGACTTCCTTCTCGTTGTGGACTACCGTTCGAGGTACCCCGAGGTCATTACGCTGCGGTCGACGTCTGCGGATGCAGTCATCTGTGCCATCAAGAGCATTTTCGCGCGGCACGGCATTCCACAGACCTTCTTCAGTGACAACGGGCCGCAGTTTGCCTGCAAAGCGTTCCAGGACTTCGCGAAATCCTACGGATTCACACACCTCACGAGTAGTCCTCGCTACCCTCAATCGAATGGTGAGGCTGAGAGGATGGTCCGCACAATCAAAGAACTGTTCCGGAAAGCGGAGGACCTCTTTCTGGCACTGCTAGCCTACCGGAACACTCCCGGTGTGTCGGGATACAGCCCTGCCCAGCTCCTGATGGGACGTTCTCTACGAACACGCCTACCCGTCACCGCCGCAAGCCTGGTTCCGGATTGGCCTCAAGTCAAGGACTTTAACGAGCGCGACGCTGCCCAGCGTCGTAGACAGCAGAAAGACTTCAATTCTCGCCACTGTACGCGGGATCTTCGCCCTCTCCAAGACGGGGAGGAAGTGTGGGTACAAGACGCCCAGTCCACGGCAACGGTTCTGAGTCCTGCTCAGAGGCCACGGTCGTATGTCGTCCAGACGCCCAGCGGTGTTCTCGTGCGAAACCGCAGACACCTCGTTCCCTGCAGCAGTCCTCCATCTTCTGCAACTCCTCAAACAACTGACGAATCGGCAGCTCTGCAGCAGGCTTCAGAGGACAGCGACAGCGGCGGAGCACCTCTTGCATCTCTGCGAGCACCTCCAGCTTCTCCAGGGACTTCACGACCGCGCTACTCCCGTTATGGACGGCGTGTGATTACCCCTAAAAGACTGAACTTGTAGGGCATGTTCTTTTTGTTCTGCTGCGCATAGGGCAGGACTAGACTGAGCATATTTTCGTTGCTCTTGTGTATTTAGGCATTGCTTCTCTTTACGGACTGGGGTGCGTAAAGTCTGCCAAAGGTTTCATCGTAAGGCTTTCCTTTAAGCTTCTAAGTTTCGTAAGCATAGGGCTCCCGAAGGGGGGATGTAGAGGACGCTAGTGTAGCGACAGAACAACTATGAATCGTGGCGCCACCTTCGGGTTTTGGAATGGTGTATTTAAACAATGTGCGGAATAAACCAGGGGCTTTTTTCTCAACCGATTTACGTGGCTGGCGGGTCCACTCACTCTCGGCCGCCCCGGCCGCTCGCGCCTGATCCTTGCGCGCTCGAGCCTTCTTCAAATACCACGTAGCATTGGAAAGGAGAATGTATGTGAGGCAATCTGCCAACACTCACCACAAGAAGCGTAACCTGCACGACCAGGTGTGCAAGACGTTTTCAAAATGTACTATCGAAGCCAATTCCCACCCTCCGTTAGGATCTCGCTTCCATGTCCACCATGGGTACATTAGTTTGAGAGTAAATGTTACCTCCGTCTCGGTGTTACTGTTAAACATTGCAGACATTTGAGCCATAGAGTTAGTGTAATGTATGCTAGAGGTTCAACTGACGCCAGCGTCTATGTGACTGCCGGGATGGAGATGAAGCAGACAGCAACCAGCCTACTTTTGGGGTGCTCCTGTGCATTCCTACGGGAAAACGCGCGTGCAGTTTCTCTCTTCGCCAGAAAATAACATGGATCGTTCCTGTTATTTTCATTTTAGAAGTGTAGTTGCTTTAGTCACAGCATTTTTCTTCATCAGTGAACAATGTTAAACTTTGCTATATTTCACGCCCAAACATTCGTTCCACAGAAGGTGCGTAAACAAGAGCGACGAATCAAAGCAAGATAACAATCGAAAGGTACGTAAAGCAAGTTCAAGGCTCACCAGCATTCCAATGACGCTTACATATTGCTAATATGCCACTCCTGCCACATATATCAAAACAATGTCGTCGTGCATCTTTACGAGCGATTAAAAACATACAAAACTTAAAGAATAAAGTATGTGGGCTATGAAAATCATCTCTGTTTGTTATTTCCTAAGCTGGGCGGCTTTTATCGAGCACCTGTTTTCTGGCTTTTCTTTATTTTCGAAGATTTCTAGCATGCAGGTGATGTTTTGAATGTAGAAGAAGCATCTTCGCACATTTGCATGAGCAGAGATAATAAAGCGATACTTATTTATTGCAAATAGAGCGACGCGATTGGTCCGAGTCATTTTGAAGCACCTTTTGGAGCAGCAAAAAAAATGTTTGTAGCATGAGTGCACATTAATTTTTATTCATACCAATGCAAACATCATGTTAAGATTAAGGCCCGTTCACACTCTTGCGACCTCTTAAACCTGGGTTCCTTAGAACTTCTTAAACCAGAAAACCCACTGGCGCCATCTATTGGAAAGCAGTGTAAACTCGGCGGTCCGGCATATTTTTTTTTTATTTCTCAAACATTATCCTTTCTTTCTTGGCTCGAAAAACTTTTGACAATGTTATAAACGAGCCTTTCTATGGGTATTACGCACATTTGACCTCGAAAATCCCGCAAAACCTTCGCTCTTGTGAAATGCAGTTCCAGAGTCACCGCATAGATGGCGCCACAATGTCACTTGTGTTCCCTCATTCTAGAAACATTTAAGAAGTTGTAAGAGATCTCGTCTCTCTCAGTCGTACTCGGTCGCAAGAGTGTGAACGGGCCTTTACTGTGTCGACCTGTCCAACTACAAGGCAATGTCTACATTGCCTTCTCACTTATGTGCAACTCTTTGTTAGCATCAATTGCTGTGTTTGTGTGCAGAAGCACCAGACAGGGTGACAAGAAGGTGAGTGATGAAGGACAGCAGCATGAACTGCTGTGAAAGGTTTTTTCAGGTACTGACTTTCACTGGAAAAGTACAATAATATTGAGCACATAAATGTATGTTTCCTTCAAGTTCTAGAGGTTGTAATAAAACAGCAATTTATAATTCAGATAAAAAACAAAGCACTGGTCATTTTATTATGAACGTTGCTTACATTTTATGTGTAGAACTTCGTAACAAAAATGGCGTGTGAATGAAACTTAAAAACAATCTTGTCCAACTCAATTAGGTTCTTCCCAGCTTCCATCCTCTGCTCCTGACAATTTGGTTCTAACTTACTCATACCTATATAAAAGGGATAACTAAATGAAAGAGTTGGCATAAAAAATAAACCTGGAGAAGATTTCATATAAATCTTCTTGCAATACCGAAGTATCCTTGCCAAATCTCGAACTGGAAAAGATACCGCATGGATTTCGCAGTCTATCATATATACAAGCCAAAGTTGGTATTCTGGAATTGTGACGCGTCTCGCTCTGGAGGGGTGCTTCCCCCTTAGCTCGGAGGTGCGCTGCGGCGAAGCGAAACACGCAAAATTGCGATGCTTACTTTGCGGTTTTCGCTTCTCTGCAGTACAACCAGTGCACGGTGAGAAGCGCACTAAATGAGAGAAACTAACCCCCCAGCAGAACAGATGACAAACATGACAACTATTGTGAAACTCCCGAGTACTGTCAGTTTTTCATAAGAAATGCGATCAAATAGTTTGTTATTTGATGCAACAATTGAAAGTTCTGAAGACTCGCTTAAGCGTATCGTAACGATCTGGCCTAGTAGCTAGGCCTGAACTATTATATTTTCAGTATTATTGAAGTGAAATTAAATTTATGGGCAATGTTAGAGCAAATTCCTCACATTTTGGTCAAATGTAGCAGGGTAAGCACTTTGGCGCAGTTTGCCGCAACGGGCGCAGCAATCACATCACTGCAAATAGGGCTCTATTAACTTGGCCTTCACTTTATTTTGATTGCCTACATGCACAAGGAACTACTGATCCAGTGTTCCTGCATAGTTTTTGCCGTCCCTTTTGGTTTACCACATGTTTTTCAATCGCTTCGTACGTAAACCGTTTATGCAGAAAAGCGCCGACGCCGTCTTTTTACAATAATGTCCGACAGTGCACATAAATACATGTATGAAGCTGTTTTTGATAGAAGCACTGTAACTGACCAATAATTTTACTTACATGATTAAGAAATTTTCCAAGCTATTTACTACCTTATAATTATATGTAATATTTTCTCTTATAATCAAGCGCAGAGAAAAAACGCACCCACTTTTCTCCATAGAAATGCATTACCGGAAGTAAATTTTTGACTGGTTGTTGTCTGCTTCAATTTGCAACAGCACACTAGCTGAACCTCTAGCATACATTATAATTAACTCTATGATTTGAGCAAAAGCTCTGAGAAATGGCACCATGAGTAGAGACGGACCAAGGGTGTCGCCTGTTCCCGTCAGCTGCTTCCGCACAGACGCTGAACTGACTTCACAGCCGGTGCAAGGTTTTGAGGAACTGGGTGTGAACTTGTTTAGAACTGGTATGAATCAAATGCGCAAGTGCAGCGGCCATACAACTACCTCTCCAATCGAATGTGCCAGTTCCTGCACTGCTACAGCCAGTTCAAGTGAATCGAACGGACCTAATGGCTACAAAATGGTGGCACTGGGCAAATATATCAGGCGGGCCAACGTGGCAGACACTCCCCTTGCCAGCAAGCAAACAAGCTAGACTTCCTTTTTGCACACTAGATTACGGGTTATGTGATATAAACGAAGCTCTAGCAAAAGCCAACTAACATCCGACTCCAACCAGTTGTAATTCACCGGTTTTTGAGAGCTCATATGAGGATGCATTTAACCTTTTTTTTTTCTTTCCCCCTAGCACCAACACGGCTGACATCAGGCAATAAGTACCTTAGGTACTTCACCAGTTCAGATGGCAGCTATAGAATGTGGTTGTCGGCTGCCATGCGAATGTATAGTGACAGGGTGTTCTAAGATGGCCCCTCACCCGCACTCCCGGATGGATCGCAGCTGCGTCTGGTCCAGCCGCGGAGCTCTCCCCTTGGCATCTCTCGCCACGGCGTCTGCCTCCTCGAAGTTCGGCATCGTGAAGACATCTCGCAGGCTAGTTGTGCGCGTCTGTCGGGAGAAAAGTATGAAATCTTTTTTAGTTCACATATTGCCGCGTGCATGGCCGAGATGGTATGCACGTGGCTCTCACGCAAGCGTCCGGAGTTCGATGCCCGGTGCAGGACATTACTTTTATTAATTTGTTCTTCATACTTCTAGAAGATTTGTGTTTACTCTTACCCTGAATGCTCAACACTCAAACATTCTAGGCTGAATGTTCAAGACACGAGTGTAACAGATAAGGAGCCCAGCGTGGCCTTGCCGAGACACTCTCGACCTAGCTGGCTGTCACACCGACACCTCAATGCTCGCGCTGCTTTCTCGACGTTCATTGTTTTGTTTCCGACACGAGTTCGCCGATTAAACTCTTTGTTTCTAGTTCTATGTTCATATAGTATTCTTTCTTTTTTCATCCGCGACAATATATGACTTTTTAATTTTTTGTGAGCTTATAGAAGGTTATAGGAGCGCTTCACGCGACAGGCGTTCGGTTCGAACTCCCATTTGCTAGTGTGAGGGTTTGTACTGGTTGACTATCGCATATGTTTGCTACAGAGATTGTGTTTTTCAGCTAAGTTCTAGTTGTGTCACTCAGAGATCTGCTGCACCAGCCACAGTAGTCAGCGACTGAAGGGAGAAATGGGAGGTATATTTCATTTTCGCAAATACCGGCGAATACAAGAAGCCGGGATGAGATGGTGCTCGAATGAACCGGGGCGACACTGACAGGCAAGAAAGTGGGCGAGAGTTGATGCATCTCAAATACGTCCCCAATCGTAGTCTTCGAGCTTGGTCATTCGCGGAGCCACCCACCTTGCTTCTGAAACTTTACACCTCTAGCAACGCTAGGATGCAAAGCTTCGGAAGGTTTGCACTGCTACTGATGCTAGGATGGCCGCCTGCACCCTTTAGTGTAGCCCCAAGACAATTTACTGTTATGACACATGGTGTTTTATAATCGTGGTGCCTGGAACGTGTCTCCAACTGGTGTGGTTACCGCATCCTAAGAAACGGTCTCTCGATTCCCACCCGATGACGACACAGAAGTGTCACATTGTCGCGGGCTGCAATCCGGGCGACATCACAGCAGCAGTGGTGGATGTGGCACGCGTCTGTTCTGCCGCAGATCGCTTTCCGGCTTAAAAGTCCGTGGAGGTGTTGGCAGCCAGGAGTTGAACCGCCGCTACAACGGCGACATTCGCATTCTCTCGTGCTTCTTAAAGCGTGAAATGCTTTTTAACGCTACCCCCAATATCATAATCTTGCCTGTTCGTCCGTCCATGCATTTCCCGCTAAATTTAGCAGGGAAACTGAACTGGTGTGCAGGTCATGTGATGACAAATCACATGACCCCAATTGACATCATGTGACCTATACACTAATTCAGTATCTCCGCAAAATTTGGCAGGGGATATTGATGTCACATAACCCGACGTTGCTTGACCTATTCACCAATTCATTTTCCCCTCTAAATTTAGTGGGCAAAGTGAATTGCTGTTTAGGTCACGTCACTTCCCCGCTAAATTTGGCAAGGAAATCGATGTCACGTGACTTGCTCATGAGACTTATATACCAAATCAGTTTCCCCACTAAATTTGGCGGGGAAATTGATGTAACGTGACCCGAAGTAGCGTGACCTATGCGCTAATTGATGCCACGCAACCTCTACGTCAATTCCATTTTCCGCTAAATTTGGCAGGGAAATTTATGTGACGTGACCAGCACACACAAATCCAGTTTCCCCGCTAAATTGAGTGGAAAACTTGACGTCACGTGAAGCGACAACACGCGAGTCATGCTTTTATATATGTTGACGCAACGTGCAGCGTACACTGTACTAGACCGTATATTGTCCTCTAAAAAAATTAAAACGACTGCTTTTTAAATACTGCATTCCAAGGATTACAGGACTTTGGAGGTAAAGCTCACTACCAATTTTCTCCAAAACTTCTGGGCCCAGCTACTGCCAGGACCGCGACATCCGACAGCCCGACACTCGTGCTTCTGCTACGCCATCTGCTGCCGCTTTGGGACCCCTTTCGATGCGTACGCGGAAGAGGACGCCAAACGCGCCGGTCCGGGCCACGTCCCGGGCACCATACTTCTAACGAAAAATGCGGAAATGAACTCACCTTCCGCGCTTCACCCTCGGCCCGCAGGAGAGCCGGTGGCAGATGGAACACGGGAGGGGGCAGGCGCAGCGGGAACTTCTTCCAACGGAAAAGAACCTTCTCCGCCGCCTGAAAGAGAGCGGAAATGGCAGCGTGAGGCCACCGCGAACTTCGAGGAACTGCAAATTACGCGACGACAATTTCGTAGTTTGTTTGCGTCAGTGGCCACCCCCAAACCGGAGACGCACGTCGGGAACGACGCGATACGTCACGTGTGCAGCTACGGTCATCTAGGGAGCGAGAATGGCAGCGTACGTTTTTCGAATGGTCGGCCTCCAGAACGCTCTCCCTGCCTTCCGCTGTATTTTGGCTACATGCGCGCGCTCGAGGAGCATGAGATGTCGAAGCATCATCGAAAGTCGGGAGCTTGTGCCGGAAGTGGGACAATTGGAGCTGCTCCCTCCCATCCTCACCTTATCGGTAACCATAGCTGCAGTGAAATCTCGTTTATTCAGACTCTCTTAATTTAAACTCACTGATAATTCAAACTAACATGTGGGTCCTGCGCTATGTGTTTCTAGCGAGGAAACTCCTGGTGATTCAAACTTTGCATTATTCCAAGAATGTTTTGGTACCCCTTGGATTCAAATTAACGAGATTCCACTGTAGTTTAATGCGCAAAATTGCTCATCTGCACCTTTTGCTCGGCAATGACGAACACATAGCAACAAAAATACTCCCCAAAATTTCTAGACTTGCAAGGACGACGACTATGATATATGTAAGAGTCAAGTCGGCCGAACTAGAGATCTTGCGAGGGTTCGTCGTCGTTTGTGCCTCTGCTTCTTTCTCTCCTCTCACCTGTTTTATGGCTTGGACGGTGCTGGAAAGTTCGGCAGGGACTTGTCCCGGATCAATGTGAAACTCCAGGTGCTCTTTCTGGTTGGTTTCCGAGCCAGGGATTGCATGAGAACCAACAAGAGCAAGCGTACAGGCACTTTACCGGAGTGAACGAAAAATATTAAAAACTCGTAATTCCGTCACTTTTTTTTTCTATGTGTTTGTTTTGTGGGAACATGTTCTGTGGAAACTCTAGGCAGCTTATGCAACTCTCAAGGCTATCCGTGACATTATCACCTGCCATATCTGTCTCTCTCACCGCAGGGTAAACAGTGGAATCGGTGTAATAGCGCACAAGTTGAAACTAACAAGACTCTGTCTACAATATTTGCGACACGATTCCTTTCTTTTCCAGTGTACGTGAGAACAGCAATCATAATCGTAGAATTACCCGAGACGGCGGTGATGACGGAAGAATGATAGAAAGAAGGAAAGAGGTCGCGGTGTTTGCAGAAGCTGCGGTGATGATGGTGCTTAAATTGACAACACAATGAGCCATGATGTCAATGTACATTATACATCTATGACAGCAACAGCAGAGCTGCGAGGCAGGACACTTTGCACCCAATTTCAAATGCTCTTCACTAACCACATGCCAATATATTATCTCTGCATTTGACAGAAGGCCGCAACAGCCCAAATTCCTTAGTTCGCAAGAGCAAAACTTCGATGGCATCTTGATGCAAATCAACAGTTGCTAATGAAGTCACGGAAACGGTTGCGAAAAACAAAGAAAAAGCAACCTCTGTTCTCACCTCAGGCTCCACAAGATCCATGAAGTTTCTTCAGAGCCCTCCTCAGCCCAGTTCATTCTAACCTGGAACGCGCACATTATAGAAAGCACGTCACAAAAAAAGTATGTCCGTCGCAGTCTCAATCCGTCTCGTTCCCCTGTTTGACACCCTTTTCAGCTTAGCAGGTACATTCAAAGGGAGCATAGTTGCCTTACACGCTCACTCGGTTTTGAAACGCACGCACGCCCAGCTCATAGGTTGAAACCGACGCCGACCCTGGAAACTCATGTGACACCCGTGGAGGTGTCAAGTCCAGCGTGAATACAGTGAGGTGATCACGCGAGTTAATCGAGCAATTCGATAGAAAGCGTGCTTGATGAGCGAGCGACGCGGTTCCCGAAAGAACGGAGTCTTGCCCAAAGTGTGCACTGCAGCTAGTGTGGCGAGTAGCTGGCGGCGGCCCGGAAAAAAAAATAAACAGACGCGCCGAGAAAGCTCTCGGTTGTTTACATGACACGGGCATCCTCGCTGGGCTCTTTAAACAAACTGGGGCCAGCGGAATCGAAACCCAGCGTTTCGCCGCTTCGATCCGGTGAATCGGTGCGTTGATCGCCAACAAACCAGCGAACAGAGGGTGTTAAAGATGAGTAGAATGCTGAGAATTTTAGACGGTGTTTTCGTGATGGGGAGTTGACGGCGGACGACGCGTCCGACGATGTTGTGCTCGCGTTTCTAACCGTGCTCATGCGTTGGGAGCGAACGGGAGACTTACCAGCGTTTGAGCGGGAGAATGGAAACATGCGCGGTAGTCATGGCTTTACGATATTCCTCGTTTCAGGGCGAAAAGGGGACCGCTCGGTGTCGGACCCGTGAAATGCATGAAATCCATGAAATAGTCCGAACGTCTGTTCGTTTGGTCTAGGGTTGCAAATCTACCGTTAATATGACGTCATCAAGGTTACCCTAGGTGACCTTTATGAATTAAAGATGAACCCTCGACGTCACATGTGCACATTTTGTACCGTAAAATGAACGCATTTAGAGGTGCATTGTGGGTACTGAGTACTCGTTTGTCGAGTTTCGGTTCGAGAGTCGTTGAGGGTGGAATTTATATTATTGTGCAGACTCATCTGACGCCCTACATTAATACCTTAATAACAGCTACTCTTATACCCTGCACACTTAACTGCAGTTACGCTAAACCACAATTTGCGCACAATACTTGCCGACAACATTCTGCGGCGATGCAGTCAGAGCTGGCGAACGCGCGCTTGAGCATCTTGAGCACCCATCAAAGCAGTGCACGCGCTCTCTTCACTTCTTTTGAAATAGCTGTTCGAAGGTATAGTGCGGCGTCTGTGCTGCCACGTAACCGCACTTAAAGCTGAGTTAACCGCGGTTAAGTGTGCCCGTGTAACAGGGATATTACAATGTAGCTCAAACAGGTGTATTGTAGAAAAAATAGTGAGTGCGCAGGCGAGCTGGTGGATGCTGATCATGATGTAGAAAATCCGAGACTGTGGTAAAAGCAAGGAAACTTGGTCGAAGAAAAACGACAGGGGAACATAACGTCTCATATTCAGCTACTGCGTTTATTTCCACAATGTCTTATATACACACAACCTAACCACCGACCACCGACGTATTGTAGAACGTTGAAAATGTTTATATTGTTTGTGCTTTGTTGAATAATATTTTGTTATAAAATACGCATTTTTAGTTGTCCAAGTTATTATCTTGTTGTTCAATCAAATACATTCACTTTCTTTTAGCTCTAAAACGGATCTCTATGCGAAGAGCTGATGGGAGATTCGCGTCTGGAAAGCGAAACCAAGTGACCGGAAGTTTGCGTGAACGGCCCTTTTCCGTTTTCGTCTCGCGATATCTCGCGCGAGTTTGCGCGAAACTTTCTTTCTACTGAAATCATGTAAGTGTGAGGACGTGTTAATATTTATCCGTTCTAAAAAGTTCAAAATAGCGTACATCCTTTCGAATAAATTTGAAATAACGATAAAGCAACTCTTTTTAAACCGGTCTAACGTAATATTTCCTTTCGTAATCGAGAAAACATAGTAGAATTTCGGTGGTATCTGACCGCGTATTGTGCTCCTGGCGTTTTGCAGCATGGCGGACGCAGCTCCAGCCGGTGGTCGAGGCGGATTCCGTGGCGGTTTCGGCCGTGGTCGGGGCCGTGGTCGTGGTCGCGGCCGCGGACGCGGTCGTGGACGCGGCAAGGAGGGCGAGAAGGAGTGGGTGCCCGTCACGAAGCTGGGGCGCCTGGTCAAAGACGGCAAGATCAAGTCACTCGAAGACATCTACCCATTCTCCTACCCAATCAAGGTGAGGAGTTTGTTTTCCCTGTATGTTGGCGCACCGCAGCTCGGAGCATGTGGAGTGAAAACTCGCACTGGCAAAACCCAGGCATCCTGGATTCAATATCCACCGCTGCCCCTTTTTTATCTGTATGAGCGTCGTACCGGCGTGCGGTAATGGTACGGCTACCGCGTGGTGCATTGCGAGTGCAAGGCTAGCAGTGGTACTAGACTGGCTAAATTCCTCATTCACACTGGAGGTACCGACGCGCATTGGGGCCGACTAACTTCTGTGCAAGTGTACACGCACGCATTTATTTGACCGTGTGTGGCGTAGTCTACGGCCAGCTCTTCTGTGAATGGAATGCTGACGTTCGCTGGAAGCCGGGTGCGATAAGTGGGCTGGAAACGACCGTCTGTCTGTGGACCATTAGCGGTTCTTCGATCTGAAGGTCTTCAGACCAAAAACCCTTCATGAATTGAAAAAAAAAAAAAAAAAAAATTGAAACATGGTAGTTATAGTAACCTAGTCTATAATGCACTCCCTAAGTCACTAGAAAAAACTCCCCAAGCCACTAAAGAAATTTTCAGACGACTAAACTCGGCTGCGATATTCGTATCTATGGAGGCGTTAACGCCACTCGGTGGCAAAGACACGACTTTTAGAACTGGGGAGCTCTCACCTGCCGAAATGGCACATTGTAAGCTGCAGCAAGAATTAAGTTGTACTAGTTGGTATGCAATTATAACATGGTAAAGTGATTATAAACTGTTTACAGTATATGATCAGTTTTTCTCTTCATAAATCTAAGCCCCGAGAAAAGCATCCTGTCCGTTCTTCTATTTGTCCGTGTCTCGGAGTTTACTTCATGTTGTTTCCCAACCAGTTCGCCCGTATACTTTTGCTTCTTGCATTTCTCCGTTAATTTTCTGCAGCGCTTACTTCTTTGCGGCTTCTGCGTCTTCTTTCCCGCAGGAGTTTGAGATTATTGACCACTTCCTGGGCAGCTCGCTGAAGGATGAGGTGCTGAAGATCATGCCGGTGCAGAAGCAGACGCGTGCCGGTCAGCGCACCCGCTTTAAGGCCTTTGTGGCCATTGGGGACTTCAACGGCCACGTGGGCCTGGGCGTCAAGTGCTCCAAAGAGGTGGCCACAGCCATCCGTGGAGCCATCATCCTGGCTAAGCTGTCCGTCATCCCCGTTCGCAGGGGCTACTGGGGGAACAAGATCGGAAAGCCCCACACCGTCCCCTGCAAGGTGGGTGCCTGGTCGAACGGTTGAATTTGTGCATACGGCTCAACTCTGAACCGGGTGGCGGCTTGTGCCACCTAGCGAGTGATGGTTGGTTGGTTACACTGGCGAGCGGTTTCATTCATGTCGGTGCATGTGCAGATGATTCACCTCGCTCATGCTTGGTGTGGACAAACACTAACTCGTTTATAAACAGCGCATTGCTCTGTAGCTCCGGGGTAGTGAACAATAGTTACTGGGTTGTCGGAAGGTGGTGCCAAGTTCCCCGTATGATCGCCAGTTTGGTCTATGGTATACGCTGTTCCTCCTTGAACTCCCCATTCCTGGTGAGCCTGCCCAAATTCCCAGTGACAGGATACTTATACCGTGTAGACCGCATATAATGTATGTCGCGGGAGTCGCGAAAATCCGCACTATAAGCGGTACCGCACTATAACGAAAACATAAATTTTTCCGGCCAAAATACATGCCATGAGACAACTTACCTTTGTAAAAGAATTTATTTTATGTTAGATGAAAAAGAAAGCTTAGTTTGAGGAAAGTCTTTATCTTTATTTCACCAGACTAGTACAGTTCTGTCTCGTGTGTCACACATTTTGAAAGAAATGAGCGGCTTTTGCCTGGCGCAGCCTTTTAACAGCGTCGCGGGTTGCGGACGGACGTTGCGAGCGTTCAGTATTGGTAACCCTAATCACTTTTCTCCGGATATGAAAACGCGTGAAAATTTGCATCCTTCAAACGGTACCCGCCAGTAATACCTTGAACTTGAGCACACGCATGAAATGCTCCAAATAAGAAATCTGGGCGATGTTCGAGGACACAAATGCTTAGAAATCACCACTGTAGTCGAAGTAAACAAACACAACGACACGGGCGTTTCTGCTGTCTTGAGAGCGCCGCCACGACATCGCTGCACGAGTAGGTGGATCTTCCCTTCTAGTATGTGCTGGGTTATCATAGCGACACACAACGAAAATTCGCAGTCAAGGATAGCGCTTTTACGCGGAACGATGAGATGAACGCCGTCTACGACGACGATCACAACCGATGCCATGTTTGCGGATAGAAGCAGCCGGCCCGCGACCGGCACGCAACGCGCGCGAACACTTCTCCTCGACCTGCGATTGGTCTGTCGTTTCGCTGCGGTTTGTTTCCAACGCAGCGGAGGGACGCACGCACGTGAACGACACATACGTGCGTCCCTCCGTCGCTATGGCAACGGAAACCTCTCTCTTCGCTTCTGCCCGCTCCTTCGAGCAACCTCCTTGCCCAGCGAGTGCCGCTTGCGCCGTCAGCGCCGTTATCTAGTGTCGCACAGGGAAGCGTGCTCGCTGCTCCGGTTGTCTGCGGGCTCTGCCAGAAACCGCACTATAACCAATATTTCCCTTCGCGCGCCTGCATTTTAAGCGGTATACAATTACATAGAGTTCTATTGGAGGCGAACCGGTGGTTTAAAAAAACCGCGTTATACCCAGTCCTGCACTATAAGCGGTTACGTTGTAAGTGGTCTATACTGTATAAACATTTCTTGTGTACAGAGATTTTGTTTTAAATGTAAACATTTCGGCGGAACTCCGCCTGGTTAGGTAAGTAATAAGAAAAAGTACAACGTAGACTCTAACCAATTTCTTCAATGTGCCCGACGTTTCGAAGCCAGCTCGGCTCCTTGTTTACAAGTGACTGTATATGGGCCCAAAGGTAGCAACCTGTCGTCGTTTTCTTCTCTTCTCTCTTAGCTTTGTTTTCTTCTTCTGTTTCTGTGTGTGGCGTCCACCAAAAGAAAAAGCTCAAGGCCTGATTTACCAAATTCCTTGTGCCGAATGCGACGCCTCTTATGTGGGGGAAACGAAGAACTTTCCCGAACGTCTGCGTAGACATAAGTATGACGTAAAGAAGAATGACATCCAAGGCAGCGCGCTGGCGGAACATGCTCAGAAGACCGGCCACGTCATTGGCTTTGACAGCAGCTCCATCCTCGACACAGAAAGAAACTGGAGAGAGCGGCTCTTAATAGAATCTTGGCACATACAAAATACAAGCAACAACCTGAACCGATCCACCGGAACGCTTCCAAGCAGCTATATACACGGGCTAAAATGCGCCACACACAGAAACAGAAGAAAACAAAGCTAAGAGAGAAGAGAAGAAAACGACGACAGGTTGCTACCCTTGGGCCCATATACAGTCACCCGTGAACAAGGTGCCGAGCTGGCTTCGAAACGTCGGGCACATTGAAGAAATTGCTTAGAGCCTACGTTGTACTTTTTCTTAGAGATTTTGTTATAAACACCCAGACAAAACGAGCACATCTTTGCAGCGCCGCCACACGCAGCGTCGGTGGCTTTGAAAAATGATTTTCTCGTCCCAAAATATGTAAGAGATTGGTCCAAATCTTACCCAAATTGATCAGAGTTGCTCCAGCGGGTTGTCACGTGCACCACACATTGAAAAACGCTGGACATGGGCAGGTTTTGGACTGCCAAGGTACAAAACCCTTACCCTGGAGTAAGATCAAGTAAATTTTGGAACACTGCATGTAAGAGATCTGTTGAGGTGAGTGTAACTGATATGTTCATTCCATACACAGTGCCAAAGGTGGCGAGGAACGCTTTTAGTAGAACAACACAATCTTTGTGCGACTGGTTGAGGGCGCCTCTTGAAAATTTAAAAGGACCAAAATGGCGATTGCCATGGCAACAAACCAGTCAGCCAATCACCTTGCGAGGTTTTGGTTGTCTGTATACACGTTTCTGCCCGGCTGGGTGGCAGGGGAGAGGGTGGTGTCACTTTCCGAGGATCCAGTAACTTTAGTGAAAAGGGGGGGGGGGGGTGCCTCAATTGGTCGTTATTCAATGTGATTGGTGGACAAGGAGGGCGGTATTGGGGAGGTCATGCCACCAAACGATTGGACAAGTGGATGTCTGAGCGGACGATTGGGCAAGAGTCCGGTCGTTTCGAAATTTCCGCGCAAGATGGCATTACCCGTCGAACCAGACTTTATTGCTCAGTGGGAGTAGACCAGTGTCGGCACACCCGACGTAGCGGCGGTTCTAAGAGAGGGACGCGGTCGCAGGTGACCGGCAAGTGTGGCAGCGTGCTGGTGCGGCTGATCCCGGCGCCTCGCGGCACGGGCATCGTGTCCGCTCCAGTGCCCAAGAAGCTGCTCCACATGGCGGGCATCGAGGACTGCTACACCTCGGCCCGCGGCTCGACGGCCACCCTGGGCAACTTTGCCAAGGCGACCTACCTGGCCATCCAGCAGACATACAGCTACCTGACTCCGGACCTGTGGCGGGAGCGGGAGCTGATCAAGTCCCCCTACCAGGAGTTCACAGACTACCTGATGCACGCCCACCGCCCCGTGGGCACGGCCCGCACCATGGAGAGGCCGCCCCAGTGAGGACGGAAGCAATAAAAGGGCCTCAAGAACAGACTGCTGACCAGTTTCCTTGCGCTTGCGCTGTCGCTTCGCTACGTTTGGCAAGGTCAATTCGCCTGCGCCAATGCAGAAAGGTGCAGGTCAATGTATGGGGTGGGACTGTAAGGACTAACACATTTGGCATGCCTTGCAAAATTCGAATTTAAGCGTACCATCAGATTCAAATTAAATGCGTATACTGGAGCCCGTGGCCGTCGACAGACCGCCTCCTGGAGGTGCATCTGGAAACAAAACTGCGGGGAGAAGGGTAGAGCGCTGCGAGGGTGTCCGTCCTTGTCCTTTGAACCTCGCCCAGCACCACCTAAGCTTCGACGCTACACTGGAAGTTCAGTCATTGTTCGCGTTTTGTTCGAACCCTATTGGCGACATCGACGCAGGGTAGAGGCAACGCAGTGGAGGTCGTTTCAACTCTGTCAGTTATCACTGCTTGGTTCTCGTAGGCAGCAGAGAAACAAACATCGTTCCCAGTAATTATTTTTATGCTTCCGATGAGTCATTTTTACGCACTGACTAGAAGGTTTCTACCGTCGAGAAATCTCTGCTTTCATATGTAACACCGGTTTTGTGGTGCAGTGCAAGAAATTTATGGTGGTCTGCGTGCTGTACGATGAAAACAACGTTCTCCGCCATTTTGTCTAGCGAGTGTGCCCCCTGTACGCTGGAGTCGCGAATACTGCATACATGACATTGGGCATGCAAACATAGTTTTGAAAGTTTTTGTGAATTATCCTTTCCGGAGCTCAAGTCGGAGGTGGTAAAATATGAAAAAACTGAGCAATAACGGTGGCCGTCCATTTCCAATGCCTCATGCTGGATGTTCATCTGCACGCTGGGCCATTCGTCGTGGAAATTGAGGTTCTATCGATCAAGTGTGCATATGACCCACCTTCAAATGCTTATTCTTGGGATTTAATTCAAAATAGGTTACTAGAACCCACTCGTACACAAGAAAGCACAGACCAAACATACTCGATGCAAGAAGCAGCCCAGCGGACGCCCAACTTCGGGAACAAGCATCAAACTTCCGGTGGTCTCACTTGTGCCAGGCTCGGAGAGCAGCTATGCATTGTCCAACCCCCCTATCAAAAAGACAGGTGGGTATAAAACTAAAAGTGCTAACAATAGACAAGGCAAACAGGGCGAGTGTTGACATACTGACAGAGTGGGGGATTTCAATTTAATAAGTCATAAACCAACTTGTCAGCTTTGCCAATTTAGATCAGTGGTTAACAGTACCTGCAGGTGTAGCCTTGATAATAAAAGGACGGTGCAATTCAAGGAAAGGAGGTGGAATGATTATGGTGATGTTCCCAGTGAAGTGAGCTTCCCTCGACGCATTTATTTTTTAACACAATGTGTTTCATCAGCCCAAGTCCGTGCAAAACTCTACACGCTCCAGCGTTATATGCAGATGTTACAGAAAGATTACGTAGACCCACGGGCACGTTTAAAACCAACATAAGGGCACCCCCTCACGGGAACCGAACCCGTAACAAAGTGATTGTTACCTGGATATCATACCAACTCAGCTATGCGGTGCAGTCAGTCAGAGAGCAACTGCTGAGAGAGATTAGGTGTGTGAGGAACAGTTACGCCTCCAGTCACAACTGTGTAGGATAGCAAGTCTTATTTTGCATCCGGGGAAAATTTACTCTACATACTGACAGGGTGGGGGATGTCGAAGTCAGCTCTGAGGGATGAAAAACTATTCTTTTTCTGAGCTCATTGAGCGAGCTCTGTGACGTGCGAGAAATGAAACGAGCAGTTCGAGCCACAACACCGTGGAGCTCGGATGTCAATTCCCAGAAACTGGTGACCCGGACATGATGATAGACTCCCAGGCACCTGCCATCCTGGGGAACATGTTTCTTTTTCATGGCCCGGGCACGGGGGGGGGGACACAACGGGGTAAAAAAGCAGCGCCTGCGCCGCTGCTTTTTTACCCCGTTGTGTCTGCTGCCGGCTTCTACTTCCGCTGCAGTCCCTGGTGTCGCCCCGGCAGCCGTGTCCATCTGTGTGGGGTGGCATTGGCCTGGCACGGTCGCGCACTGCCACAATCTGTGGGGCGTGCCACACCACGCCACACTGGAGCGTGACAAGTCACAGCGACCACACTGTTCACGACAAAGCACATCGCTAGCTGACCAGGGCCTCTTCATGGCATCCGCTCTCGGCTCGGTTCCTCATCTGCGGAGATGACATTGCATCAACCCTGCAGCCGGCCGGCATCTCCCTTCATGCCTGGGGCTGCACCCTCCGAGCTTATTGAACCGGACCCTCAGCATGATTGGGTGAATTTCTCCACTGTCCGCAGCCTCAATGCTCGACCTCTCTGCGCGGCTCCCTCACACTGGCTTTGGCCTTCACTGCTCTGTGCTACGCTGGTCTGCTCTCAACACGAGACGACGGCAGCACCGTCAGGCTCTGGATCCACAATTGTTTATCGCTCCATCCTCTGCAGCCTGTAGACCTACAGGCGACGGCTTTTGGGGGGCGGGACCACTGTGGCGGTCCAACATTGGTGCCGACGGAGACAACAAAGTTAGTTGGCGGCACAAGCCCGTCGGCACGAGAATATATATAACGTTTTCACCTAAGCTCGGAGTCGGTCGCACCACCTCTTCCGTCCCCAACATCGAATGCGCTGCCTGCATTTCAGGACTCAACTTCTCGTCCTTCGTACAGAGAGCAACGTTCAGCACTCCAGGAAACCAAGAAGCCACCTGAACAAATTGTCTCATGGGCAGGGTTGCAAAAGTTACTTCGAAAATACACGTAAGATACCATACGAAAAGGTACCTAGGTACTCACTTAAAACATGTACCTAGGTACCAGGTACAGTTACTTCAAAGATACTTTATTTTCCCCAAATTTGTCAGAATATATTGGAAGTAAAGCTTTTTATACTAAGGATACACACAAAAACGAGTTCGATAAATGGGCTTTATTGGTGTCGATGCAATGTCAACATGGGAGTTCAGTCCTCGCGTGCCTTATCCCCACGCTCCAATTGGTACACTGAGGCCACAGCTTCCACCGTTTACCATGTCACGCCAAAACCGTTGAAACTCGCTTGTTGACGTCCTCACGACCAACTCTATTACTTCCGACCACTCCACCCGTGAAGGCCACAACGCGCACCTGCCGAGAGATGGCGATCCGTCTCAGCTGTCCTTGGAGCGCCTCGGAGCATTGCTCGGAGCCTCGGGGAGCAGTCATGGGCACGCTACTGCTAAAATGTAACAGTGTTACTCAGGCAAAAAATGTAACCCTGTTACAGTTAGTTACAAAATTGAAAGAGTAACTCGTTACAGTTACTTCACTAAAGTATTGCCATTACTTCGTCGCTACTTTACAAAGAAGCATGAGAAAACATTCAAAAGGAATGTTCCTCTATATGCCTTTAAATTAGTACAGATTTCTTATAAGACATTGTGTTGTTCACGGTAGTGAATCTGATTATTTTGAGAAACTAAGATTTTCTTAATAATCAATATTAACATACAGTGTAGACCGCATATAACGTTTGTCGCGGGAGTCGCGAAAATCCGCACTGTAAGCGGTACCGCGCTATAACCAAAACATCAATTTTTCAGGCCAAAATGCATGCCATCAGACAACTTACATTTGGAAAAGAATTTATTTTATGTTAGATGAAAAATAAAGCTTAGTTTGAGGAAAGTCTTTATTTCACCAGACTAGTACACTTCTCTCTCAAGTGTGTCACACATTTTGAAAGAAATTAGCGACTTTTGCCTGGCGCAGCCTTTTAACAGCGTCGCGGGTTGCGGACGGACGTTGCGAGCGTTGAGGATTCCTAACCCTAATCACTTTTCTCCGGCGATGAAAACGTGTGAAAATTCACATCCTTTATACGGTATGCGCCAGTAATACCTTCAACTTTAGCACAGGCGTGAAATGTTCCAAATAAGAAATCCAAGCGATGTTCGAAAACACAAATGCTTAGAAAGCACCACTGCAGTCTCGAAGTAAACAAACACGACGACACGGGCGTTTCTGCAGTCTTGAGAGGGCCGCCACAACATCGCCGCACAAGTAGGTGGATCTTCCCTTCTAGTACACACAACGAAAATTCACAGTCAAGGATAGCGCTTTTACGCGGAACGATGAGCTTCTACCACGCCGTCTACATCGACTATAAAAACCGACGCCATGTTTGCGGATAGAAGCAGCTGGCCGGCCGGCCGGCCCGCGACCGGCATGCAACGCGCGCGAACACTTCTCCTCGACCTGCGATTGGTCTGTCGTTGCGGTTGTTTCCAACGCAGCGAAGGGACGCACGCACGTGAACGACACGTGCGTGCATCCCTCCGTCGCTATGGCAACTGAAGCCTCTCTCCGCTTCTTCAAGCAACCTCCTTGCCCCGCGAGTGCCGCTTGCGGCTCGCGCCGTTATCTAGTGTCACACAGGGAAGCGTGCTCTCTGCGGCGGTCAGTCGGCGCGGTCGCCGGGTTGTTCCGAAAACCGCACTATAACCGGTATTTCCCTTTGCGCGCCTGCATTTTAAGTGGTATGTAATTACATGGAGTTCTATGGGAGGCGAACCGGTGGTTTAAAAAAGCCGCGTTATACCCGGTCCTGCACTATAAGCGGTTACGTTGTAAGGGGTCTATACTGTACTTGGTTCTTCCTATTTCAATTTGTACCATGAATAGCTCAGATCATAATTTTAGGCAGTATCCGACTAAATCCACATGATAAAGAATTTCTCTTCTCTGGCAAAAATACTGGCGACTTTAGTTTTCAAAATTTTAGCATAGCAGATAGCTGGTCTACGAAGAACTTTAAAATAAGAGCGACCACGTACCATAAGCTATACATGAACTCAACGGCACGCGTTCAGATCTCGTGTATATCCAATCATGGTGCCAGTTTACAATCGGTCAATTCTAATTTCGAATTTTTTTTGTGAGGCAAAACTAGACTGAAGCAATATAAATCGTGCAAATGTGAAGTCAATAATAATATGTCA